CTACTCAACCAGCAACCCCAACTCCCACTCAAACTACAGAGACAACGTTAACAACCATTTCTCCTGATATAACAACAAAAGGATCTGTAGATCCTGGAGTGATAGCTGGAGCAGTAGTGGGAGGTATTGCAGGTATTGGGCTACTAGGAGGATTGGGTTTTGGACTTAATAAGAGGAGAAGAAGGAGTGGTGGTATTGGAGAAGGTGTAAGTAATTTTGATTCTAATAACTTAAGGGGAACGGCTGGGACGTATAAAAGTAATGTTTCTAGTGAAGGATCTAACTCAGTTTCGGTTGTTGGAAACACAGATTCAAGACAACAAAAACCTAGAGGTCCTGAGGTTATTGCTTCAGGTTTTGGAAATGTAGGTGAACAACCTTTACCAGCATATTCTGTAGGAGGATCAGAAGAGTATAATAATGAATTCTCATTCTTTGAAGATTAAAATCAATTAAGTTATATTTGAGAATAGCTTAATTTCGTTAAGTGAAAAATTGCTGTTAGTATTACAGTAAATACAAATTCTTTGATGTTTTTGCCGAACATCATTTTCCTTGATTTTGGTTATATTGGGGTTTCTTAAACAGGAAGCTGAAGATGCAATAATATGTTTACAACATTTATAATACGAAGCTTTAGTATAGTAATCCAGATTTTTGTTGGTTACTGGGCAAATTAAACAATTAAGGATATTGTTAAATTTATTCTGTAATATGGTTATCAATTTCATAAATTGCATATAAAATAATTGAATTTTTAAAAACAATATAAAGATAGTGAAAAAGTAATTGTTCAGATGATTATAACTTACTTTAACCTCAAATATATCCGAAAGCTTTTTAATGTGTGAAACTATCTTGGATTTACTTAGTAACATATTAATAATAGCCTCTTTATTATATAAAAATCCCTTATTACATATTACTATTGGAGGATTCAATGGTTCCTGAAAAAATAATAATCAATTAGAAGAGATGAAAATAACAAACATTTTTTAAATACATTTTATATTATGATTTTGATTTGTAATCTGTGTTATCCCATAATACGTATTCTAATATGTAAGGGATATTCCAGAAAACTAAATATAATGTTTTAAAGAATGCAGTAGAATGACAAACTTACGTTAGTTAAGTAGCATTTTGTCCATCTCTCATGCATAATAAATTTGGTTGAATTTTCCTCGCTTGTTAATTTTACTTGTACATTTGGCATGTACCCCATTCCACCTAAATTTCTCTTAAATCCATAACCTTTGGTTTTCACAACATCTCCTCTTTTTGGGATACTTCCTCCATCTCCACCCATATTTGTGTATTCTTTTGATTCTTGAGTTTTCACACGCTAAGTTGTTGGTAAAAAAAATATGACAGTTGTAAATAAAATTAGTATAATTAAGAAGAATAATAAGATAATTAACTTTTGGTGTAAGGGAATTTTTTATGTTTTTTCTTATGATTTCATTCAGAAATCTTATTATGCATAATCTATATTTATGTCATTTTTGAATGGCGCCAAAAATTAATTTTGTTAATATATTAATTATATTATTTGTATATATAAATAATACACATGTTAATATAAAAAGTAGAAATAATTCAAAGAAGAATTAATGTAAATTAAGAATAATTAAAAAAAAAGATGAGATTTATCAAGTAATATTGAGCCAAAGGTAAGAAAGATAAAGTTGAAAGTTGAAGTTTAATATATTATTATTACAGTTAAAACTACTGTAAAAAGAATAAACAATATATATATTAATAAAGCTAAAAATTTCTAACAATTCTGGTAATTTTAATTTAACATTAAGCCCGTCATTAGAATAGGTTTGTCTATTTTTTTCAATATTAAATGGGAGGAAATGATTCAACAAAGGGAGATAATGCTACTTTATGGAGTATTGTAATTAAAACAGCATATAGAAAGAGGAGATCCAAAAGAAAACAAAATGAACAGAAAAATGAAGGAAGTGGCCTAGATTTGGATAATTATAATAACTACACCAGTACAATAGGAAACAATAATTTTACTGACAGATATTCAGGTGACAATACAATTTTAAATGGTAATACTTGTTTCTCAAAGAATCAACCAGGGCCAAGTATTACAGATACTAAGAGTAATGGGGATGATTTACTAAAATACTTATTGGATGGAAGCCCTGGACAGGAAAATAAGCAACTAGAAGACAAAAATACGGTTTCAAGTGAGTTTGAAGGAGTTAGAACTGAAAGCAATTCAAATAATAGTTTTTTAAGTGAATTATTTTCAATTGATAAATTAAATGGAGATGGAGGCTCTAAATTGTCAATAGATTGCAAAGGAGATATAATTATAGAAGAAAATTCGTTGAATGGTGGTTCTGGAAAACAAATGGATTGGCTTGGATTAATGGAGGGAAGAGTATATATTAATGAGAATATGGCAGGCACATCCTTACAGCCATATTCTGGTGCTTATAAGAGAACAAAAGGTAAAAGATGGTCTACAGAACAGACTAATAAATTTTATGATGCTTTGTCACTATTTGGTACGGACTTGATGCTAGTAAAATCTGTCTTCCCAGAATTTACTGATAAGCAAATACACGATAAATTTAAAGCAGAAGAGAAGAAGAATAAGGATAAGTTGGATGACATATTAATTAATAATAAGAAAAAGTTAACCAAAGAAGATGTTTTAAGATTTAAACAAAAATATAAATAATTAATTAAAAAAATCTTGAAATTTCTATACACTGTATTTCTTCACATTTGGAATTACATTCAACTAAAATAAGTTTTTTTGAGACAGACTCGCATAATCTTGATAAATTAATAATCTTTTTATAATTAATTACAGGAAATTTTACCAGATATTTTTTATTATTATAAGTAATTTCTTCATATCCATCAGATTCTAATTGATCATTATCATCATATGTAAATTTACATATTAATATACAATGTTTCCCATGTACTAAAGAAGGACTTTTGTGGTATAATATATAATCAACTCCAAATTTCAATCCGTCTTTCACTATGTAATTCTTTTCTTTAAAGTATTTATATATTATATATTGCATTAAAATTCGATTTTCTTTATTTAAGTGAAATTTATTGTAAATATTAGAGATATTTTCGTATGTCTAATAATATTGGTATTTCTTATTAGTATGAGTTACATTATTATCTTATTTAACTTACTAGTCCGAATGAAGCATTTTTGTCTGTAAATTCATCATTTACTAAATTTTTTACTTTAAGTAAAATGTTACAATAATCAAATTTTTCCCCTATATATATCAATTCATTTATATTATATGAGTATTGATAATTAATTTGACCATGAATTTCCTCATTTACTATTCTATTACCTATATTAAATTTCAAATACAAATTTTCTATAAACTTTAAGTGCATGCTTTCTCTCACTTCTGGAATCGCTATTACATCATTTAAAACAAAATAAAGTGGTTTTTTAAACGGAAAATCTACAAGTTCATCATCATCCTTCATTTTTTTTTTTCACTTCTTATATTAAGTCTTTTATTATATGTAGATTAATTAACAAATAAAATGATTAATTCAAGTTAGTTGCATTAAAATAGTGTGAAAAAACAATTTCATAATTATTAAAAATCAATTTAAAAATAAAAACAAGTTAGTAAAAACTTTATTAATGGTTTAATTTGGATTAAGACATCCAAGTAAACAGGAATTCAGAATTTATTTTTAAGAAAATATATTGCTTATGGCGCCAAATATTTGTGTGTTAATATAACCAGAATTAAAGAAATATATTAAATAGTTTCTAAATAAATAAACAATGTATGATGTTTTGAGGTTTACTTTTATGTAAAATAATAAAACTAAATAATTAAAATTGAAAAAAAAACTGTGGAAGAATAATGTTAACATTTTTAATCCATTAATAGTTCTGCCTGGATATAAAAAATTCTCTCGTTATTTTAGTTTGAATAAGAATGATAAGTGCTATTTTTACATAATTTATTAATTTTACTCAAATTTTACTTCAAATTATCTATAAACAATTCAAATAACAAAATTTTCTTCTCTTTATTTTTAATTTTCCGTTGTATTGAATTAATATCAAAATGGACATTTAGCGGGTAATTACCTCACATTTGGCGGTATTTAGAGAGGAGAATTGCATTTAAAGTTATGTGAGGATTTGATTTATGTGATTATTATTTAAAGATAAAGAATTAATAGTAATTATTTTAAGTATTAATTTTTTAGTCTTGAAAAAAAAAGAACTAAATATTAATAATTGGAATTACTATTAAATAGGGAAACTCAAAATAAGCTGATATTATATGTATAACTTTCTATAATTGGTGAATAGATAAGTTTATTGAACTGATTAATATTACCAGAAGAAATAAATTTTCAAAACTAAAAGGAAGTTTCAAATTTATTTAATGCATTAAATGTGTAGATAATAAATCATATTTTTCAAGAAGAATTAAAGAGAAATTAAGATATAAACTATTTATATGAAACAACGTTTAGTAGATACATATCTTTGAATATCTGGTGAAAAAACAAATAATAATCTCAATATATATTTACATATATTCATGAATCTGTTTGAATAGAAGCTTTGAGTTTGAAAATAAATGATTGGGGAACAATTAAAAACTACCGAAAAAGATATCATTGAATATGATACACCTAATATAAAAAAACAAGAATATTTGAGAATTGAAGAAATTAAAGATATGAGAATTTTTGTTGAAAGTGATAGTAATAAAAATTTAACAGACAAATATATTCAGTTAGAAGATAAAATTAATGGCCAAATATACGAGTTATTCAATAATAATGTTTTTATAGCTCTTTTAGAGAAATACGATGTTAATGACGAAAAAGAAACATTGAAGATTTTAAATAATGAACTTATAAATAATGAGATTCAGAAAGAAAACTATAAAAAATTACTAGAAATTAAAAAAAATTATAATGAATTAACACAATTATTTAATGAATTAAATCGTAATGAGGTCAATAAAAATATACTTTTTGAAAGAATCAAACAAAATGATAAGAAATTATTGGATTCAAGTTTATTGAATAATCACTTAATTAGTTCTGATAATGATGCTGGAATATTTAAAAGCAATGATTATTTAAAATTGCTGTTATTAGATTTAAGAATATTAAAAAAAGGTGTTAATTTAAACAATGACATGTTATTAGAAAGAGAAATGATTACTGATATGCTTAATAGAAATAGAGTCCATTTTTTTAGCATCAGAATGAATGATTTATTAAAAAGACATATAGAAGATGTTGATATACTTAATAAAAAGGATGAAGATTCTTTTTATTTGGAATCTGTGTTAAGAAAGAAGGTGAATCTTATACATTTAGAGAATATACAATTAAAAGAACAGATTAATAGAGATATGTTATTAATTAGTAAAAAAGATCAAGAAATCAGCAAACTAAGTTTTACTTTGTTCTCATTGCAAGATCAGTTAGATAACTCAATTAATAATCTTAGAATGAAGCTAAAAAGCAAATATGGCAATTTTATTCATTTACATAAAGATAACACATTTGATAGAATTGATAGTGGTGAATCATTCCATCAAAATAGTACAGTAAACAATCAAAGTCATATTAGTCCATCAACTCTTAGAAAACTATCCGAAGATAGTCAGGTATTATTCATTAATAAAGAAATTGACAATCAACAAAATAATTCAAATATGCATGCACATATTAGGCGCCATGACTATAATATTAATAATTCTATATTGAAAAGTGGTGCAAAATTACTCAGAATAAACAATGACCAGACCGAAGTTCCAAAGAATTCAGTAATTTCTGATATAGAAAAAAAGTTTTGTGAGCTAAGATCGTCTATTCCTTCAAAATTAAATATACTTTCTCAATGCAAACATGTCAGAAGTGCAATATCAACTCCAAGAGACTCAGTGGAACAAATTAACAGTAGTAATCTGATTAACACTCCAGTAAATAAAGAACATGAATTAATTGAAAATTCTGAAATTAGAACTCATCATGAATCCGGATTTAATGAACAGGCAGATGATAAAGATCTAGATATTACACAAAAACATAGTAAAAACTATAAAGATGAAGAAGATCATAGAAAACCACAGGAAGTTATTGAAACAGTAAATAACATCATTGACGATACAGAAAAAATAATGTGTAACGATGGGATAAATATTAGTGATGATTGCCATAAGAATGAGTCTATTAATAATAAGAATGAATCAGAAACAGGAAAGATTAAGAAAACTAATATTAGACAAAATTTATCATTGCAAAATTATAAAATAACCGATAAAAAAACAAACAAAATTGTAGCAGGTCAAAAAAATGTTCAAGAAAATGAAAGATTAAATGGAAAAATTTTACCCAAGTCTAGTAATACAGATTTGAAAATCTCCAGAACAAATTCAAAAGAGCATGTTAAAGCATTGAATGATGAACTAAGTAGTTTTTCCAAGCCAACAGCTGCTAGTTTATCAAAGAAAAGAACAAAATCTAAAGAAGGAGTTCTTGATGATTATAATAATTCAATTTCAAATAACATGTTTAGGACCAACTCAAAAACAAATCTGGTTTCAGTTAGTCATTTAAAAGGAGGTATCTTTGATGATTCTTATGTTCATAACGAGTCAATTATATCAGCTAATATTCTTAGTAAGAGAAATCTAAGAAAAGCCAATAGTGATTTGGACAACATTGTTCCTAAAACAAAAACAAATTTAGTATATAACTCAACTTTTAATATCAGTAACAAAGATAGTACTGTAGATAAATATTTAAATAATGAAAAGTATGGTCGTTCCAATACAATTGAGTTAAATGATCGGTCCAATTATCCAACTGAGATACCAATTGTAAAGGCTTATAAAGCAACCATTCAATCAATTAAATCCATCAATGATTTTCAAATAAACGATCAAAAAAGCAAAAGCCCCAATATAAACAACAACGGTGATATCAATAATGACAAAGGAGGCTCCTACTTAATATATTCCCCTGAAATCAAACCTTTAGATTTACAACCTATTAACTATAAGGAAACTAATCATTTAAACTCAAGTGATACAAATTTATTTAAAAGCAACTCCACACCTCTACTGAATAATACCAGTAATAACAGCAACATTCAATACTACCCATTCAATTTACTTAACAGTAAAAGTAGTAGCAGCCACTTTAGTCATTTAAACTCGACTCAAAACACAACGAACACTACATTTTCAAACAGCAATAATAATTTAGGGGGAAGTGCAAATACAAATAACCTTCAATATATTGCTCCAATTCCTACTCCTATTACCATTGATGCTGCTCAACAAAAGATTTTATTTCCAAATAATTTCCATACATTATACAAATAGTGCTTTTATTTAATATTAACTAAAAAAAAGGCGGCTTTTTTGCCGCCTTTTCTGCAATGATTAATGGTCTAATATTAATAATATATTTCTATAATTGACTAAGAAAAAAAATTAGTAATGATAGTTAATATGAACTGATTTGAGACGTAGAATTATATTATAGTACTGCTAATAATTTACATTACATTTATATATTATAAGTTTATTAATTTATTTAATATTAAAACTGATCATTAGTAATTGTGATTAAATAGTTTTTGTAAATAAAAATTTATAAACAAATATATTTTCATATATACAAATTAATCAAAAAAGAGTAAAAAAAAAAATCAGCCTGATAAAATTAATTTTTCTTGAAAAGGAAAAAAATTATTAAAAATAAAGGTAATAATTTAAAAAAGTATTCCTTTATCTTATATACTGTTTTGATTAAAAATTGGGTATATATATAATATTTAATAGTTAAAAATGTTTTCAACTGAACTCTTATGGCAATGCGTAAAGAAGAACACTTCTTTCATTAAGAAGAACAATGGTTTCACTTTCACATCTGAACCATTCAACATAATGAACTTAAATACTTTAAAGTATTCAGGTCTTGCAGCAAGAAGATCAATCGGTATGGAATTGGTCCCAAATTCTAATGGAAAACTTGTTAAGAATACAAAAATTATTAAGAAAAACTCTGGATCAAGCACTATTAGATGCCCAAAGAAATTCACTTCTAAGGTAAATCTCTCTAATGATTTTAAACAAGCAAAGAAAACTATCAAAAATCAAGTCCTAGCCCGTCCGGATTTGAAAAATGCTGCTATAATTAGATATAGAAAGATCCAAAAAGCTAAGTGCTAAGATATTGAAAATATTAAAAAATTGTAATTATATTTTTTTCAATTACTATCAAAATTGAAATTAGTATTTTTTTTTCAATTCTTACACGATTTCACCAGCTTAGATAGGTACTAGATTTTCTAATTATTAATTTAGTATTACTCCTCTACATGTAATTGTTTAATATGAACTTGAAACCAAAATGATTTGGAAATGAATATTATCTATACATTAAGTCTCAATTGAATCGATTGCTCATAATTATTTTAATGTATTCTTGATTTCAATGTTTTACAATATGTTTTATTAGCATTAATATCATTATATAGTGATTGAATCAAAGTAAATAACAACTCAAAACTATTTGAAGTTAATGACTATTCTATTTAAATATTGCTCCATGGCATTAAAAATGTTTACAATCAAACCGAACATTATTTGTACTATTTAACCACTAACATGTAAAAATTTAATTTTACAATTAAATATTTGGCGGTAATTTATCAACCAAGTTAGCGCCTTTTTAATAATCTCTAATTGTCAAATTGTCAAATTGAAATAAAATAGATTAAATTATTAGAAAATTACCATAAACTTTCATTCTTTCGTTAAAAATTGAAGAAGAGAGTAGCCTAAAGTTATAATGGAAGGGGCACAATTAGAAACATCTCCATTAGAATTATGCTTGAGTAACTTGATTGGAATCGATATTAGTAGTATTAATGAGAGTGAAATAAGTAAATCTGGAGCAAATAATTTGCAGTTAATGTTGAATTCAATTTGGTCTGATCTTAGTAAAGAAAATACAAAGGATGGAACAGTTGTAAGTCTTCCGAATAAACAAGAAATTCAGCTTCCTAGAGCATATCCTCTTCCAACAAAGAGGGAAAAGACCAGATGGGAAAAATTTGCTGAGCTTAAGGGTATTAAAAAAAGAAAGAGATCAAGGATGGTCTATGACCCTATTACTGATGATTTTGTTCCAAGATGGGGGAGAAACTCAATTAAGAAGATACAAAAGAAACATAATGAAGCAATTATTGAGATTAAAGGTAATATGGATGGAGACAAAGATCCGAGACAAGCTATTAATTTAAAAAGAGATATGATGATTAACAAGCAAAGACTTAGAGAATTAAAAAATAAGATGAATTCTTCTAAAAGCAAAGATACTTCAAAATCAGATGAATTTGCTCTAGGTATTGGAAATTTAAAAGACACTAACGTTAAAAGAAATAATTCTCAGGTAAAAGAGCTCTTTAATAGAGTTTCTTTATCAACTGCATCATATGGAAGAAGGGATAAGGTACTTCCAAATGAGGACCGTTCAGTTACTAAAATTAAAAAAGTAAAAAAAATTCTGGATACTAAAGATGAAAATGAAAAGTATAAGAGTATATACAGTAAAATTCTTAAACAAAACAGTTAATTTTTAGAAACCAACAATTTTATATAGCTAAATTTCCTTTTATATAATAGCTTTAAACTAAAAGAATTTCAATAGGCTCAAAATATTTAAGGTAAGGAAATTAGATTTAATTTTTCTTCTAATCAGATCAGTCTATCTAACTTCTATCTTTATTTTCTATACATTTTATGACTTTTTGTTTCAATGAAGATCTTGAAAAGAAGTTATTCTATATTATTTATTAAACTTTTTGCAGTAAAAACATATTTGCAAAAATTACCCGCCATAATATAAGTAATAATTTACATTAGAATGTGCAATAAATTAGTTAGAAGAATAGAAAATATAAATAAAAATAATTGGTTATTTTTGTAATAAATAACAAATCTTTCAGAACTGGCTCCTTGCAATAGTCGTAAAATAAATTGAATAAGGAGTTGATATAATTATATTTTGTTATGAACAAAAACTAAGATAAGCAAGATTGTGTATTATTAGAATGGAGGGGGATATTACGTCAATTGGGAATAGTTTCGGAAGCAATAATAATTACTTTAGAGGCAATGTACCTATTCAGCTACAAATTGCTGAACATAATAATGAAAATGTCTCCAAAAGAGAAAGCAGATGGTCAAAAGTGGATGAGGGATCTACAAGCAGATGGAAGAGTGTATATGAAAAGGAATATATTCCTCCAGCCTACTCTGACTTTCCTCCAGGAATGAATAACTATGACATTGATCAATTTTTAAGAGAACAAAGATTGGATGAGTTAATTTATAAACTTCAAATGGGAGAAATAGAGTATGGTAGTCCAGATATTAGAGAGCCAAGTCCACCTCCGATATATGACAAGAATGGTTCGAGAATAAATACAAGAGAAGTAAGAGTAAGAAAGAATATGGAGGAAGAATTGTCAAATTTAATAGAATATATGTCAAATAATGTTCAAGGTTATGTTGTACCAAAAGATTATAAGCCGTTAAAAAAAACTAAGAAATTAATAATACCATTAGATAAATATCCTGACTATAATTTTATGGGTTTAATTATAGGCCCAAGAGGATATAATCATAGAAGACTAGAAGCAGAGAGTGGTACACAAATTTCAATACGTGGGAAGGGGACTACTAAAGAAGGTAAAAAATGTGATCATCAAACTGAAGAAGAATTAGCGATGCCAATGCATGTTCACATCACAGCAGAGTCTCAATACAAATTAGATAAAGCAGTTAATATGATACAACCACTTTTAGATCCTTTCCATCCCTTACATGAAGAATATAAAAGAGATGGATTACAACAACTTGCAATTATTAACGGTACACTAAACACAAATTTGAATAATCCTAGTAGCCTAATAAATACATTTTCAAGCGGAAATACTGCAATAACTCTGGCAAAAGGATGTTTGCACTGTGGTTCTACACAGCATCCTACTTATGCTTGTCCAGATGTTAACTCATTAAATTCATTTAAAAGACCCGATATTAAATGCAGTATTTGCGGTGATAAAGGCCATATTACAAAAGATTGTAAGCAATATGTTCCAAATAATAATGTTGAAGAAGAATTTAAGAAGATGATGATTGAGCTTGGCCATGAAGTTAATTATAACGCAGAAACTACTAACAATGCTAATGAACTTTCCGGTGAATACAATGTTAATGGAGACTATTATGAAAATCTTTATTCTAATAATGATCAGCTTTATGATCAAAGTAGTTACGAACAACAAAACTACGATTGCCAAAGTGAAGTAAACAATACCAATGATAACGCTACTTTTGCTTATCAAACTTTCCATAACAATATTTACGATAGTAATATAATTATCAATAATAACAACATTAATAACCAATTATATAATAATTTCAACAATGACGATGATGATGATAATATGGACGAATCTGATTAATTTATGAATTATTATTATTTAACATAAAAAAATCATTTTGAAATAGAAATGGCTATATTTTCTACTTTTGTATTTTATTAATTAATAAATGTTATCTAATTATAAAATTTTATGTTAATTTATCTTTTTTTGTATTTGTTATCCACATGAATAATATATTGCATGCAAATTATTACGTATGCAAGAAGTGCCGGTATAGAGTGACATGTGGGGTTTTCCCGCCTTCGTGATAAATAATATTTTTACGAGTTTTTAACTTTATACGAGAACAAAATAATTAATCTTTAAATATTTATTTTGAAAAAAAAGAAAAAGATATTAAAAGAACTAAATTATTTTCTTTCTTAAAGTTAATAAAATAATATCTATTAATTGGAAATTGATTCATTCTTTGTTTCTTTTCACTAGTTAAATGACTAACTTGGCTGTTCAAGAGAGAAAAAAAAGGTATATTGAGAATAACATATTTTAAAGGTTAAAAAAAAGGAAATAAAGAGGATAGCTGTTTTTGTTTATATTTTTAAATTTAAAAGAAATTTATGTTATTAAAGTAAGAAATATCAAGCTAAGGATGTTCGGTTTCAGTAGATTTACATCTGGCAGTTTTTTCTCAGGAGGATTTGAAAATGACAATATACATGATGATTTTGAACAGATTAATAGGGGAGGATCTAACTTCAGAAGTTCAAGTTCAAATTTGTTTATCAATGAATATTCATGTTATCCTGTGAGTTTTGCAGGAAGAGACGAACTTGAGGGAGGAAATAAAATATTGCTACCTCCATCTGCTTTAAATCAATTAGCTAGAAGAAATATTACTTGGCCAATGCTATTTCAAATCAGTAACCCTGCTAAGAATAAGTTTACTCACTCTGGGGTGTTGGAATTTGTTGCAGAAGAAGGTACCTGTTATATGCCATATTGGATGATGCAAAATTTGGAATTACAAGAAGGGGATATTACTTCAATTATGAATACTTCATTAAGTAAAGGTACTTATGTTAAGTTTATGCCTCTATCTGTGGATTTTTTGGATATATCCAATCCAAAAGCAGTTTTGGAAACATCATTAAGAAATTTTGCAACTTTAACAGTTGGAGACACTATAACTATTCAATATAACAATAATTCATATAAAATCAATGTTCTTGAAACCAAGCCAAATAATGCAATTTCAATTATAGAAACTGATATTCAAGTTGACTTCGCACCACCACCTGATTATGTTGAAAGTTGCAATAAAAGTGAAAGTAGAGCAATGACTGACACTAACTTAACTACATCCGTTACTTCAGAATATTCTGTGGGTAATAACGATTCAATATTTTCTGGTCATTGTGAAAGATTGGATGGTAAACCTATAAAACTTAATAGCTGCAGCAGTTTGTACAGTAATAAGAGTGGTCAAACAAATATTTCAAATTCTGAGCCATGGAAAACTGACAGAATACCTGGAGGTGTTAGGACGTATAACGAAAAATATCAGGAATTAATTAAAAATGGGAAAATCCCAGGTATTGTTGGTGTTATTAAAAAGTGAAAGAACTATATCCTATAAATTATCATTATTTGGAGACGATCTATCGAATGAGTGAGATCTTTTTTTTTCTACACAAACTCTATAATATTTTTCAGAATTGTCATTATTGTTATTAGTATTATTATTATCATTATTATTATTATAACATTTACTTTTATTGTTTGAAATATTATTCAACATTGATGATAGTTTTTCTTCTCTTGTTCTATCCAGTTTTTTTCTATATTCATCATTTTTAACAATGTTATCATCAATATTACAGAATCCCTCTGATGTCTTATTAGTCATTTTTCTTAATTCTTCCCATGTTGGCCTTGTTGATCTTTGAAGTCTTTCTTTGATTGTAGATCCATCTGGCTTGACTAACTTTCTCTTGTAGTAGTATGGGTTTTCTACTCCTCCTGGCTTAAAACCACGGCATTTTGCCATATTTTAACACTTAAAAACAATCTAATTATTTGTAATTAAACAATTATTTCAGATTAATTTATTTACATTGTAATGAGTGATTAAAATATTATTTATTTAAAAAATCAGTCTCTTTATTTTTTAAAATATAATTATATTAGAGAGAGCCCGCTCATTTCTGCATGAGTTTTTCATTTTTAAATAAATAATTATATTACTTTTGAGTTTAAAAGATTGGATTGTTAGGTTAATAAAAAGAAAGTCTAAAGAAAAGAAATTATTCAGAATAGAAAAAAAAAAGAAAAATTAATTAGAAGAGTATTATTAGTCAATAAATCATTAACCTATTTCTCCAAAAACATTAGGTTTATATTTTAAATTTAAAAATAGAAGTTTAAGAATTAAAATGAGTGCTCTTATAAGTACAAGCTTTGCCTTACTTGTGAAAGAGCTATTTTCCAATAAATCAATTGATACATTTAAAGATAAAATACTTGAAAATATTGATATAAAATCAGCATATATTCTAAATAAAAGTATCAAAAAGAAGCATGTTTCTAAATTATTTAACGGATTTATGTTCTTTTCTTTTTTATTATTCTCAACCGGGTTAGGATATTACTACTACACAAAGATTTATAAAAAGCAAGCAAAAGATGATTCCAACAACAAAACTTATATATTTGGTGACATTATTAGTAAGCTCTCTAAGAAAAAAAATTAACAAGTTTAATAATAATAAACTATTAAGAAATATTAAATATGTTTTTGGCGCCAAAAAGGTATGTGCTTATTTTTACATGCAACCCCACGCAAACAATTATTGAGATAAAAAATGGCCTTTGGATTTTAATATATACAATATTTACTCAATTATTGTTTTCTTATGATAGTTATATACATATGATGCAAGTTTTTGCTAAATGGAGAAATGAGTAGAATGGTACTACTAAAATTTAATATTTTACTAGACTTCTTGAATACATTGAGAAAAGAAAAACCCGACAATATACTGTTTTTCAAAATGAATAAAACAAATATATATTTAGACCTATATATTTTTACTTAATTCCCATTCATAGTTTTATCTAAGCATTTCTTATAATGAATGAACGAATATATATATATATATGAAAAGTCTTTATTTAAAACAAGTGCAAAATGGGAAAACAAATGAAAAAAGTCTATAGATATAAGCCTTCAGGTATTCCACCCTTCTTTCTATACAAGGCTTTTTCTTTAGCTTTCCTAAGATCTTCTTGTGTAACCCTCATCCTTCTTTCTCTAAGAGCTAGAAGACCAGCTTCAGTACAAATCGCCTTAATATCAGCTCCGCTGATATCATCTTTTGCCATAATAAATTCTTCCAAGTCAACATCCTCGGATAAAGTCATTTTGCTTGTGTGAATTTGAAAGATTCTTCTTTTGGTTTTACAATCAGGATTTGGAAGCTCAATCTTTCTGTCAATTCTTCCTGGTCTTATAAGAGCTGGATCTAAACTCTCTATTTTATTAGTTGCCATAATAACTTTAACGTCTCCTCTTGCTTCAAAACCATCTAATTGATTAAGTAATTCAAGCATAGTTCTCTGAATGTCCCTCTCACCTCCGCTTTGAGAATCGTGTCTCTTAGTACCAACTGCATCAATTTCATCAATAAAAACAATGCTTGGAGCATTTTCCTCAGCAACTCTGAATAATTCACGTACAAGCTTTGGACCATCCCCTAAATATTTTTGAATTAACTCACTTCCAACTACCCTAAGAAATGTTGCAGAAGTTTCATTTGCAACAGCTTTAGCTAAAAGAGTCTTCCCAGTTCCTGGAGGACCATACAATATTACTCCCTTTGGAGGCTTAATACCAATATCATCATATAATTCAGGGTGTGTTAAGGGAATCTCTACTGCTTCCTTTATTTCTTGAATTTGTTGTTCCAAGCCACCAATATCTGCATAACTTTCTAAAGGAGCTTTATCTACCTTCATTACAGAAACCAAAGGATCCACCTCATCATTCATTATACCAACAACAGAGTATACTTTATTATGTAATAATACTGAGCTTCCAGGCTCCAGTTGGTTCTTATCTACAAACGATAAAATATTTACATAGTATTCAGATCCTACCGAAGATGAAACTATAGCATGATTTTCATCTATTATCTCTTCCAAAGTTCCAATGTTCATTGGAGACCCTCTTAAATCATCCACCTTATTGTGTTCCTCCTCTGCTGTCTCTGCCGATGGCTTTACACTCTCCATACTTGTGATAAATTCTTGTTCCATCATTAAATAATCCTTAATCCTTTCATATTTTAATAATCTGAGTCTGCATTTTGCATTTGGAAGCACTGTTGGTAGTCTTGCATATTGTGGTGGGCCCTTTTGCTTTCTTTTCCTCTTCATTTCCATTGGAGGTGGTGCAGATTCCAATTTTTTTTTCTCATCTTTACCATTATTTCTTGATTTCCTATTATTCTTCATACCCCCCTCCCCAAGTACACCATGCGAATTTCCCATACTTTACACTGTTATTACCTTACTTAAACATATATTTTCTTGTGTGTATTTTTTTTCAAATTCAGCTTAATTCTAATCGCTAGTCTCACCAAAAGAAGCTTTTCTTGACTTCTTTTTTTTCAAATTTATTTATTTATTCAGATTTATAGCTTAAAATTCCACGTGTGCCTTATGAATGCTTTATTCATAATATAATTGGAATTTTACATTTATAATGTATTACTTCTACTTCAAATAAATTAATATACCCCCTTAAAACTTTTCCCGCCCCCTCATTCTTATACCCAATATTTTTATGGATCAAATAATTGGCGCCAAATGCTCTTATTTTTAAAAATATTTTTAAAGCCCTATCAGAACAATTATTATATGAAAAATTTACAAAACATACACAATTAAAAGAAATGAATTTCTAAAAAGAAATTTTATTCTTGAAAATTGGGAATAGATGTTTTACTCAAAAGATTAGAACAACTTTTTACTATTATTACGAATAACATAATAATAATAACAATTTCATTCATGGCGCTGGCGCCAGGTGCATTTTTTAATTAACTTTAATTAGAGAATTTTTAAAATAATTATTAGAAAAAAAAAAAAAATATAACTTTGAGGTTAAACTTAGCCAATTTTTTGTAAATAATATTCAAGGAAATCGAAAATCAAAATATTTTCCCTGATAGAAAAGTTCATGGTTTTTTCCAGAATAAAAATACAACCAGGTTTATTAAACAATTCATATTAATAACATATTAATTTGATATGAAAATCTATAATTAAGAATTATGGAAAATAAAAGAAGAACAGAAATAAAACGACATTCTATTTTTGATTATAAGTCATTAACTAGAGCATTAGACAATGCAGGTGTAAAAAGAATTCATGCTTATACAATTTGGAGGAATATTGTACAAAAAAACATTAAAGATGTCTCAGAAATCAAGAACATCCCAAAAGCTGCTTATAAAGTAATAAATGAACAATTTTCCATATTAAATATACAATTAATTAACTCACAAACATCAAAAGATGGTAATACAACTAAGATTATTTTCAGATTACAAGATTCTCATGAAATTGAAGCTGTTATTATGAGATATGGTGATGATCAAGAAAATGAAAATACGAATTTTTGTAATGATAATGATGGTCAAGAGAAAATTGTTTCAAAAAAGTATAGAAGAATCTCAATATGTGTATCTTCCCAAATTGGTTGCAGAATGGGTTGTATGTTTTGCGCTACAGGTTCTATGGGTCTTAGAGGTTCTCTTTTATCAGGTGAAATTCTACAGCAATTATATTATATAAGAAATATACTTAACGAACCAGTGAGAAATGTTGTTTTCATGGGTATGGGAGAGCCATTGGAAAATTATGATGAAGTTATTGATGCAATTAGATTGATGATTGATCCCAGATTATTCTCATTATCTTCTGGGCATATACTTGTTAGTACTGTTGGTATACCTTCAAATATTATTAACCTTGCTGACGATTTACCTGGAGTTGGACTTTGCCTAAGTTTACATGCACCAAATCAAACTCTAAGAGAGAGAATTATACCAATTGCAAGATTATATAAAATTTCTGATTTAATTAGATCATTGGATATTTTCATTTTTAAGACAATAATTAATAAATGCCATAAAAATTTACTAGATAATAGAAATAAAGAACATATTAAAGATAACATGAATTATAATGACATATTAATTTCAAATAAATTGTTATATGGACATAAAATGATAATTATTGAATATACAATGCTTAAGGACATCAATGATTCAGAAAATCATGCAGTTGAACTTGCGAATTTACTCAAGAACACCCCAATTTCAAAAAATATATTTGAGGAACTAATAGATAATAGAGATGATAGTATTAATATTAATATTAATAAAAAAACATTTAATAATTATATAACTGATAACCAGATAATTAATAAGAACTTTAAAAACCATGTCGCAAATACTATTTTAAAAGAATTATCCAAAGATTTTAAGAGAACCAATTTTGCCATAGTTAATCTTATTCCATATAATAAAACCAGTACTAGCACTCGTTTTTCCACTCCATCTAAGGAAACCATAACAAAGTTTGCCAAGACACTCATTGATTTGAATATATTTGTAACAGTTCGAAGGAAAATGGGAGACGAAATTTTTGGTGCATGTGGCCAACTTGCATTAAAACATGCAGGAAATTATAATATTGAGGATATTAATCAACAATTAAGAGGAATTTCTGATGAATACCATTCTGATGAAGACTTTATAGATGATGAATTACTTATTAATTCATCTGAAATTGAGGATTCTGAGCTTGAAACATTGACTAGTTCTATTAATACTAGTGATCATTCTCAAACTTCAAGTAAGTCTGTAAATATAAAGAGCAATTCATTATTCTCCATACAAACTAAATCTAATAATAATTTCAAAATTTCAAATATATTTTCCACTATTTTCTCTTCGTATTATAAATTATGTAAGAGTTTTATAGTTAATAATAAAGCATCAATTTTACTTTTTATTGGATCAGGTTTTTATATAAATTACTTGCTCAGAAAAAATAGAAACTCTTAATATATATATATATATATATATATATATATATATATAATTTAGGTTTCAATTTGTTAATATAATTTATTTATATAAATGCTGTATTTTCTTTTATTCTTCCTAACAATTTTATTGATCTGTTCTTTTTTGATTAATAGATTCGGATACTATTGCTTTGTGGTAACCTTTTCAATTGTCTCAACTAATTCAAATAATGAACTCCCATCATCATCTAAACTTAATATAGAAATGTTTGGAACTTTATTTAAAAGCCTTTGTTCATTATCCTGATTAGTATCTATATGCATATTTGCTTGTAGCTGTCTTGCCATAAATGAAATGGATTCAAGCTTCTCACAGAATACAAGTCTATGCTTCTTCAATCCAGCCTTGAATATTCCAAATTCTTCCATATAATTTGTTATAACTTTCTCATCTTCATCAGTATCAACCTGTACGAATAAAAAAAGATCTGTGAACCCAGATAATTTTATTAATGATTCTTTTACCTTTAACTTCTTAAGATTTTCAGCTTCCTTATTGTAACAGAATCCTATTGAAACTTGAAATCCTGATGAATCGTCTTTACTTCCAATTTGCTCTGATAAACTCAGATTTCCATCTTGAAAATCTGTACCAATTTCTCTTTGACTTGATACTCTGGAATTTGCATATAATGTTCTATTATTGTTATTATTATCGTTATAATTATCGGTACTGCTTATATTGGAATCTCGTATACCAATCATGTACAGTATATAATTGAATAACTTTTTTATCAAATATTTATAAATTAAGTGAAAAAATAATATAATTAAACCCAAGAATATCGTCCAAACGATTAATAATTGCAGGTTCTGATTGGAGTTAGTTCTTGTAATATTTAATTTTTCCTTCCTCCTGGACATTTTAAATGTGATTTTCACTAATTTCAGATATTGTTGGTGCAAGATCCAAGAATTATTCTGTTAAAAAATTAATCAATTATTACAAAAAAATTTCGACCCACTTTATAAATCTTTTAATCAGTAGCTTTTGTAATTTATTAAGATATAAATTCTTAAATGTGTCAATTAAAGAATATTGTATTTCCTGCATTATAATTATCATTATAATAATAAATTGGTTGGCGCTCATTCTGAATTGAAATATAAGTTATATTACTTAAATTCTTTGTTTTACAGATGTATTAAAACTGAAGTTAATGACTTAAAAATTAGAGAAGATTTCAAATATTTACAATATTCCCACAAAAGATATGAATGGTTACATTCTTTTCTTAGGTTCTGGTTCCAAAGAAGGTATACCAAATCTTGAGCATGTTTTTAAAAATATAGATAATATTAATAAAGGAAATGATCCATTTTGTGAGATATGCCAAAAATCAATTAAGATTAAGAGTAAAAATGTACGAAATCCTTTTTCTATTATAATTAAAAGTCCCTTAAGTAATATAGACAATTTTCAAAATGAAGACCACAATACGTTTCTTTTCGAAATCGGTTCAAGCTTTAGAACTTCAATGCTTCAATACGCAATACCTGCAAATATTAACAGGATAGATAGTATTTTTTGTATGAGTTCAAATGAATCCTCTTTTAATGGAATTGATGAAACAAGGGAAGTCCAAATATATGAAAGGCCAGTAAGTAACGATGGAATAGTATTTTATGAACCAAAAATTAGAGTTCCAACATATTTGACATGTTCCGCAATATATGCACTTAATGACTGGTATAGGTATATAATCAATTACTCTTTAAAAGATGACTTGAAGTCAAAAACTAAAATTGGTTGTGTTCGACTTAACATACTTGATCCACGTAATTCTCCAAATGCAATTTCAATAGATTCACTATCTGCATTTAATGACTACTTAAATTTGAGTAAAAACTTTGAAATAACCGATTCAACTGAGAATAACTTAACTTTTAATCCAATTATTATTCAGTATTCCAATGAAATAAAAATTATATCGTTATTTTTCATTGATTCAGATAACAAGTTGTGTTCAGGATATTGTATTGAATACATTCACGATAAAAAGGTTATTTGTATTGTTCCAACTTATTCTATAATTCCAAAAGAAACTTTAGTACTTTTAAAAGCTATTTCGCTGATTAATATACTCATTTTTCCAATCATACCAAATGATTCTTTTTCAATAAATTCAGAATCAATTAAAGATTCAATTAATTTCTGTGCAAAAATGATGAATGCTGAGAAAGTTTTCTTTTATAATATTAATTGCAATTGCTCACACGAATTCGTCCAAAGAATTGTTAATGAAAAAAGCATTGAGTTCCCTAATATAAATTTTACAGTCTCTTTTGACTCCCAATTAGTCCCAATTAACTCATAATTTTTTTAATTATATTCAGCTTTATATTAAATTATGTTTACTAATCATTGTTTTAATTCTTTTTGATTTGTCTTCATTTATTTCCTATTTAATTTCAATATTAAATAACTCAAAAATGTCCAATCCTCAGTTGGCCTCTTAAATTAAATTTATTTCTTTCGAAATACTCCAAAAAAATGCACTTTTTTTTACATGCAATGTACTTATACATTGCATGCATGCATTCATGCAAATTTTTAAAATGCTAAAATTTCATTGTACACGTCATTATTATTTTAATGTGGACAATTTATACCGGTATAGAAAGTCAATAAAAAAATGTTAGTAATTTTAGGGGGAAAAAATAGGCATGATTGACAATAAAAATAACTAAATAAATAATTACTTTAATCACTTAAATTTACAATTTATTTAATTTACCATTAATATTTTTTTATTATTAAAAAAAATCATGAGGATTTTAAATATATTATTCTTAATTACTGTCGCATTATTTGGAGCTACAAACGCACGCCCTATCACCACAATGTTTCTAGCAGCATTTGATCCACTAGCATTGGCAAAAGAAGCACATGATAAATTGAACGAGGATATCTCCAAGGTAAGGTTAAATTTAATAGGTTTTTTTAAAAAATTTAATTCATTCATTCATTTTTAACCATTTTGTTTCAGAATACCGACCAAATGATGGAAAATATCTCAGCTCACAGTGAAGCTGCTCAAAATGTTCAAATTAAAGGAGCAAAAATTGAATTTGTTAAACCACAAAGCGCTGAAGATTTTGAGATACAGAAATTGGCAACCGAATTTTTATTGATTGTTAAAGCACTTAAAGAAGTTTCAAAAGAAGAAACAAAAGAAATTCTCCAAATTATTCCATCAAAATAAATTAAATGAATAGTAATTTGAATAATAAAATTGTAGAATTTTTCAATATTTAATTATTATAACAATAACCAAAGTAATTATAAAATATTAACTTATTATATAGGTAAGAATAAACCATCATATGCTAATTCAATGGAAATTGTGTTAATGCATTTACCCTCGCTCTTTAGATTGATTAATTCATTATGTAACATTTTATTTGTTTCATTGTGTTCAACAGAACATGTCATACCAATAAAATAAACATATTCTGGTGAGAATTCTTTAATAAACTCCAAAGATTGAGAGATATTTGCATGAGCATTACTTATTTTATTATATGAGATGGAATCCAAGATAAGTGTGGATTTTTTTCTACCTTTAATAGAATTTAAAAACTCAATCGAGACATTCAACATTGGAAACGTATAATCAGAGATGTAAATAATATTTTGTTCTTCAAAATGAAAGCAGTAACCCATACATATACAGTGACCATGATTCATTGGGAATGCTGTCACTTTAATATTATTTATAGAAAATTCGATATTCTTAAATTCCTTATTACTATTTAAATTTGATTCTCTATTAAAATTATTCAAAATATTAGAAAGATCATTGGAATTCAAACATTTTTCTGTTTTGCCATTGTAAATATCAAAAACATTTAATTCGTATCTGCGCTTGAAGTCTTTAGAACTGATCAAATTATCTTCAAATGCATGGTTATTTATAATTTTATTATGTCTTATATTGATAAAATTCAAAGTTTCAGCATTCATATAAATTGGGACCAATGATTCTTTTTTTTGTTGAAAATACAATATTGAATTAAATCCCCCAACTGCATCATCATGAAAATGAGTCAGAATAACAGAATCTATTCTGGATATATTATAACTTGGGAATACTGAAATTGCAGCTTCTCTGAAGGATTTTCCTAAATCTATTAATACATTATAGCAATCGTCATCACCATTGTCCTTCTCTTGTTTATTTGGAATTCTCACCAGAATTGAAACATTATTCCTAGTATTCTTGATCATATCAAATGGACTTTCTTTTTTACCTACATAGCTACATAAACATTTGTAATTTTTTGAATTTAATGCGTGATGTAATAAAGGTACCGAGCTCGAAACACCAGTACCAACAAATAAAATCCCACATGGAAGTTTCATTTATATTGGTCTACAAATTTGTGTATGAATTTATAAATGCACTAAAATCATTTACAAATATCAAAGTCAAACTTAATATTATATTGTTATTTTTTTTAAAAAAAAAAAAAAAAAAAAAAAAAAAACATCTATATAAATATATGTATTTGTATATAATTTATATTGGAAACTCATCATTACAAAATAAAATGTGCATGAGCCCGCCAAACTAGAATAATTATTGAAAGGATCCAAAATGGTGTGAGGAAAATTAAACGAAAAGAAAAAAAAGAGAAAGAAATTAAATAAAATAATAATAATAATATAAGTACAATCTCATACTTTTACAAATATATAAATATATATATATATTTATTTATATATTTATATATTTATATACCTAATATCTTGTATTTAATAGAAAGGGAAAATTTGGTTTGAGTGTTAAATTAACACCAAAAAACACAAACTCACTTTTTCCTATGTATAACTAATTAAGATTTGAGAATTAAATTGAATATATAAATTAATCCATACTAATGCCAATATATTATGCGGATTACCCAATTTTTGGGTTATGCTGTACAAAAGATTCAATTATTTTAAGTGGGGGAGGTGGAGGAAAGGATTATGGAATAGAAGATCAAATAGAATTATATGAATTAGGAAATTGTGAGACAGAATGCCAGAAATTAAATGCAAATGATAAAATTTCTACAGAAAGTTCTTTGATATTGAAGTACATTTATAATACAACCAAGCAAAAAGGAGTATTAGATAGTATGTGTTTTAATAGCAAGTTAAATTTGGTAGCAGGCGGAATAAGAGAAAGTTGTATACTGTTTTATATAGAAGAAGGAAAACAAGGAAAGTCAATTAGAATGTATCTTCAATTTCAAACAGTTTGGGACAGAAACAAGAAAGGTAAACAAAATGTCTGTAGATTTTCAAAAAATGGGAAATTCTTGATTACTGGTGGAACTGATAATATTGTCCGTATCTGGGAATTGAATACAGAGACAGAAAATACCCGAGAAATCTTTCCATTAACAATGAAGGAGTTTCATGGTCATGAAAATGAAATTCTGGATTTGGATATGTCATATGATAATAAATTCATAATTTCATCAAGTAGAAATGGAACAATAATAGTACATGATTATAATTCAGGAGAAATTTTTAAAAAATTCACAGTTCCAATGAAAAGCGGAAATTATATAGCGAGACAATGCCGTTTCATTGAAAATGAAAAGTTAAATAGTCCTAGAAGACAGAAAAATAATGATAGACAACAGTTTATTGTTTCAATGTTATTGCATGAAGTAAGAGGTCCGTCTTTCATAACTATTTGGAACATGAAAATATCTAAAGAAAATTCAAATGAAAATCCAAATAATCGTATATTATTTGCTCAAATTGCCTCGAGTTTGATTTGTGATAAACCATCTTCAGTTTTAGTTGTCTCTGAAGATTACAACTTTTTAGCTGTCGGTACTAACACAGGATTAATTAAAATATTCAAAAATAACCTAAATGAGCTAACTCTAGTTAAAGAAGGCACTTTTCACGAGCTTCCTGTTACTGGCCTACAATTTTTTAATTCTAATGAATACATTATTTCAACTGGAGCTGACTATTCCATTTCTGTGCTAAATGTCAAATCTGGAAAATTTTCCACAAATTCTAATAAAAAAGCTATTACAACTAAAAATAATCAAAGTAATGGACCATTAAGCTTTGGAATAACTGTCATTAAATATATTCTGATAATTATGTTCATTATTATATTTATTGCTATTTTTATTAATCGCTCTATAGAAATTGGAATGAATGTACAGTCGTCTATAAGAGACGGAAGTAAATCTGCTGAATTTTAATCAGTCCTAGCTTATAGTCATTACTTTATTAAAATTTTAAGTTTTATCATGGGGTTTCCATTCTTTTTTACTCTATTCTCTCTTTCTATTCATTTTATTCCCATCATTACCTTAATTACTCCAAAATATCATTTTGTCAGATTTCCCGCCCTACGTGGAATTATTATTTGCCCACATTGTAGGTATTGCATGTAAAATGCATGCATGTGGGGGCAGAATGCTGAAAAAAAAAGAAAATAATACTACAATAGTAGTAAATATAGGAAAGAGTAATAATAATTGTATGTTTACATGGCACGAGATATGAAAAAATGTTTAAAAAAATGTTAACATAGAAGTAAATCGTGGATAGCAATGCAGTTCGTCATTAAATGACTAAATATTAATTTATATTTATAAATAAATTATTTAAAAAAAAAAATCCTGCTATTAAAGTAAAATAAAAAAATATTAAAGACCTTTTTGTTCTTTACTCGTGGAATATTAACCGAAGGGTAAAGATAAACATAAAAAAATACAAACTAGTTGAATTAATATGGAGTGAGCAATAAACAAGGAGCAAGTATATATGTACATATATATATTATATATATGTATATGTACATATATCTTTATATAAATACATGTATAAATATATTAAGGTAATTATAAAAGAGAGCAGAGTTTGTAAAGAATACTAAAAAGAAAAAAAAAACCCAATCAGGCAAAAATTAATCAATAAGCTATTAATTTTGCAAGTTAAAATACTAAATATTATTAAAGTTCACGGTGAATTCCAGTATTATAAGGTAGTTATTGTTTTTTATTTATAAATTACACAATTTTTGAGTCGTTTCTCAAAATGGATGACAAATTAGAAACTGAAAAAGTTTTCATTGAAAGTGAAGTTGTTGATTGGAGCCAATATACTACAATGGATTCCACACAAGAAGATACACCAACTTGTGGAATTGGTGAAAATTTTGATAAATCTAACGAATTGGAAGCTAGGGAAAACAAAATTAAGGAAGTCCAAGCTCACGTTGAAAAGTCTGTAGAAACACAGGTAAAAGATAAAGATTCTAATGATATTTTAAAAAAGAGAAATAGTAATATTGATCAAGTTTCCGTAGACCAAAACAATTTGGAAATTAGAGACCAAGAGTCTAGTATTATTAATAAAGATGAAATTATTAATGATGTAGAATCTAAATCGGATGAAGAAAAAAATAGTGAAGAGTGTAATAACAATATGGGAGTTAGCAGAAAAGACTTGAATGGTTCAATAGTATCTACTAGAAAAGGAACAGGAACAAGACTAAGAAGGGCAGAGCATCAAAGTGGAGTTCCTGGAGTTTACTGGCAAGAAAGTAGTCAGAGATGGATAGCTCAGTGGAGCGATTCTATTTCAGGTAGAAGAATAACTCATGGATTTTCAGCAAGAGTTTATGGTTTTGAGGATGCAAAGCAAATGGCAATAAAATCAAGAGTTGATGCAATAGAAAATGGAAAAGCAACTGCAAGAAAGTTACATGAAACTAGTCTAACTGGGAAAATGTATTTAAATATGAATAAAGGCTGTTATGTGAATCATCAGAATGAAACTGGAGTGATAGGAGGAACTATTGGCTCTCATAATTACATTGGAGGAATTAAAGGAATGAAAGTGACAAAATATGGTACAGATTATGAAAAGCCAGAATGCTTATTAAAGGGAGATAGATCAATGGTAATGAATTTAATGGAAAAAAAGAATATACAAAAGATTATGAATAATATGAGTGATGAAGGAATTGGACTACTAATGGAGGAAATGAAACATTTAAAAGAAGATACCGAATATGAGGGGATATTTTGGCATCCAATCAATAAAGTATGGATAGGAGTTTGGTTAGATTCAATTACACATGAAACATGTACTCAATCTTTTCCACATGAAATGGGTGAGGATGGGATAGATATTTCTAGATTGAAGGCAATAGAATGGAGAGTAAAGTTAATCAATGAAAAAAAATTGAGAGATAATGTGGTTGAGTATGTTAATAATAAAGAATTTAAACACCATAATAACTATCCTAGCTTTTCAGGAATTCCAAATTCTTATAATATATTAAGTAATTATAACACTTCTGGAATAATTAATTCCTTAAATAATTCCAGTAATAACAATAGTAACAGCAACTCTTCATTAATTAATTTAAATGGTTTAACTAATAATAATAATAATACTTCTAGTGAAGCCAATCCTTCAATGCATCTACAGAATACTAATTATCAGCTATTATTGAATCAATTAATGAATTATTTATATTTTAATAGTAATAATAATGGCATTAACAACAATTTTAATGGAGGTGTAGGTATAAATAATTCTTTTGGAAACTTTACTGGGAATGCTGGTAGTAATATAATTGCTGACTATAATAATATGATTTTATCAAACATATTATATAATGGAGGGTTATTAAATGGTTCAAGTCCAATTAATATAAATAATTCTAATAATATGAATATTAATTCTATGATTTCTAATTGTTTAAATAACTACTACTGTAATATGTTAAAACAACAGTTATTTGGTGATCATTCTGAAAGCTTTACAATTAAGAGTAATAATAACAATAATAATAATAATAATAATAATAATAATAATAATAATAATAATAATAATAATAGTACTAATAATAATAGTACTAATAATAATAATATCAGTAATAGCTGCAACAGTAATAGTTTAACTAATAATTCACAATCTTTAAATATACTAAATTCAATGGATTTAAATTACCTATCATCCTCACAGATGTTGAATGATACTAATCCTGAAGGTATAACAAAGAATAAAATCATGAATAGTTTGATTCTGGGTGGTGGAGTTAGTAATGGTATTGGAGGATATTTTGGTAATTACTCAAGTTTAAATAATGTGAATATGGGAAATATATTAGGAATAAATCAAATGGGTGTTGGGAATAATGGAATGATTAATACATTTAATGGTGGAAAAAGTCATATTAATAGTACAGGCAATAATCATAATCAATATATGTATAACATATTACAGAATGCACTTGGACCCAATAAATCGATACCAGTTAATAATTTTGGATCCTTGTCTTTGGATAATTTAGATCAAATTCAAAATGTTCCAGTAAATTTGACGGAAGGTATGTTAATGAATAATTTCAATCAAAATCAAACTCAGTCTCAAGTTTTACAAAATAATGTTAATATGAACATTAATGGAATGATTAAAAAAATAATTTCACAAGATAATGGAATAATAATACCTAGAAATGATACAAATATGGGTGAAATTATGATAAATTTGGAAAAGATAGATTCATTAAGAGAAGAAATGACGAATTATAATCGTGGATTAAATAGCTTGTTAACACCTTTTGAGCCTTTAATTTCTGGAAACTCAAATATTAATAATAATATAGAAAGTAATATTAATATAAGTAATGAAAGTTATATTAATAATAATGGCAAGAACAATCATGTTAATATTAGTAACAATAATATTGGTATTAATGAGAATAACTGTGGAAATAGTGAAAATGTGGAGAATATAATAGAGAAGAAAATTTCAAGATCTGTGACATCTTCATCAGTAGACTCTTCTATTTCTTCAAATTCTACAAGCTTTTCAATGATAAAAGAATCATCAAATATGATAGAAATTTCGGATTCTACTGCTCCAACAGTCTCTTCAACTCCAGCCTCATCAAGTTCAAAGATAAAAGCAATTAATTCTCCTAAAAAAAAGAATTTAGGGGGAATTAGCTATAAATCAGGGATTCCAGGAGTATACTGGAAAACAAGAGACCAAGAATGGGTTGCAGAATGGTATGATCAGAACAGAAAAAGGCATTCAAGGCATTTTTACGTGAAAAAGTATGGATTCAATGAGGCAAAGAAATTAGCTATTCAGTGCAGATTGAATGCTGTAAACAGTGGAGAAGCTGTATTAAGGAGTGGTAGTGGAGGAAATAGTAACAACAGTAACATTACAATAATGAATGGAAATGTTACTAATAGTGTTAATGTTTCTAGTACTCGTAATATAAATGTTGCCAGTACAAATGTAAGCTCAAAGACAAACAGTGAAAATAATATGAATGGAGTTGTGAATATAAGAGAAGATGTTTTAAATAACATTGCAAGTAAAAATATGGCTTCAATTATCAACGAAGAAGTTGAGAGTAATAGAAATGGTGAGGAAGAAATAGTAAAAAATGGTAATATTAGTGTAAGTATTGGAGCAGATGAAAAGTAGGTTATATTTTCTGATACTTGAAAAAATTCTAAAGGATTGATGTAACAATAGAAATAATAATATGTATTTATAAGAATTTTCTATTTACTCGATGAACCATCATTAATGGTAGTTTGCATAGTATTCATAAAGTCATTCAGTACATTGTTAATTACCAAGTTTCTTTCTTGAAGTTCTTTCTGAACTTTTTCTTCATTAGCAATTAGGTTCTTTAATTTAAATGTAATTTGTAGTTTGGGGAGGTAATTTCATTAATATTGTGTTTTGTAGAAATTAGTTTTGAATGGGTTAAAAAAGTTAACGATAAGGAAGAAAATAGTGAATGAGGTTTAATTAAGAAAAAGTAATAAGGTGGTGAATTATTGACAGAAAATTTATATTTTTATAAATTCCACATCCCACAAATTTGACTAGTTTTAACAAGTGTTTTTTTTTGTGAAATAGTGGTGTTTTTTTTTCAATCAAAATTGTCAATATCAATATATTAAAAATTCACCATCAAAACTTCATTCAACATTTATTCTTTTTTTTCTAAAAAAGAATAAAATATTAAATGATAAAACTTACTTGTATTTGTTCTATATCTTGATTTATTTTATAATTAATTTCTCTGTGGGCGGGAAATTGCATGCATACATAATTACATGCATTAAGTGATGTTTATAAGATTAAATAAAAATAAAAGAAAAAAAAAAATTGTCTTTTATTTTTATCAATTAAAAATTACCTTATTTTGTTAAAGTTTGATTCAAAAGTCTCTCCCAATTTTTGGTGCATTTCCACAATCACTTGAATGAACGAATCTTTGTTGGCTGTGATTAGAATAAATTTGTATTGTTTTAAAATGCGAGCAAATATGTTTGAAATGTAAACAATGAATAATTTTTAAATTTTATTATTATTATTATTATTATTATTATTTTTTAAAATAAATTTTATATGGTTTTAGGTAGTATTTTGTTTTTTATATATAATTTAAAGGGATTTAATGAGTTTTTATTTGTTAGGAACTGTATTTGAGTAAAATTACCTTTAATTGTATCTCCATCTTTGTCTTTCATGTCAATCAAATTCTTCATTTTATTCTTTTTGAATCTCTTGTGTAATTAGAGTCTGATACTATATATTCCTTTTATTGTAAATTTATTATTTAATGGTTGTGAAATATTAAAATAATTAAAAATATTATTTATTTAATTTTTTTCTCAACATTTTTTTTAATATTTAATTTGATTATTGCATGACAAAAAATTTTTAATTTTTTCCCTATAACGTCAATAATTATTTTTGCATGTGGAAAAAAATTATATATTTTATCACACCAGAAAAATAAAATAAGCTAAGCTTAAATTATAAAAGAAGAAAAATCATCATATTTTTTTTTTATTTTAACCTTTCTAAATATTGAATTAGATTTTACACAGTTTTAATAATTTAATATTTAATAAATCTTTTTTTAGAAATTATTAATTATTTTCTTTTTCAATTAAAAAAAAAGAAATGATGGAAAGAAAAAATAACAAGATAGAAGAAGCAATTAAAAAGATTTTTCAAGCTTCAAGCTTAGAAGAAATAAATAAGCTTAGTACGGATATTTTTGGAGAAAAAGTTACTTTAGTTTTGAAATATTTTTGTCCTATTTATGGTGGAATGATATTTTCAATATTTTGCAGAAGAATGATTAAAACAACTCTTATTATTACTGGTACTGGTTCTATTGTGTACATTTTAATGGTAAGTTAAGTTTATTGATAATTTTATTTCTAATAACTAAAAATTGGGATTTCTAATTATTTTAAAAAGAGGCATAAATATGGCAAACAAAAGGTAGATGAGGAACTTATTAATCCACTTAAAGAAGGTCTTTTAAATTCAAATATTAAGAAATCTATTTTTGATTATAAAAACGATCATTTTGATTACCAAAAACTAAAAAAGAAAATGAAGAAGTTTTTCGAAACAAACAAGAATAGTATTTCACTTTTTGGATTTGGTATGATGTTAGGTTTTATGCTTTAAAAAGATTTTTAAAAAAAATATATATGAATAGGAATGGAAATGAAATTGTATTAATTAATATGATACTTTTAGACTATTTTTAATAATATTTTCTATTATAAAATCATTATTTAATACACATTTTCATTATTTGACACTATTTCTTTTCTTTTTATTCTTTAATTTTAATGAATAAAAAATGAATTATTTGAATATTAATTTGTTATTATATTTAATAATTCATTCTTTTTATCCTCAATAAATTTATCCCTTAATATTTTAATAGTACTTAAAGATGATGAAAGTAGTGTTTTTTTTAAAAATTCAGGAAGTTTACCATTTAGATCACCAACCCATAAGATATCCATCCTCAAAATGATATTATCATTATTTATTGGTAATTTTTCAACTTTTACACCATTTAAATAGCATTTTGCTTTAACAAAAGAAGGATTACAAACATTTTGTGTTAATGAATGAAATTTTTTATCATCGCTTAATTCCTTTGATAAATCAGATGAAATAAAGAATGCTGAATCACCAATTTTTGACTTTATTTCTTTATCAGGAAATTTACTATTATTATTATTATTATTATTATTATTATTATTATTATTATTATTATTATTATTATTATTATTTATTAATTTATCATATTTTTTACTCTTTTTTGACCGTATCTTTAACCTACTTGGCGAAATATTATTGATGATCTTCCTTTTACTATTTAATAAATTAGAATTTGGAGAATTTACTCGACTTGGTGAACTAGATGTTAAAGTTGCAAAATTAGAAATTTCACATGATGAAAACTCATCTTTATTATTATCAATAATATCTTTATACCCAATTAATATAAAATCTCTACCTTGAACTCCAAGAGCTCCTTTATATGAATGATAATAAATACAAAATCCTGGATTCCCATCATCCCATGTATATACTCTATTACTTCTATCAACAGTATTATCATACGAAAGTGGATCAGTATCCCATATATAGTTAACCAAATCTTTTGATGTTATTAAATCATTTAAATGGCAATTATTTTTTATATTTGTAATTTTTTTCTTTCGTAAACTTTGATAAAATAATTCGTTTTCTTTATTAATATCAGTATCAATTATTCCTCTAATTACTGTATAAGTATCATTATTATTGTCTTTCTTTTTATAAAATTTAATTCCATTTTTATGACCACTTTCTTCCCATAAACTAACTTCTTCTATTAATCCTTTATATTCAATATATTTTTTTTTCATGAATCTTTTTATTTTTTGAAATAATAAATTCAATTCTTTATCATTTTCTTTTAATTGATTTTCTTCATTAATTATTTTTGGTGTATCAATGTTACTCAATGAAGAAGATCTTGACAATTTTTCAGATCTTTTAGATGAAATAGTTTTTGATATATTTCCACCAACGCTCTTAAATTTTGATGGAAAATCAACAATAATATTTTTTTGTTTTGAGTTCTTAATCATCAATTTAGAAAATTCAATATTACACTCACAATCTAATTCCATATTCGGAAAATCTTTATTTTCTTCATTATAATCAAGTGAATAAAATTTGTAATCTTCTGAATTATTTGAACTTAAATAAAAATGTCTGTCTGAATCATTTGATAATAAATTTATATATTCATTATTCTTTTCATTATTAAAATTCACCATATATTCTTTTAAACATAACAAGTTGTTTTTCATCGCAAAAAAATTACCACTATTATCTAATTGTCCCATTTCATCCTGCTCCTTTTTTAATATCAAATCCTCAATAAACTGATTACTTCTTATTTTTTCCTTAATATTACTCTCTAATATGTTCTCATCATATTCCTTTTGGAAATTCCTCTCATTTACTTCCAAATTTTCAATTACATAATTTATTGTATTTTTCCTTTTATTGTGAAATACTATTTTCTTTGGTTCTTTCCTCCATTTAAATAGTCTCATTTTTAACTAGTTATTGAAATAAATTATATTCTTTTAATTTATTATGTATTAATATATATACATAATATACATAAATAAATACTTATATATATACATATATATATCAATCTATAATATATATATATATATATATATATATATATGATATATATATATTTATATATACATGTATAAATAAATTAATATTAATATATGTGCATTATACTTTGATTTGAAATACTTCAATACTATGATGTATTATTATATATTATTTGACTGCTTCAGGACTCAATTGTATTTGAACTATAACAATGATTTCTATTATCTTTCTCAATTTTACATTAAATAATTAGACTTGGCTTAAATTTAATTAATTCAATAATAATTAAAAAAAAAATCAGTTAAATTAAAATAAATATAATAATGATAATAATAATTCTCTATAAAGTTTTAATTTGTTTTATAGCATTCAAAAAAACTAATTATTTATTTGTTATCTTTTTATGTGGACCATTTTTCTGCATATACATGTTGCATGCAAATGCAAATTATAATTTTAATTACGTGTCCGGCATCAATTTTTATTTTTAATGTGGACAAGAATATGTATATATTATATATATATTTATATATAAATGTATAAATAAATTAATATTAATCAATATGATATATATTATCTTTTTTTTCATTTTTTTTTATGAGATATTTTTCTTCGAAACCATTTCCTCTAATAACTCCATCCCATCTATAGCCACTTTCAATAAAAAACCGATTTTGAGGAGAAGTAAATTTGCACTTAAGCTTTTTAGCTTCCAAGTCAACAAAATCACTCCTTAAAACTGTACTATTTATTCCATCATTTTGCGCATTTATTAGTTTAATCGGGTCGTCCCAAATGTCTTTTTTTCTTAATTCTTCGTCATAACTTTTGCTTAAATAATAACGCCCACCATCTATTATTTCGTCCTCTTGTATAGATTTCTGCTCATTTGTATGTTTCTTCCTAGCTTCTTCAAATTGAACAATACCGCTACTAAACTTGATAAATTCGGGATCTTTTTTGAACTTATTTTTGTTAACGCTTTTCTTTAAACTCTTCTTTTCATTGATTTTTTTCTCATACCATAACTCCTTGTCAATAACTCTTCCTTTTTCGTCCCTGTAAATCACATTTCCTTTCATGATTATCCAAGGAAAAAATGTTCTGAATGTTCAGTACGAACTCAATTCTTTCATTTTCTTTTATTTCAAATGCTTATATATTCACAAACTTTATCAGCATGTGGCGGTGCTAATACCGCCAAAAGTTAATATGTTATTTGACCAATTAAAGAATATATATATATATATATATATATATATATAATATATTTTCTATTATAATATAAATAATTGCTTGCAAGTTAAAAAAAGTTTATATATGAAGGGAAAAATTACCTTTAAACAAAAAGATTTACATCCATTCTTTTTTTTTATTTTAAAGGCTTCAACATTTAATCTATGTCAATTTCTCTTCAAAAAATCAAAGCTTTTTAGCAACTCTTTTCGAAAAATTATGTGGGGTTTATTTAATATAAATCATTTAAAGACCTTACTTATGCTTGCATATATAATTTCACTAATTTTTTTATTAATCTCATTTGAAACTAAACATGTAATTGCAGTTAGTATTGAGTTAAATGACAAAGCAAATTCTAATACAAACATTTTTAATTTAGAAAACAAAAATTCAAATATAGACAATATAGAAGAATCCATTCCGTTTACAGAGTCTCATTTTGTTCCAGTTAAGAAAATTGATCTAGAAGAAACCACCAAAAATAGTGGAAATAATAGTATTAATTCATCTAGGAAAATAATAGAAATTGTTACAATCAAAACAGATGAATCTTTTGAAAACTTACTAAATAATAATTATTATTTATTAATATTATTTACAGCACCATGGTGTGGAATGAGCAAAAGAGCTATAAGTCAAATACACGAAATGGTAGACTATTTTGAAAATTCTAGAGATTTTCTTGCTGAACATCTAAATAAGTTGTTTTATTCAAAAAAGTTATTAATTGGTTTGGTAAATGTGCCAGAATTTCCAAATATAACAAAGAAACTTAATGTTTTAGATTATCCAACAATTAAATTAGTAAAAAAAGAGGATAATCTTAAATTAAAAGTTATCGATTTTTACGGAAACATATATTATAAGAAGGTAATTTCTTGGATAGTACAACAGATAACTAGATTGGAAAATAATCCAAAATCACAACTGATTCAACTTTCAACCATAGATAATATAAAATTCTTTTTGGAAATTAGTGGATATTCAGTAATATATTTGCATGAATTTGAATCTTTTAATAAATATAATAATACAGAATATCTGCTAGTTATTGATATTTGTAAAATATATGATGATGTTATTTTTGGGGAAGCCAATTATAATGATCTTAAAAATAGTTTATCAATTAATAAAGACTATTTAAATAAAAATGAATTTCACTTTAATATTACAGAAATTATAGATAATTATGAAAATAAATCTAAAATACTCCTTTTTAATTCCGGTAGACATGTTAAAACAATTAATGGTCCTTTTAAAGAAGAAGCATTAATTTTAAATACTATTGATTATTACAAACAAGAAAATATTATATTTCTAAATAAAGATACTATTGGTAATTTAATAGACAATGGTGGTCCAATATTATTACTCATTTTTAATGGTAATAGTGAGAATTATATTGAAGAACTTAATAAAGAGTCTTCTATTATTTACCAATTTCATAATATTCTACAGAGAGTTATTTCCATTAGAAACGAAAAGGCTGATAAATCTAACAGAAATCTTGAAGAAAGACCATTATTTGTGATGTCCGGAAATGAAGGTCCAATTAATCGTAGATTTATGGACTTTCTACATATTGATGATGATTTACTTCCATCAATTATTATGATAAATGACCTTAATGTATCACCTCCAAAGAAGTTTCATTTAGATTTGCCAAAGATTTACCTAAGTAACTTAGATAGTAATACAGGTATTGGTACTAATACTGGTAGTAATAACAACAATGCAGAAATACTGTCAATAGGGAAACCTAATGAGTCTAACTGGATTATTTTAAATAACCATACTTCGATTAATTTTTCTCCAAACATTATTAGTGACTTTATAGATGAAGTAAAATCAGGAATTGTAAATAATACTTATCATTCACAAGTAACACCTTCAAAACAAAATGGTCCAGTATATATTTTAGTTGGAAACACATTTAAAGAAATAGTATATGATTACAGTAAGGATGTGCTCGTGCTATTTTATACTTCATGGTGTGGACATTGTAAGACTTTTGATCCAATATATAATGAAGTAGCCAGTATTGTAACCTCAAAGACTAATGTTCTTGTTGCAAAAATTGACATGTCAGCAAATTTCATTCCAGACGATCAAATTGGCGGGAAAATTTTTAGATTTCCAACAATTAAATTGTTTAAAAAAAAAGATAAAACTAATCCAATTGATTTCGATGGAGAGAGAGAGGTTAATTCCATTTTGGATTTCATTTGGATACACACTGCTCGTGATGAGCTTTAATTTTTTTTTTTTAGTTTGCATTAAAAAGTTATAAAATATAAGAAAAGAAAGAATATGAGGTGGTGAAAAGAGGAAAAAATATTGTATGTTTTTTTTTATATTAACGAGTTTTTAGGGTTTATTAATAATTATCTACAATTAAATTTAACTTTTTTTTTTTAATCCATTATTTGCAAAATTGTTTATGATAACTCCAATCCTTTCTTTGGCAGTCAACATTGCAATATGCTGCTTTCTTACACCTACTACAGACTAAGAGAGTCTTCTCAGACTGCTTCCTGCAACTTTCACACCTATTTAATATTTTATCTTCCTCTTTACTTTTTAGTAAATCTGTTGGATTATTTAACATTGTTGATATCTTTGAAGCATCCCATCTGTTTGCTGCGGATGGAGGATCTTTATATAGTTTTTCGTAATCTTGTTGACCAAAACTAACTCTTTTAAAGACATATTCGTCATCAAATGATGACGAAATAAAGCAGTCCCCTCTTACATCAGTTGAGCAAATCTTTGATGCTCTTGGATTAATAGGCATCTCTTTAATTCTTCCAATTGAATCAATATATGCATTAGTTGCTATAAAATTGTTATTCTTGTTTGGTAATACTAAACTTATAATTTCATAATTCTGGCTATTCAATATTGCTTGTTCAATAAGCTGATCAGAAGCCTTTGATTCCTTATTAAATGTCTCTTGTAGTTTAGAAACTTCACTACTTCTTAATTTACTGGAAAAATGTGAACGCATTAAATTTTTGAAGTTCACCTCCTTACCAGAAAATTCTCTAACTTCTATTTTATCTGAATCATGGTATGGAATAAAGACATAAGTAAACTTCTCGTGAACAACTTCATCCAGAGATTCCATATTTTAAGTTTAATCAGCTTCTTTTTTAGTAAAAACTATAATATTAATGATGCTATTTCAAAATAATTAATAAAATCTTTATTAATATTATAATTATAATGAATATTGCCGCCATTTTAGTTTAATTTTTTTCTTAATTTTTTTAATTAAATGTATTTATTAATCAAATTAAATTAAATAAAAAAAGTTAATTCAATTTAATTTATTTAATCTGCTTTTAATGATTTTTATTTAACTAAATTACTTCATTTTAACTCCCTTTAACTCAAAAAAAGTAACCAAATTTTTTCCGTGTTTATCATTTATTAAAAAATTTGTCTGCCATGTAAGCACATGTCTGACTGCATGCAAGTTCTCAAACACCGGTATAGAAAATATTAACGTTAAATAAATTTTTCCATATTATTATATTTTGAATTATATACAATTATTAATATTTGTCCACATGAAAATTATTTTAAGTTAATTTAATTAGAAAAAAATATAAAAATGATGCCACGTCATTTTTTGACCACTAGAGATCAAAAAAAAAAATAGATAAAACAAAAAAATTTAAATAATATTAACACAGAAAAAATAGATTTAATATGTGAATTTAACACTTTATGCACAAAAGTAATAAATGTAATATTTTTTTCCATATTAACAAAAAAAATATATTTTGATTAATTACAGAAAGAATTAATTAAAAAAAATAAATATTTTTTCTTTTGTAAAATAATTATATGCTAATAGGCAAATTGATGACAACAAACTAATAAAAAATAAACTTTGAAGTAACAATAAATATTACAAGAGTTCTATTAGAATTAACATTTACTTTTTTTTATAAAGATTACAAATTCAAATAAATGACAAAAAAAAAAAGCATAAGAAACTACAATGTTACAAACAAAAGAGTTAATTTATCAATTGTTAAAAATATAATACAAAACAAATATTATGGAGGAGCACAAAGCAATGGGTTCAGAATACCACAAACATTATCACAAAAGTTGGAATTTAAAAAAATGAAATTAAGTAGTATTCTTAATATAACTAATGATTTGCCACAAATAATACGTGGGCATTGTAAATTAAGTAAAACATCCAAGATTATTGAGGTTGTATTTAGTAAAGAGATACTTTTTGTATTGTAAGTTTTAAATAATCAATAATAAATCAAATAAACTAAATAAAAAAAAAATAAAAAGAAATGATTCTGGTTTAGGAACAGCATATAATAGACATAATAATAATATGTTATGTATTTTGAATAGATCCCCATCTGAAAGTAAGTTGCGACGTGATTGAATTGAATTGAAAAGATTTCCAACACTAATAATTTAATTCAAATTTAAATAAAGCAATAAGATCTTTATTCTATAACAAGATGAATAATACAATAGTTATAGCATTTCATCATGATCCATCAGTATTAAATTGTACTATTTTTAATATAGATGATGTAATGTTAAAGAGAAATATCTCAAGTAGTATTGGAAAAGATTTTCAGCAAATTAAAGTAGGAAATCCAGGATTTATTGAGTTTGATGGTAAGTTTAATGCTTGCTCAAATTTAATAAATTTTTATTCATATCTTAAAAAAACTAAATTTTATCCAGATGGAAATGGAAGAATAGTAGTAGCAGATCCACAAAATGACTATTTTACATTTTGGGATATGAGTAATTATAATAAATTATATCAAATTAAGGGTCAAAATTTTTTGGAAATGAGAATATCTGATGGTACTGTTGTATTTTTTAGGTAAGTTTTGTCATTAATAGAATATTTTTTTGTTATCACCATTACTCATTATTATTTTAGACAACCATCTTATTCAACAATTGAAGCACATTTATGTAATATATCAAATGGGGAATACCTTGTAAGTTTCTAAAAGAAAAATCTTAAAAAAATATAAATTATTAATATTTTATAGGAAAAAACTATAGTCAAATTAAGATCATCATTAGATATACAATTTTTAGAATTACATAGAGAGTATTTATTATTAAAGCAAGAAAGTTGTTCAATTAGGGTATGGAATTTGTTAACAAATTCAAGCAAAAAAATCTCTAAGACTAGAGACTTTCATCCTAAAGCATTTATTTTTTTTGATCAAATTACTGAAATTAATAACTTTACCCATTTTTTAACGGTATCTACTGATGAAATCAACGTATGGACATGTAGTAATTTTGGAGAAGTAGAAATTAAATTCAGAATTTCACTACCAGGAATACAAACAGCTGATTGTGTAAATGTTTGCTTTAGTAAAGGAATTATTATGACATACTGTAATGGATTGGTAATTAATGAATGTGAACAAGAGAATGAGGATACAAACAATACATATCAATTACGAGAATATAATGGAATCGAAAATAATAGCTATATGAGTGGGTTTATACCCCAATTCATTCAAGCATCTAAATATTTTACAAGTCTTTGTGTAGGAAATAATAATACTAGTACTGAAAACCCTACAGTAGTCAGATCTAATAATATATCATTGTCGACAACAGTTACTGGTGAAACAATATCTGAAGGTGAACAAGAAATAACTAGCACCAATTATATTCAAATGAATAAAAAAAATTATCCTGATCCAAATCAAAATCATATACCACCTGTTTTAGAATTGAATACAAACTCTTATTTAAATCAGCAAGATGGACTTTTGGCGCCAATATGTCCTTTAATAGATGAAGAAACTGAAATCTTTTCAAAAGATAAGAATTCTCTAAGGAAAGCAATATATATACATTCATTATATGACGGATCCAGTTTAGGTACAATATTCTGTGACGATATTAGTGACGATTCAGAGGATGTAGTCTTATTACATTACGATAGTGATGGGATGGAAATAGCATGTGGTACAAATTATGGCTTATTAAGGAGATACAAACATATATTTGGGTAATTAAACAAATCATAATTCAAATTTTGAAAATAATATATATACAAATATATATATATATATACACATATATAAACAGTGAGTAATAATTAGGTGTAGAATTAAAATCTAAATGTGAGAATGTATTGAATAGGATACACAGTATAGAAGAATGTAGAATAAAGAGATAATAAGTATATGTAATTAATAGTGTGTAAGATACGATAATGATTGGATAATAAGTTCTCATATTTAAATTAACTATACTAGTAGATATAAAATTGACTATATTAAAATTATTAAAATTAGCAAAGAGACCAAGGTTTATTTATCTTTAGTTTTAGCCCATTCAACATTAAGTAGTAAGTTATCATATCCATGACGATTAAGTTTTCTAATTGCATTTTGAGCTTCTTCTCTTTTTGAATACGTGATAAATGCAAAACCTTTGGTGTTTTTAGAGTTGTTTTTGTTTTTAGCGAGGAAGACTTTGACAACTCTTCCAGCAGTTTTGAAGAGTTCTTGAAGATCTTCTTCAGTTGCGTCTTCAGAAAGATTGGCAACTCTGACAGTACAGTCGTCTCTATGTGATGATTGTAAGTTAGAACCCCTTTCAAAGGCACTCCCAGAGGTGGTTCTAAGAAATGGAGGTTGATATCTGTTAGTACTGCCACTTGTAATGTTCCCAACTATGGGACCACCAATTCCACTATTTCCCCCAGAACTTATATTTGAACTTATTATTCCACTTCCAACTGTTGTTTTAACATCACCTATACTACCTTTATTAATTAAAGAGGATCCAAATCCAAGATTCAATCCATTCGAAGATGTATTGGTTCCAAATCCAGTTGATGGTGAGCTCAAGTCATTAATAGAGTTACTTTGTTGACCATATGTAATCTTTTCAATCTGTTCATCACCAAGAATAAAGGGGCAGTTATTTCCAGATTTCTTAAACAACGAGAGTTTATTATTATTGGAAGCAGGGAGATCCATGAAATAGTAATCATCATCATTATCTTTATCTTGAAGGTTCATAGAGTCTGCATTTTTTGGAATATCAATAGAGATTTCATCTCCAAGTTTTGGAACATCTGTATCAGAGTTGAATCTATCTGCTAAATTCCTTTCCATAATTAATCTTCTATTTACAACATTCTTGTTAATTTTAATAATATTTCTTACTTCTTTGATTTTTTTTGTTATCTTAATTGTAGAACCCTTATTGTCTTTTATGTAGCTAATCACATGTTTAATGCCATCTTTATCTGGTTTGGATTCAAAACCTTTTAATGGTTCATCAAATGATGGCTCAAAGTCATCTATATCTTCATCAGCCCAAGCACTTCTTCTTGCATTCACAAAATCCGCGTCCATCATCACAAATATTTTGGACTTAATATATTCAGAAAATATCTAATTTACTATTATTTTTTATATTTATCAATAATTTCCCAAATCCCTCTTTGACTAAATTTTTTAAAATCTGGTTTCAATTTCTCAGAATGTATATTTCGGTTAATAGTATATTTATTTATAATACTATTTTTTAAACCTTTTTTTTGGCCTATTTTTCTCAAATATTCCTCAAAAATAGTTAAATGTAAAGTACTTCTCTCAATTTAGTACTTAAATCTCCTTGCTTTATTACAACCAATTTTCTCCCAATCTGATCTCTTTACCTATTTTTGATGTGAATACTTTTTTTTTCCAAACACCACAAGGTACCAAATATTATCTATTAATATATACAATTTTTTTTTCAAATAGGCGGGCTGTCTCAAAAATAATAAAATATGAGGAACAGGGGGAAATTAAATTGAAAAATTACAAGTAACTTTCAATTTTTTTTCTCTCATTTTTTACTTTATTTCTAAAAACTCATTTAGTTTTAGTTAACTTCCAATATCTTTAAATGAGGAATTTTAACTAGACACAAACATTGTTTAGGATTAAAAGAATTGAAATGTGATAGAGGAGGGGAACTAAGAGGTGGAGAGGTAAAGAAGAGAATATACTCGTCTTCTTAATATTTATAATACTTTCTACTCTTAAAATAAATCAGGCCTTAATCTAAAAAAAACAATTATAATCCTATAAGTTTGTATCTTAAAACTACTTTTTTTTTTTTTTTAATTAATTACTAGTACTGATTTATCATATTACTCTTATTAGAATACTTCTCATGTACAAAGAATTAATTTAGATTAATAAGGTTCTGAAAATAACTAGATAGAAATTCTTGATAATCAAAAATAAGTTCATTAAAAAGTTTTGGATTTTCAATATCTTTGAATAAATATTTATTACAGTAAAGTAGTCCAATATAAGAATTAAACCAAATGTAATATATATTTGAAAACATATTTGAATCATAAAATTTTGAAATCTTTGGATTAGATGCCAACCTAATACATGTTAAAAGCTTTTGGAATACCCAATAAGAATTACTATAACCTCCAAGAAACTTCAAAATTGTTTTATTCAAATTATCATTATTATAATACTTAAGCTTGTAAAAAATTCCTCCTTTATAATTTTCATCATAATTTCCATTGAATATATTACCAGTAATTACTAGTAATATATTAACTAATAACTGAATCATTTCCTTAAAATGTTTATTATTATTTAATTTATTATAATTAGAAATTGAAATCTGTTGTATTAAATTTCTTATAAAGTCTAATAGTGAATATTGATTAATCATTTGTATTATTAAAGTCACAGAAGAAGGTAAGTTATTAGCTTGATTTACTTTACTTATGCTTCTATTTACCTTATCTTTAAGTAATATTTCAACATTTGGATTTGAAAATGTAAGAGAATTATTAATTATTTTCATAGATTTCATTTCAGATTCCAAATTCAAATCCTGTGTTAAATTTTGTTTAATCTGTAAATCTATATCTTGATCAATATTCTCAAGATTGTGATAAATAATATTTGACTCTTTATTATTAATCATATTTAGTATTATATTTAAAATATGTATAGTATTCTCAAAGTAATTATGCTGAGAATATATATTATTTGTTTTTATATAATTCAATAAAAGAGGAAAAATGAATCTTCTATTTATAGAATCATGTTCTTGCTCTAGTTCTAAACCTTTAACATTTTTTAAATATCTCAATATTTTAATGCTTGTCTCTAATTCATTAAATATAAAAGATTTGTGTATGTAATGGTCATTTGCATTTTCTGAATACAAAAAATTAAATACCATAGGAATATCATATCTGTCCAAAAATGGCCTGGATAATATAAAGTAGTTAATTTGTTTAAATAATTTATTTTCAGGTTCAAATATAACCTCAATAGAATCTGATATAAATCTTGTCAGAAAAGATGATAATCTGATGCAATCCTCATGCTTGCTTTCTGTCTCTTTAATCATTTTATCAGAGTTCTCGTCTTTTTCTTCAATTTCTATTTCTTGGTTCTCATTCACCAATGTTCCCGATACTGTGTTTTTTAATGTATTCAAAATCATAAATATCTGAGGAAGCTCTTTGAATATATATCTTATGTGTTTCTTTCTCTGTTTTTTGTTTCTCTTCTTCTTATTTATAACCTCTATTTTTTCCTCCTGTTTTTGTTCGCCCTGTTCCTGTTCATCCTCTTCCCGTTCATCCTGTTCCTGTTCATCCTGTTCCTGTTCATCCTGCTCCTGTTCTTCCTCTTCCTGTTCATCATGCTCCTGCTCATTCTGTTCCCCCTCATCTTGTTCCTGCTCCTCTCGTTCATGCTCATCCTGCTCCTGCTCCCTCAACCTCTGGAGATATTTATTATAGTGAAAGCTCACAATTTCATAAAGTAAACTCAAGGTTTGGTAAGAATAGTACCTTAAGGAAATATCTGTACAAGATAAAGAATTTATTAGTAATTGAAGAGATCCATTTTTACAAAAATTTCTCAACCAAATAAAGTTATTATCTATCACATTGTTAAAAAATCGTGACCCACTTAATTGACCGTAATCCTTCACAAAACCTGAACAAGTTCGAGTATCTCCTCCTACTTCTTGATTATCTGTATCTCCAATCAACTCCTTATTATTTTCTTCTCTGTTATCATTACCTAAATTCTTATTCTTTGAATTCTGAAAACCTCTCTCTCTTAATATTGAGTAAGCTAACTTAAATCTTGAATTAATTATTGGAATTATAAGTCCTAAATCATAAATATAATCGTTCTCTGGTCTTCCATCATTCAAATTAAAAGTTAAATCTGAATTTTTCATCAACTTTGAATTATATGGAAAATCATTTAAAGTATATTTTAATCTCTTCAAATTTGGATTTAACCAATTAAATTCTGAAATATGTTTATTATCAAAATCTATATAATTATTATTCAAATAAATTGAATAATAATGATACCAATATTTTACTAATCTCATCCTTTCTTTTACTCTATTATTCCTTGCTTCTTCTTCATTATCATTTATATTATTTCTCTCTCCATCATCCTTATCTTGTCTTATTCCTCCTTTATCTTCTTCGCCTATTAATGTCTCCTTTAATTTATTATTAACCAAAAATATATTATGATTTGCTAATATCAAACTTTTAAATTCTTTACAATTTATATTATAATCCTCATTTTCAAAATATTCCTCATTATTTCTATCTATTTTAGATTCATTTAAAATCTTGTAATATAAACTATCAGATTGAAATTTACCAATCTTTGTTATCTTTAAATAATCCATTATATACTCTTTTGAAATTAATAAATTCACTCTTTGATTCTTTTCTAAATCTATTAAACTCTCATCTAATATCTTATCACTACTATTAGTACTTGAACTATTTCCATCTTCTTTTAATATTAACAAATACTCTATAAAAATAAATATTACAATCATATTTCTTGAATTATTATCAGTGCTTAAATCATCTTTCTTTAAATATTCAAATAATATCTCATGTATCTTATTTAAAAATACCAAAATACGATTCAATTTTAGTAATACAAAATTACTCAATTTATTATATATACTTTTTCTATATTGGAAAAATCTCATCTGTTTAATTTTTGCTATATACAAAGTACTTGCTAATAATATAATTAAAAGAAAATCTGATTCTTTATTATTACCATAACTATCCAAAATATGTTTACTATTGTTTATAAAAGTTTTGCTTGATTCTATAAAACCTATTGGATATTTATTTTGATATTCCTTTATTTCTTTTATTTGAATTAATAATTCATAAAATGATTCATTTAAATCATAATCCAAAATAAAATTCAAATACTTTTTTTCTATTAATCCTATTTCTTTACATTTCTCCTCTCTTAATTGAATTAAATAACTCCTTAAACAATAATATATTGGATTATTTAATCTGTCCATTAATACCGGTACTAATATAATATAATAATAGTATAACCTTAAATAATGATTTATTTCCAATTGATTTTCTATACCAAATAAAGTCTGAAATTTTAATAATATTACATTATAACATTCTATTAATATAGATATGATCATCTTTTGATCTTCTTGTGATGGATTTTTTCTTTTCTTAAAACTCTCATAATGTAGTAAATAACCCAAATATACTATCTCACTAATTAATGTATTATCATTACTATTATATTTCTCTTTTTTTTCTCTATTATTTTTATATTGAGAATATAAATCAATCAGAAAAGTAAAAATCAAATTTGAGTTAACCATAATATGCCTTCTTTTGCATCCAAAACTCATTTTTTTCTTACTTTCTTGATTCTTGAATACCAATAAATCCAATATTTCCCAAAACATTTTTCTCTCATCTTCAATTCTTAACATTATTTTTCCATTTTCTATAGAAAATTTCATTTTTGATTTTTGAGGTTCTCCTATTAATATTGGAAAAACTTTAAATGATTTTAACATCTTCTTAAAGATCCTTTTATCAAAATCTTCTTGAATCTTTTCATCTTCCATTTTCTCTTTACCTTTATCCTTTTCTTTGTTTTCATTTTGCTCGAATTCCTCATAGAAATTAAACAAATCAATAAGTTCTTTTGTTGCACTTTTTATTATAGCTAATTCCAAATCCAAAGAAAATTGACCTCCAAAAAACTCTTTCTCTCTTCTAACTACTAACTTATTTAATTCTAGATGATCCAAAATCAAAATTAACTTATATCCAATAGGGATAGACTCTAAGTCCATTACTCCTAATTGGTTTCTGTAATATTCACTATTTGCAACCTCTTGATTCTTATTTATGTCTTTTATTCCCATTATTTCCAATTTTTCTGCTCTTAAATAGACATAAGGAAACAAATACACCATGATATACATAAATACTCGAACTAATAATCCATTATTTCTTCTAAATTGTCTTCTAAATCCAAAAATCTCTATTGGTATATTTAATTCCAAACCATTCCCATAATTATCTTTCTTCTCATTCTTAATACTATATAACCTTACTTTATAATGTTTTAAGATATCAGTATCTATAAAAATCCTTATTAAGTCCACAAAAGACAACGTAAAGTACTCAAAAGCATTCTTATTTTCTTGTGTTTTTTCTTGAAACTCTCTTTCTGTTCTTCCTTGAACCCCTTCTTCTGCTCGTTTTTGTTCTTTTTCCTCTTCTTCTTCCATCATATAGGTGTATACTTGAAACAACTTTTCTATCAATCTAGACAAAAAAATGATTCTAGAGAACCCAAAAATTCTCTCTTTTTCCTCTTTATCTTTTAAAATAAGTTCTCTAGTTAATGATACTAACTCATAATTTGTTATATTATCTAATATAGTGTCTATTAAATATCCACTTAAACTATAATTCTGTTTTTTGTCAGTTATTATTTCAATATTTCCATTGTTAATTATTTCTTTAATATTTAAATCAATAGAAAATAATAAATTAAAAAGAAGTTTATTATTAATTCTTAATTTAATATATATATCCAAAAAAGAAATAATCAATAATCTTACTCTCTCTTCTCCTTCTCTCAACCCTAAATCTCTAATTACTATTGCCAAGCCTTTTAAGAATTCTTCAATCTTTATAGAATATTTATCATCTTTAAAAATGATAAAACTTTCAAAAACTTGTTTTTTTATATTATTTCCTTCATATTTTGAGTTAAAAACACACATTTGATAATAATTTAACTCCAAAATATTCATTTTGATCATATAATCAATTTCATTCAATTCTTCTCTTTGCTCCTCTTTTTTATCCATTAAAAGTAAAGACATTTCAATAAAACCAAAAATAATTTCACTTATATCAAATTCTGTTTGAAATCCTGTTTCACATAATAACTTATAATAATATTCCATATTATTCATAAAACTAACTTGATATTTAATCATTTTCTTATTATTATTCTCAAATCCTTTCAAGATTTTACATCTTACCTCATCCTTATGTATCCAATTGTTAAAAACATTTCCTAGTAAAGTATTTATTGATTTAATTCGAATATCAGAATCTAATGAGTTATTATTTTGTATATCCAGTAATTCAAATCTTAACCTTTTTTCAATTACTTGAACTATATAATCATTAATATCAATAAAATCAAATAATTTGTTCTTATCTATTGAATTCAAATCTAACTTAAACTGACCAAGTATTCCCTTGAAATTTATAATATTAATTAGTAATTCATATTTTTGGTTTTCAACACTTTGTTGATCTTTAGTTAAATGTTTACCTAAAGAATTAACAAGTAATAATAATATAATCAAATCCATGTTTCTTTCTAAGAATTCTTTACTAAGTTTTCCTTCTTGGATATAATCCTGAAAAAATCCTTGAATTAATATCTCATAATTATACAAAGTTTTGTTTACTAGTAATATTAGTTTAAGTTGAAAATATAAAAGGTTCAAATCCAGAGTAGGAAAACTGTTTTTTATTTTGATATCATCTCTTTTCTCAATATTTATATTATCCAAGTAATAAAATAAACTGTTTTGTCTTGAAGTATTTAACTTACTTACAATTGAGATCCACATACTTGTTAAATACTTGACTATAAAACTAATATTACAATTACTAGTATCATGAATAGATCCTCTTGGATTTTGATTGGAATTAGTCTGGTAATATTGAATAATAGAGATTAAATTCTCAAGAAACTTGAATAAAAGTAATTTATTACAATTCCAGTCATATTTAAGTCCTTTAATGTTTAGAGAATACAAAATAATCTTATAAATATAATGATCAAAAAATCTCTTGTACTCTAAAATGGTTAAGTTGGCCAAAAACTCATCATTTAGATAGGTTTCTCTATATACTTGATCTAAAATAAGTTTTGTATTGTCAAACTTATATCCCATACTTAGTAGAAATTCGTTTCCAAAACTCTTTAAAATTGTTTTCATAGCTCCAAAAATGACCTCTATAATTTCAAATTTGCATTTCAATAAATCTTGATTTTGTTCCTTTATTATAACTTTAGAGTTTATGCAAGCTTTAATGTATTGAAAAATGATCATATTTGAATAAAAATTCTTTCTTTCTACTTCTTTGGTATCTACTGAGAGATATTTGATACTAATATCTTCCTCATTTTCATTTGATTGATCTTCAATCTTAATCTTCTTATCCTTTCTATTAGGACTCTTTGATGCAATTATATTGATAAACATCCCATCATCTTCATCTTCATCTTGATCTTCATTATGATCATTATGTTCTATATACTCTTTTCCAATAACACTAGTACTATTCTGATCAGAAGAATAATTAGTATCCCTCAAACTTTGTTTTAAATCATAAGCATTAGTATAATGGTCTCTTTTTAAAAAGAAGTTGTTTATGTGATTTTGATGATCTTCTTTTTGATCTCCATTCTTAAAATAATGTCTCAGTAAACTCAATATATTACCAAGATCTGGAAAAGATTGGTATATGATTTGTTTTATCATATTAATTAAAAATTCACCAGTGTCCTTTAATTGAGATTCTACTGAATTTGAGACAATGATTTCAGTAATAAGAGATAACCTTTTTGATAAATTAATCAAAATGGCCAAATTTGAGATATTTAAAAATAAGTTCTCTCTTGTATTAAGTAACTTTACTCCACCACCACTACCTGCTCCTGCAACTCCTAATAAAATCTTATTGATAAATGAAGGGATGATCCAATCCACTAAATATTTTACTCCAATCTCAAGATCTGAAACTGAATTTTTATTTAAAATGTTTTGGATGATATATTTCTGAAGATCATCTTTCTCAGATTGAGTAATACATTTAATTAAGCTGGAAACAAATGCTAAAACAAGAATTCCCTCTAATTTACTTTCTCCAATAAAGTTAAGTTGAAGTGTAGAACTTTGATAGTATTCTAACTTTTCCTTAAGAGTAAGGTCAGAGTATATACTTATCAACAACTTCTGTACAATTGGATATTTAACTTGTCTATTAATACTCTTAAACCAAACAAATATCAACCTAACACTTTCTTTGGTTCTAACATTAATATGTAATCTTAAAAGTCTTTCAATAATTCTGGCATATCTTTCTAAATCATGATCAGTAGCTTCCAATTGTTGTTTAAAATCAATTTGAGAAAGCATATCAACCAAATTAGTAAATATATAATTAATCACTGTTAAGTTAAAAAATGACCCTTTTAAAGTATTAGGAATATCATCATTTTCCAAAATTAAATGCTCAAAAGCAAATAATAAGTTTTTGGAAATGTTTAAACTATCATACTGAATAGAGTTCTTAAATATGGTATTGCTTATATTACGAATCTTCAAAAATTCAATAATATCTTTTTCATTAATATTCGAATCAAACTGTTTCGATGAGTTAAAGGATAAAAGATCCAAAAATGATAATAAAAATCTTAAATACTGAATTCTAACTCCAATTTCTGATCTTTTCTGAAACAAAATGATAAAGATATCATTTTTTTCTGGATTAATTGTAAAATCCTCAAATTCTGTCCTTTCTCTCTTTTTGTATTCAAAGAATTTACTTATTGAAATAAATGATGGTAAACTAAAATTAAATTCATGCAAAATCTCTTGTTTATGAGATTTACTTAGACCTGAAATTGATGCTAGTAACCTTAGTGATGATGATATTAATACCTTAGAAGTTGAATTTAAATGACGATATATATTCATTTTATATTTGGAAATAATTAACATACCAAGCTTTTCTATGTTTTCCTTAAATTCATTGAATTGATTCATCTCTGTTTTTCTTATTCTGTAAACTAAAATATAATACTCAATAATTTCTGAAATACAATTTAAAGCTGCTATTACTATCTTTCTTTCGTTAGACTCTCCATTTTGAATAAAGTTTTTATTTTTCTTGACTGAAATACTTTCAACCACATACCTCGACCAGACCTGAAGAAGCTCCAAACATAATGGTGATACTTTTAAATAATCAAGTAAATTAGATGGAGTACCATTCGCATCAATTTGACCCAAAATTTGTATAGTCTCTAAAATGTTTTCAGGTTTTGAAGAAAGCAATCCATTAATTATTGAATGAGCTGAAAGGTTTTTCTTCATATTAGTAACCTTTATATTAGATTCTGGGAAAAAAAGAAATAATATAAGTTTCAAATAATGAGCCTTAGTAAATTAAACTTATAAAAAGGCTCAATAGATAAAGTAAAAACCTCTTTCTTTCTGATTTATTTTGTTAAATTAATTTAACTTGGATCACTTAATTCATTTCAATTTGACTTGTTTACTAATAAATGAAAACAAAGAATCTTTGTTAAAAGAGTATAAAAAGAAAGCTAAAGCTTAAATGCCAAAAGCCTACTAAGTAGCTCTTATGATTCCCTACCTAACTTAAATTAGTTAAATAGTATTTTAATTATTGTTTATTTTTATTATTTGACTTGTCAAAAAAAAACTAAGACAAGTTTGGCGCCAAATGTCATTTTAAAAAAGAAAATGAATAAATAAATAATTTAACACGTATTAATCTAATTGTACATGCAATAAAAATTTGAATTAAGAATACATTTTGGATTCCAAAATCATTATTATAACATTAAGAAGAGTTTAAGAAAGTTGAGAAACTGAATATACAGAAAAGTATCTCTTTTTCTCCTTAGTGTGATTTCACAAATTAAACATCACAATCAAAAATGGATTTCACTGGTATAATAATCACTTTAAAAATTCTCAAAAATACAGAGATATGATAATATTCTTGGAGAAAAAAATGGAGTGATATCAGCATATAAAGACTCAAATGTTATTATTTTAGTAAACCTTTGGGTATTTATCAAGCTTTCCAAGTTTTGACTTTTTAAGTACTCCAATATCAAGACTAATAATATCCTTAAGAAGATTTTGGATATTTGGCCTCACATTAGGGTTAGACTGTAAACATTTTGAACACAACTTTTTTAAACATGATGGGAAGAAAGAAGGTATTTCTGGGGAAGTACCTTTTCTGATCATACTAATTAAAGTATTTTCATCACTAAACTTTGAATAAGGTATTCCTCCACCAAAAATCTCAATAATACAACATCCAATTGACCAGATATCAGTTTTATCATTGATGAATGATCCAACTCTGAGTGATTCTGGGGAAATATATCTCACTGATCCCCCATTGTTGTCTAGTCTGTAATATGAAAAAGTCCTCTCCCTTACATTTCCAAAGTCACATATTCGGATACTAAGATCTTTTTTATTTATTAAAAGATTGATGGTTTTAATATCTCTATGTATAAATCTATGAGGAGCACATCCTTCATGTAAGTAAGCTATAGCTTTGACTAGTTGAACACACCACATTTTTCTAATTTCAAGTGGAATAATATTATTTTTAGAATATAAGACTTCAAAAACTGTTCCTCCATCCAAATATTCCATTGCAAATCCGATTTGACCTGTAGACGGATTTAAAATACCATAATATTCTACTATGTTAGGATGCTTAAATATCCGAACATAATTTAATTCTGATTCTATTGATTTCAATCTTTCATTTGAAAGCTGTCTATTTCCATCTCCTGTATTTCCTCTCGTAAATAATTTTACTGCAATTTCTTGTCCATTTGGGAGATTTCCTAGATTATTACTTTTACAAAGATTTACTACACCGAAGCCTCCTGAACTAATTTCTCTAACAAACTCAAACTGAGTTGAATTGATTAATTCATCAGCAGGTACTTTCAGATTATATTTTATCTGTCCTTGCTCATTTTTTTCTAAAGTTACTACTCTTGGCATTAATTGGTGAAGATCATCCACCAATGATGTTCTCATCTTAATGCTACATCTTGTAGACCCACCTCTTCTAAAATGGACATCTTGGGGATCTAGGCTATAAACTTCCAAGTTATTACTTAATTTGTCTTGATTTAAATGATTAAGCTTTTCGTCATTATCAACTTTATTTTGATAACAATTACTATCGCTTTTTTCAATTTTAGTCTCACTAAAATCCATTACTTACAATTTTCCAATACAATTTATTATTTAGAAAAATTCTTCCAATAAATTCTTTAATATAATGTAAAAATTGTGTGTATCACTTTTTAATTATGTTTCTTAATCAATGGTGATTAAAATTATTTTTTAAGATAGTACGAATACTATATAAGAATAGTTTTATAGTGAAAGATGCAAAAAATCTGACAATAAAACAGCTTTATTAATAACTTAATCTATACTTTTTTAAACCTTATTCATTATTGTTTGCAAAACTATTTGTTTTTTTGAATTTTCGTTTTTCAAATTTTGCCATACATTAATTATATTTCTTTGCATGCATTTTTTTTTTAGATACCTTCAAATATGGCGCCCGTCAGATTGGCGCTATATTTAAGTCGAGTTGTTTTCTAATATTTTCATGAAAAAATAAAGTTAAAATAAGGAAATAATGATTGAAAAAAACTAGTACAACTCAGTAATTTTGGGGATTTGAATATTTATTATTAAGAAAATGTTTGCCAGAAATTCCTGTTTTTGAGTGAAGAACAATTCAGAAATTATAAAGGTATTTTGTGTGCGCACATACATATAACTTCAAATTTGTGATATACCTATTCTTTAAATAGCAGAACTGATAACCTCAGGCCAAAGTTAATAACTAAAAGCAAAGATCTCGTTACTTTAAATATTTAATTATTAAATTTCCTGACTTCACACACTGTTTTTTTAATTTTATTTTTAAATAATAGAGATTTAAGAGGAAAGAAATTCTTTGTGGATGAACTTACAAACAAATATCAAATATGGACCTTTCTCCAGTTAAACCCCAATCTGATAATGTTCTAATTGATCGCTCGTCTTATCTTGGAATTCTTTTAAATATCTTATTAGCTTTAATATACTTTGTACTTGGCGCTCTTTCTGTACTACAGTCTTTATCAGCATTGGAGTCAAATATATCAGAAAATGTATTTGAAACAAATGGAACAAAAATCAGGCCTTACTTTCTGAATGCATTTTCTGTTGGTATTATTTCCAGATTGTTATACATTATTGTTTATTTGGTTGTTAACCTAATACCGAAACTAATATCAACTGGACTACTAAGCAAACTAAATATATTAAGGATCTTTGATTACCTAATAAATATTATATTTGTTGCATCATATTCTATAGTAATTACACTCTGGAGTTCAATCCTGACGGATTCTAGAAGTTTTGAATTTCAAACTATCAACTTACTCAATTTTGCATTGTACATAACTGGTGGGGGAATTCTGGCAATTACTCTTCTCACTACTCAAAAATTACCTTCAGTTTTTAATATTCTTTACATTCTGATGGGTCTCATGCAGTTATTGTGTTCCTATTTTTGGGTCTACTTTGGATCTTCCTTAATAATAAATATTAAAAGGCGCCAAGCCATGCACAAGGACCTACAAAAGGATCTAATTTCAAAAAATGCAAATTTTACCTGGAATACAAACTCTAACGTGAATACTAACGCCATTAATTCTTTTTTTGATCAAGTTGGGAATAATTCTTGGCTCCAAAATGGAATCTTAAACAATAGTCAGGTATCAATTATACATTTTAATCAGAATTCCAATGCAATTACTGCTTCATCATCTAATAACTCCAATAGTTCAATTTTGTCAGACCTATTTATATACAACAAAGCTTACAGCTCATCTATTAACAAGCTCAGGTTTAAAATTCAAGTTCTTACTTTGGTATGTCCATTTTCCTTGCTTATTTCTAGTTTGTATTGCTTGCTTAAAGGATTTGGAATAGTGAATTCTAACTCAGAAATCCTACTAAATACTGTATGGACTTCATTATACACTTTTTTAGTAGAGACAATTCCGTCAATAGCTTTAATATATGGCTTTTGGAGTAGTAAGAATTCATTTTTAGGCAATTCAATCTATAAAAGTTATAATAAACATATCGTAGAAGACAATTTTAGATGTTATACACAAATCTACTAATTCTATTAGTTTCTCTCCTTCTAACTACTCCAGTTTTCTCTTCATTTTATTTACGAAAAATCCGTGATAAATGAGATGAACTGTCCATCTTTGCTTTTTGATAGTACTCCCAGCTCAATGTACTCATCAATAACTAGCTCCAGTTGTTGCTTAAGTAATCCCCTATGTGAAATTCTCGTTTCAATGTCGGAAATTGATATTTCAATCATCTCATCTATCATTGATTCTTCATCTTCCCTTGCAATTTTCTCAGCTTGTTTACGATGTATATCCTTGATAATCTCAATAATTTGATCTCTAAAATCATGTCTTTTGTTCTTTGCTCCAGGATTTGAGAAGCCACCAGTATTTCCTGGCTTTGTAACACTTTTCTTGCTTTCAATCATTAGTCTGGTTGCCTCTTCAAAGTCAGCTCTTTCTACTATATTACTGAATCTGAGCCTAGCTAATGCCTGTGATAGTCTCAGTATTCCTAACAAAGTTCTTGGAGTTGTATAAGTCTTTCTCCAATCTTCTCTTGTCACTTCAATCTTTTCTCTTCTTCTCAGCTCAACATAATGCTCAACAATCTCTGAAACTAGCTCTTTTGGAACCAAGGGGGTATAACTCTGAGCCTTCTCTATAAAATATCTCATAAATACTGTGGAAAATACCCTCTGTTCTTGGTTAATGTTATTCTCATTTTCATTATCTTGTATCTCATCATTATTTCTTCGTCTTCTAGCTTTCTTCGTTGAACTTCTTGAATGGCTAGTCTGGTCCATTCCCATTCCCTGTCTCTGCTGAGAAGACATGGATCTATTAAACTCAAAGTCATCACTCGGAGCCTTTTCATTTTTATGTACATAAAGAACGTGACGAGCAAGCCTTAGATCCTTTTCCTTATCTGGAATATCAAGAAGCAAAAATTGAAGGTCGAAACGAGAAAGCAAAGAGTCTGGGAGATTCATATTGGCAACTGGAGATTTCCTAGGGTCATATCTTCCTGAAATAGGGTTTGCTGCTGCCAAAACAGATGATCTTGCATTCAATGTTGTAGTAATCCCAGCTTTTGCAATAGATACCGTCTGCTGTTCCATAACTTCATGGATAGCTGTTCTATCAGATTCATCCATTTTGTCAAATTCATCAATGCAGCAGATCCCGTTATCTGCGAGAACCAAAGCTCCCCCCTCCAAAGTTACCTCTGAGGTATTCTGATCCCTAACTACGGAGGCTGTCAAACCTACTCCACTACTTCCTTTTCCTGTGGCATAAATTGATCTTGGAGCAATTTTTGTGATTTGGGTCAAGAGTTGGCTCTTTGCAACTCCGGGATCTCCCATCAATAAGATGTGAATATTTCCTCTAATTTTCATCCCATCATTGACTTTATTTGTAACTCCTCCTATTAGCTGTAGAAGAAGACCCTTCTTTACATCTAACATCCCAAATATTTCAGGGGCAATACTATTGGCCAGTTTGTCATAAAATTGGGAATGAAGAACCTCATAAGCTCCCCCTCCTATTCCACCACTAGATCCATTAAGAGCATCCTCTTTACTCTTCTTTTCCCTTTCTTTCTCATCATCCTCCATTTGCTTTACCAACTTCTTTTCGTATTCCGTCAAAGAAACTTTCTTGGTGGTAACAAAGCTGTGAACGTAATGTACCTCAAAATATGTATCTGCTGTCAGACCCGACCTGAAAGCCTGAAACCCCTCCTTAACTACTGGAAGAAATACACCAGAAATAGTGACGTACATACCAGGTAGTAACTTTCTTGTGTTCTCCCCCATTGCAATAACTTTCATCGTTCTTGGTACATTCCCCGTTGGTACTTGATCTGCCGGTTCCTGGATACGAATCTCCTGGAATTTAGTAAACTTACTCTCTTTGATATTACATTTTAGATTTCCTGTCCTCTTGTTATTCTTACATTGACTTGATTCGCAATCAGATAAAGGCATATAATTGGTGCCTTCTACAGATTGCCAAATTGAAGAGCCACATACTTCACATGTATAATTAACTACTTGTATTCTTGGCTTCACATTAGAGACACGGGTAACTATACAGTTCACCTGAACATAACCGCCAACATACTCTGCTCTGACTTCTCTTAGAGGTGTAATTGGCATCCTTTTACTTGCTTTAATGTAAACTTCAAAGCTAGATCTCAGATAAGCTGGGACATTACATGTCTTCATTGCTTCAGATCTTTTGGTATTATTTATCTCTTCCAGCTTAAAGTCTATTATATTTGTACGAGTAGGTACTGGTAAACAGTTATCTGCTGCTATATAAATAAGCTGTACATATCTTTTAGTGTTTGATAATATTGAATGAACCAAATTATTATATTCAGTTACCTTATTTTCGTACTTCCCAAAACTCAATATATCATCAATTTCCACATAAAGAACACTACTTTCTTTATTAGATATACTCTGTAGGGATTTCATGTACTTTCTATGTTTCCAAATAGACTCTTCTTTCCCTACTTCTTCTTCAGCAGCCATCATAACCACATCTTCTCCTGAATTTTCTTTTGTATCATACTCTTCAAAATTCTCCAAAAAATTTTGAATGTCCTTAATGTGGTCATTATACGCTCTCACTTTCTCGTGAGCATTATCTACTCCTATTGCCATCTTAGTACTTTCGAACTTGGACTTTGAATATGCTTTCTTGAGCACTCCAGTTCTCTGATGTGACCACTAAATACTGCTTTTTTAAAAAATGTGTCACCTTTCAAATGCAGTTTCGTATTAATAATTATTTGCAGGCTTTTTCTTAACCTCAAATCCCCATTACTTGGTGTTATTAATCACAGTGTGGGGTTAGCCTTTTTTTTGCCTATTAGTTTACATACCGGCATGTTTTGGCGCCAAACATCATAATATAAGGAAATTTTTTAATAGTGAAGAGAAAATAATCTGATTTTGCCTTTTTTTTTAATAATTATTAATAAAAAATAAACTTACACACAGTGATTAACAATAGAAAGGCAAATGGAACCAAAAAAGTTATTTTTGTTTGATTTGGATGGAACTCTTACTCTTCCAAGAAAACCAATAATGGAGGATATGGTAGTTGCACTCAAGAACGCAAAGAGCAAGGTTAAGATAGGAGTGGTTAGTGGATCTGACTATAACAAAATATGTGAACAGCTACAGAATAATGGTAAGTTTAAGATCTGTTTTTTTTCTACTGGGAAGTAATTAATGTGTTTGGTTAGAATTGAGTTGCAGTCATTATATATTCAGTGAGAATGGGGTGGTATTTTATGAGGAAGGAGTAAAAGTATGTGCAGAAAGCATCTCAAAACACTTAGGAGAGGAGAATATCAAAAAATTTGTCAACTATTGTTTGAGATATATTGCTGATTTGGATATTCCAATAAAGAGAGGAACTTTTATTGAATATAGGACAGGAATGTTGAACATATCACCAATTGGGAGGAATTGTTCTTATGAGGAAAGGCTAGAATTCTTTGAGTTTGACCAGAAAAATGGAATTAGAGAGAAATTTATTCAAGATTTATCAAAGGAGTTTTCAAATTTGGACCTTCAATATTCAATAGGAGGACAAATTTCCATTGATGTTTTCCCACAGGTAAGCTAAGAGGTATTTAGAACTCAAATTTTATGACTTTATTGATTATTATTTATTCAGGGATGGGACAAAAGGTACTGTTTGAGACATGTTGAGAACATGTTTGACGAGATACACTTTTTTGGAGATAAAACGTACCCAGGTGGAAATGATCACGAAATCTATAATGATAAAAGAGTCATTGGACATAATGTCATTAACCCAAATGATACAATTCAACAACTAAGTAGACTAATTTGACTAGAACTACCCAATTAAATACTAATAATTGGCATTCCACATATGTAAATATCCACTTTGGTCTCCCGAAAACATTAAATTAGAATAGCAATTTAAATGTATTATGGATACAGACTTGGCATTAATATGTGCAGAAAGTCTTTTTAAGCATTTACCTGTTCTAACATTCCATATACCTATATCATTTCCATTTGGATGAAACAAGGTGTCTTGATCTTTAGAATCTAACGAGAATCTTTTAAAGTATTTTTGGATCTGGTCATCTATTCCTAATTCAACCAGTCCATCCCCTTCCCAAAAAGCTTGTGACTCAAAGCTGTCATAGGAAACATAACAGTTCTTTCCATTTAAAGCATTCCAAAGTTTGATTGTACCATCTTGAGCTGAGGATATCAAAAATCTCCCATTCTTCAAAAACTGACAAAACCCTACTCCACTTTCATGAGCATATCCTATAGTCCTAGGTGCACTAATCCCAAAATGGCTTTGATAAAAGCTCAAGAAGTCGCTAGAGCTTTTTTTAGAGATCTTTGATTCATTAGTGCTTTCCTTTATAACCTTAAGAAATTTTTTCTCATCTTCATTTAACTCCTGCTCTCTTCCCTGTTCCTTATTCTGTTTATGTCGTCTTTCTTGACTTATCTGTTGGCTCTGAAAATCCTCTACTCCTTCCTGAATCATTTGTTGTCTGAGTAACAGAGGAGTCATGCTATTTGTTTCCTGTACGAATTCCCAGTCTGTTAAGTTACTATTCATGTATAGAAAAGGTTGAGGTGCAAATCTAAGGTCCCAAAGTCTAATAAAACCGTTTTGGGATGTGGTTGCTAATATATCCTCGGAATCAGTCCTCCAAGCTACACTTAGTACTGGTGAATCTGGTCTGTCTAACTTGAGGTTAGTAGTTTTTTTGTCTAAAAATAAAGTTTGAGAAAACTCTCCAATTCTTAAGTCAACTATTCCCACTGTTCCATTCTGTATAGCTAAACTTAAAATATTCGGATTTTTTTGACTTATCAGGGAGTAGTTTATTTTGCTGCTAGATCTTAAAGTTAATGCACAACTTCCTTCAAAAGTATCCCATATTTTAAGATTTCCATCCCATCCAGTTGTCACGAATAACTGTCCATCATAAGGACTCAAATTAATTGAAGAAACCACTCCTCTATGATTCTCATTTTCTCCAGGATTTAAGTAGTGTACAGGCTCCAGCTTAAAACTTCGTCCCCTTTTAATTTTCCTTTTTTCATTTTCTGTTAGTACATACCCTAATGGAAACTTCAATTCTGGGCCCTTTCCATTGTTTAAATCCCTGTACTTAAGCATCTCATTAATATTATAAATTCCAACTGCTCCTCTTGTGTTACTTATTGCTAGTAATCCTTTGTGACTGGAAATTGAAGTTATCATTGAAGTATCCTTTCTGTTATTAAGTGATACATTATTAAGCAAAATTGGAGTTACAACTTTTTGATAACTCTTTTTTTTGTATAGTGACCCAGTTTCAAAATGGTTTCTTCGCAAAACAGGATGTATTCCCTTGTTATTAAATAATACTAAATCCAATGCCCCCACTTGTTTATTGTTTGTTACTTTCTTCCTTTCAAAAAGAGTGCTTATGCTTCTTGGGATCTCGAAGTTCTCGTACTTAGATCCGAGATTCATCCCTAAAGAATGTTATTTACATTATTCTTTTTTAGATAATTTTACTTTTTCCTAACTTTTTTTCTATTCAAAAAAAAAAAAAAAAAATATTTATATTCTTTTTTCAACATTGCCGGTATATAAAGATCTAAATAAAGGTACCGAACACTAATAAAAAATTTTTTTCGAAGTAAATGAATTAAAATAATGGTTAAGCTAAAATACTGATTGAAAAGTAATCATATCATTAAGACTAAAGTAATCTAACTCCTAATTTAAAAGTCTCTAACAATATTTGAGTACTTTAGTTTGCTTTGCTCAATATCTACAATACAATTAAACAAAACCTCCTTATTGAAATATAATAAATTGCAGCTTCTTAGTTGTTTGATCATTTCTAAATCACTCTTTGAATCGCTTTCTGGAAGCTTTCCTTTCTCAAGATCCGAATTGTTTTCTTCACAGAAACTTTCTTTTTGCTGATGATCTATTTCTGAACTGGCTGCAGTTTGCTTACCCACATTAACAGTAGAAGTTGTTGCTGCTGAACTGGAATCGTGAAATGGAGAACTAACAGGATGTAATGGAGCTAAATTTGATCCCTTTGGCTTGTTTGTATTAGCTACTGCTGCTGCTAACGTAGGCATTGAATTGATTGCCTCCTTTGTATTCAAAAATTCAACTTTCTGACCTCTGGCTGCTAATCTTGCTCTTACATTATACTTCAAAGTTTCTTTTGGCTTCTCTTTTTCCTCATTATTTGTTATATTTCTATCCTCTTCTTCACCTGAATTTTTCCCCATTAAAGATGATCCATTTGTTCCTGAAGAATCTCCTGTCTTTGATTTCCATATATTTGAATCAAAATCAGGCTTTGATGTCTTTACTGCCACTACCATTTGAGAATTTGTTGGTTTCCTTAAACCATCCACTGATAAATTTTTACTTGAGATAAAAAAATCGGTAGTATCTTTCACATCAGCATTAATAGACCAGTCGTCTATATTCCCCTCTGATATTACTGATGATATATTTGGGTCACCTGTAGCTGCCTTCAGTCCGCCTATAATTGGTTTCTTGGCACCAGACAAGTCTCCTAAACCCTTAGACTTTTGTTTCTTTTTTTCAAAGAACTCATTTAACTTGCTCATTTGTTCCTTACACACTTCTTTTCCTTTTTCTCCTACTTTTTTTTCGCCTTTTTTTACTCTACAGTCATAAAATAAATGACTTTTGGCGCCATTTTGGCGGCAATTTTGTAGTTAAATAGTAATAAAGTAAATATATATTAAAATACATAACTTATTAAATGCAATAATCGTGAAACATAACAAGTAATTCTGTTTATTATGGAATTGTTTTTTTTTAAATAAAAACATCTTGGCCAGATTTAGAATATTTTAGAGATATAATATTAATAGAAAAAGTGATAGGCACAAGCCAGAGAAAGTGAGATTTTGAACAGACAAAAACTAAAACTTTTCTTCACGAGAGTGAGAAAGAGATAGAGAAAGAAAAAAAAGGGAATTATTTTGAGACTTAGATAAGATAGATTATAAGGAAATTGTTTATTTATCACCATTTCACGGCCTTCTGAACAGTACAAAATAATTATAAACTTAAACTAATTTTCATAATAATTTGTCTAAAATATATATATTAATCACGAACAATAAAGAACCAGATGGCTTTATGCTGATTTTTTAAAGAATAATAGATATATATAGATGCTTACGTGTTTATATATGTGAATATTATAAATAAATATATATCTATATATATAAAATATATATATATATAGATATATATTTATATATAAACCAATCAAATATAAGTATTTTTATCTGCATATGTATGCATTAATTGAATAGTATTTGTGTATACATATAAATAAATATTAATATATGATTATTCTTATATTCTAATTACTTTACTATTAATATAATTTTAATTACATATATTTAAATATAAAGCTCATAAATTTTGAAAATAGGAAATTAACTTGGTATTATCATAGACTAAGATTTCTACAAGAGAAAAAAATCTGGAGAAATTGTATCTTGAGGATATTTTAGATAATTCAACTACATTATTGATATTTTTCTCTCTAAAAAAAAAAAGAAGAATTCACAAATTACTAAAGGAATACACTAAGAAATATTAATTCCTGTTCTAGTTGGTGTTTTCAGCAATAAAATAACAAATAAATCATAAATTACAGATCATTAGACTAAAATGGATCTAGTTAATTTAGAATTATCTAAAGGTTTAACTTCGGTACCCAAAAAACAATATGGGGTAACTCCACCAATATCAGAAGCTATGGCAACCCCTCAAGATTATAAATTAACAGAAAACTTAATAATTGCAATGAGACAGGAAAATTTGTATGAAACTGTAGAAGGTATGAAAAAAAGAGAATATGTATTAGCATCTCTAAATAAATTGGTAAGAGAATGGATATATGAAGCAAGTTTAGAACATAGTATGAATGAGGAGGAAGCACTTTCTGCAGGAGGAGGAATCTTTACGTTCGGATCATATAGGTTAGGGGTTGTAGCAGCAGGATCTGATATTGATACATTATGTATAGCACCAAGACATATTTCAAGAGAATCATTCTTTTCTTTTTTTTTAGCAAAGTTACAACAAGATATTAATGTATCAAAAGTACAACCAGTCCCAGATGCTTATACACCAATTATCAAAATGGTATACCATGGAATGGAAATGGATTTACTATTTGCATGTTTAAATTTATCAAGAATCCCAAATGATTTAAATACTTTAGATGATGAATTACTTAAAAATGTGGATGAAAAAACAGCGAGATCACTGAATGGGTGCAGAGTAAATGATATGATATTACAGCTTGTACCAAATAAAGAATCATTTCGAACAGCTCTGAGGTTTGTAAAACATTGGAGCAAAGCAAGAGGAATATATAGTAATGTACTTGGATATTTAGGAGGAATATCATGGGCAATATTGACAGCAAGAATTTGTCAATTATACCCTAATGCTGCTCCAAGTCAAATAATTAATCGATTTTTCTATATTTATAAAACATGGCAATGGAAGAATCCCGTTATACTTTGTGAGATAAAAGAGGTGCCTAAAAACACTCCAGGATTAATGGGTTTTAGAGTATGGAATCCTAATTTGAATCCACAAGATAGAGCTCATGTAATGCCTATAATCACACCAGCATTTCCTTCAATGAATTCAACACATAATGTTACACATACAACTTTAAGAGTAATCACAGATGAACTTCAGAGAGGCTATCAAATAATTCAAGATATAGAGAATGATAAGGCAACTTGGTATGATGTTTGGTCACCATTTTTATTTTTTGAAAAGCATAAACATTTTATACAGGTAAAAATGTTGTCAAACAATGAACAAGCTTTTCATAAATGGATTGGATGGATTGAAAGTAAATTAAGATTCTTAGTTAGAAAACTTGAGACATTTAAAGGTCTTCAAGTTAGGCCTTGGCCAAAAGCAATTCAAGAGCAAGATGAAGCTAAAGATGGATTTAGTTTTGCTCAAAGTATGTATATAGGCTTAGTTTTGAATAATAACAACAATACCGGACCTACTGGAGTTACTACTGGGATTTCCGGATCTTCGGAAACTGCTCCTGTTGTAGATTTAAGAGGAGCAATACTCGACTTTGTTGGGTTTATTATGAATTGGAGTGAAGTTGAAAATTATAAAGATTCTATTGATTTAAAGGTTAGACATTTGAGAGCCAAAGATCTTCCTAAGCACCTTAGAGAACAATCCAAAGCTAATGCTAGAGCTACTAATAAGACTAGCACCAATAATATAAATGTGAACTATTCAGTGAAGGAAACTCCTTCAAGTTTTGTTTCTTCGCAACAATCAACAAGCTCTTCTAATAAAAGAGTCAGAAATGAGGATGAACTAACTAGTAGTATTACTGGAGATTCTACCTTAAATAATAGCATTAAAAACCAATTAAATAATAGTCATGATCTAAACAATGATACTAACAGCATTATGAGAACAGATTCTCAATGTGAAGATGAATTTGCTAATATTAGTAAAAAACTTAAAGTACTACCTTTAAAGACCCCAAATATAATTTCAAATGATTCAGAAACTTTATGCATAGGAAATAGTGGTGATAAAGAAAAAGAATTTTGTGAAATTGGTAGTAGTAACATTCCAAAAATGACTAACTCTAATAATTTAAATGGAGCCAAAAATCCAAATGTAGTTTTGAATCAAATTAAAAGTAACAATATCAGACAACCTTTTACATTGAGAATAAATATGTCAAAAAAAAAGTGATTCAGTTAACCTTAATTGGAAAGTTTTAGTTTGCATTTATGAATTTGTTTTATTTATTTCCAAATTAAAATTTGATTTGTTAAATAGTGATTAAATCTACTTCTCTACTATTATTGTTAACTATTTTACTAATATCAAAATAATACTCTTTTTTTATATGCATTTATTATACTCTCACCCATCCCCCCAACAATTATTTAACCAAAATGTTTGCATGCAAACACGTAACTATATATTTTGTCAACATTTTAAACAAAAGTATAGTAATCAAAGTAGTAAATTTGAACAAGAAGATATTAGAATAGACAAATTAATGATTTAATTAAATACAATGAATTAAATAGAATTAAACATTAAATAGGACAAAAAATAAAAATTCAAATATTTGAATTAAAATATGTATTGAAAAAACTAAACAAAGGTTCTTAATGTTGTATAAAAACTAACAAGATGGCTTTTTATCCCATATATTTAATTATTTTTTTTTTTACTAGTAAAATTATTAGATATAGAGAGACAAGACAGAGACAACAGAAAAAACAAATTAAAATATTTTTTGCTTTTGGTGACGCACTAATATTCGAAGAAGACGAGTTTCGCAAAGAAAGAGATATTCCGGTATTCTTTTCTGATATTATTCTAGAGATTTGATGGTACAAAATTTGAAATTTATTAATAAAAGAGAGAGAAATATAGAAAAAGAAAAAAAAAATTAGAACTCCGGTTATTATATCAAAGGTCAAATGACCTTTATTAATTAAATTTTATTGTTATACTACTAGAAAAAATGAGAAAAGCCATATTTCTAATATTTTTAAGGCTAGTAGGTGGTGTCATAAGAAAAGGAGAAAAAAACCATGATTATTCATTTAATACTGACACATTAGACAGTAATATAATCAATAATAGTCAACAGTTAAATGAATATGTAAACCCAGCAAATATTCAATATTGTGCAGATACAAGCAATTTTGAAAAAATGAGGAGAATTCCAAAAGTGAATGATACAGAATTATTTAATCAAATGAATTTAATTCAAGTACAATTAATAACTAGGCATGGAGCAAGAACTCCAATTAAATCAGTTAAATGTTGGGAAGGGTTTTACCAGAGTTGGAATTGTGATGATTTAACAACTTTGTTTCAAACTTCAGCTTTTCATAAAAATACTGAAACTCAAACTTTAAAATTTTCTAAGCATTATATTAAAGAATGGGAAAAAAATTTGAATGGAACATGTAAAATGGGTCAATTAATTTTACAAGGATATGAACAACATAGAATTAATGGAAAACTATTGGCTGAGGCTTATTTTAAAGAAGGAGAAAATCTAGTAACTAGAAGTAGATTCAAAATAGATTTTAATTTAAGAGACGAAATATATATTAGATCTTCGGATTTGCAAAGAACTATTATGTCTGCTTCTGCATTAATTACAAGCCTATTAGAAGAGATTTTTGGTAAAGAAGAAACTTTTCAGAATATTGAAAGTCTACCCATACATACTTTAGATATACTTTCAGATTATTTGTTTTCCAATAAAAACATTGTTGATAATTCTCGAGATTTAAGGCGTTTATTTAACTCTAAAAAATTTCAAGAATTGATTGGAAATCATACAAGCTTATATATGGAATTATATGAAAATGCTAAAGTAAAGAATATTAGAAGTTTATGGCCATTTGACTTAATTGATTGTATATTAACATCATTATGTACTGGGAATTATAATAAACTTCCTGCTGCTTTTTTTAAAAATAATTTACTTGAGAGAACAATTTCGGCTGTAGAAAAGGAGGTGTCTGCAGTATATAATTGGGACAACTCGATTATATCAAAATATGATATTGGAAGATTTTTACTAGAAATTGTTAATTACATTTTGGATGTTATACTATTTACAGAGAAGAAAAATGATGAATTTTTGAATATTAGTGTGTTGTGTTCAAACACCAAAGAGATGAACGACAATAACTTACAAGAAATTCCATATTTATTGAATCTACTATGTAATAAGTATGAAAGTTACTATGCTATAAATAATGGGGAGATTAATATTAAAGTACCTAAATTCATATTATTTTCAGGGCATGATACCACTATTATTCCAACATTAGCTTCTTTAGATATTTGGGATGGACATTGGCCACCTTATGCTTCTACTCTTATAATAGAAGTTTATTACAATCCTTTTATTAAAAAAGAAAGTATTGGTGATTTTAGTACTGATCAATCAAGGCTTGAGTCTAGTCAAAGTATTCTTCCTTACTATATAAGACTACTATATAATGGAGTGGTGTTAACAGGCAAATTAAAGGGATGTAATGGAAACGAAATTTGTCATGTAAGTTTTTCCCTATTTAAATATAGAGTATATTCATCTAATTTATTCATTTTCTTCCTGATTTTAGGTTTCAAACTTATTTTTGGCAAGCAAATTTGCTAGTTTAAACAAGATTAAGAAAGATTTAGCAGTAAATTCCACCAAAAGATCAGATAAATTTTCAAATAAGAGTCTTTCTCATGCAAATAATTCAAATCAAAAATCTAAAAAATTTGATGTGAACTCCTCTAATGGAATTTATAATAAATCCTATTCACATTACTTTTTTTCTTTTTTATTGGGGGCCTTGACTAGCTTTCTAGTAATGTTTTTAATAAAAGTAAGTTGCTTATTTTAATATGATTATACTTGATTGATAAATTTAGAAACTTAACTTGCTGAGATCAATATTTAAAGATTTTGATTTGAGTACAAATGCCCAAATTAATTAATGAATAAATTAATATAAATAACTTTAACCGAAAAAGGCAATTATATGGTGAAATTCAACAAACTGAAATTTGTTTGTGAATCATTTAATTTATCAAGGGGAATAAAGGAAAAAACAAACGGAAATTTGTATTTTTTACCTTTTATAGAAATAATGCTGTTATTTTGTATATTACAGGAATACTTGTAATATTTTTATATAAAATTATTTTTTTTCACAGCATTACCTTGCACTTTCTCCTATTTTCGATTTTCATATTGTGAATTTGGGCCAATTTAAATATTTTTGGGTAAAAAAAGAGTGAATGTTAAAATATGAATGTTTGATTAATGGATAAAAATATTTATTTTTATTCAATTGAATTGAAAATATTTCATATTTTAAAGAATATTTCTTTGATGCTATTCTTTTATTTATTTCATTAAACTCTATTTTGGAATTTTTCTCTTCAGAAAAACTATACTTTAGTTTTTTTGAAATTTTATTAAACATACTCGAATCAAAAACTAAGTTACAAGGCTAAAAGAAACTTTTATTCTTTGGTATTTGCTCGCTTAATTGTAGAATTTTGAATTCTAAATTAACCACATATTTAATGTAATAATTAGTTTGTCTTTTAATCAAATTCTTCTTAATAGATTTTTTTTTTTTGCTTCTCTTCAATTAGTTTACTATGAATGGAATTTCTACTTACCGGTAATTTGTCCACATGAAAATGCATGCATGCAATAAACATGTACTTGCATGGAAAAATGATAGAATAAAATGTTTGTGGATAAATAATTAATCAGGGAAAAGAATTGGAGGGGTAAAAATCTGAAATTAAAAGAAAAAAGTATTATAATAAAAAAATATAAATATTTAATGATTGTATGTAATATAATACATACAAAAAAAAAGTAAATTAGAATCGTGAAAAAGTGGATGAAAATGTAAAGTTGAAAAAAAAGAGATTAACAAACAATAGAGGGTTAGAGGGAAAAATTAATATAAGATTTTAATATTTTAAAAATTTCACATCACGTGAAATATAATATGAATTATTATTAAAATAATAAAAGTTGAATAAAATCATTTTTAGAAAATATATATTAAATCAGTAAGAAAGAAAGAATTTGAAAAAAGAAGAAGATAATAAGAAATGAAAAAAAGAATAATACTTTTTTTGATAAAATTAATACTAAATAATGTAATTGTTTTCGGAAAGTTAAAGGAAGAATGTAATCAATTTGGTGGCAAAAGGTGTAATGAAATGAGTAATTATGAGTTTTTTACCGAAAATGACCAGGAATGTGTAATTAGTGGATTATGTCCGGAATATTATAACTTTTGTGCCGAGCCAACTGTATTTGAAAAAACCAGAAAAATTCCAAAAATCAACGACCCAAATTTATATGATTCAATGAGATTAATTCAAGTTCAGTCAATTATAAGACATGGTGCGAGAACTCCAACAAAGTATCATAAATGTTGGGAGGGTCTGAATCAAAGTTGGAATTGTGATGAACTAGTGACTACAGTTCAGGCAGCAGCTTTTGATATGAGAAATAGAACTCAGACTTTAGAATTCTCCAAGCATTATGATATTAGACAATGGGAAAATAATTTGAATGGAACATGTAAAATGGGTCAATTAATTTTACAAGGATATGAACAACATAGAATTAATGGAAAACTATTGGCTGAGGCTTATTTTAAAAAAGGAGAAAATCTAGTAATTAGAAGTGGATTAAACATTGAAAATAATTATAGAGATGAAATATATATCAGATCTTCAGATATGCAAAGAACTACAGTTTCAGCTGCAGCATTACTAACCAGTTTGCTGGAAGAATTTGTTGGTAAAGAAGAAACATTCAAAGTGTTTCAAAAATTCCCATTACATACTATGGATATCCAATCTGATTACTTATTTGCAAATTCAAATGTGGAAAATATTACCGACCATCTTCGAGCTGCATTAAGTTCTAAGTCTTACTTTGATATTGTAGATAAACATCAGAGCTTATATCAAGAGTTGGAAGATAAAATTAAAACTCCACTTTTAAAGGATCTTTGGCCAGGAGATATTATGGATTGCATTATGACAACTATATGTACAGGAAACCATAACAAACTTCCCAAGGCTTTTATAGAAAATAACCTATTAAATAGAACAATTTCTGCTATAGAAAAGGAGTTATCTGTGATTTACACATGGAATGATTCAATATTATCAAAATCTGAAATGAGCAGACTACTATTCGATGTAAGAGACTATATTATAGATGTGATACTATTTAATGAAAAGAAAAATGATGGACTATTTAATATTAAAAGACTATGTTTAAATATTAATAATAATAATAATAACCAAGATATCCCATCTAATATCAAATATATACTTAGTCCACTATGTAATAAATATGAGCATTATTATTATTTAAATAATGGGGAAATTCATATTAAAGTACCTAAATTCATATTATTTTCAGGGCATGATACCACTATTATTCCAACATTAGCTTCTTTGGAAATTTGGGATGAGCATTGGCCACCTTATGCTTCTACTTTTATCATAGAAATTTACAATAATCCAATGGGTTATAAAGAAAGAAGAATTGATTATGATTATTTCCATGACGAAGAAAATGAATTCTTTCAGAAATTTCTTCCTTACTATTTAAGATTACTATATAATGGACAAGTTATAACAAACAGATTGCAAGAATGTTTAGGAAAAGAAATATGTCATGTAAGTTTACTTTCAAAATAATTTATGAAAAAAAATCAAAAAATATTAATTATTTCTGTTTTATTTATTTTAATGATTAAATTCTTTTCCTTCCTATTTAGATTTCAAACTTCTTTAAGAAGAGCAAATTTGCTCAACAAAAAAAGATTTACAAAAGAGAAAGTATGGAAATTAATAAGAGCAGTATCGAAAATAATAAGAAAGAAGAAGATCTTTCAAGTCTAGAGAATATTTCAGCTGAAATGTTGAATGAAAGTTCTTTATATAATGCAAATTACATTGCTTGGTTTTTGATTGGCTTTATTACATGTATTGTACTATTATATGTATTAAAGGTAAGTTAATCATATTTATTCAATTATTAATATTGAATAATTTATTATTTATTATATATAATATTATTTTTCAGGGAGTGAGATTTATTATTTCAGTCTTAAGTGGATTTAACATAAATAACTTTGGAAATAATAGTGCACCAAATAATTATCAAGCACTATAAAGATTAATATTGGAAAAATAGTAATAAGATATATTTTAAAAGACAGAATTATAAGAAAAATAAATATCAAACAAAAAATAAAATACTTATATTACTAATTTTTAAATAAAGTATCCAAAGTAATTCCAAGAGCATCATCATTTAGATTACTTTGGTTAGAAATTTCTTTCTTTTCCAAGTGGTTAAGATGATTACTCTGAAAAATTTGGTTTGAAAGGAATAAGTAATCCAATATGTACGATTTCTGATAAAGTGTGGATAAATGTGCTTGGATCTTCATATTATAAGATCTAAATGCTTGTACAATTTGTACAAAACCTTCAACTTTATAAAGTTTGTGAGATTCAATTTTAGTCAATATGATATACATGAGTGAATTTGAAATCCAAACAGTTTTTGAAATGGTAATCCATTCAAGCATAAAACTAAATAAAGTTGATAATTCCTGAGTTTCCAAATTCTCAATCCATTCAACGATACTTTTAATATTATTGGTCTCATCTTTAACAGTGGATTTTTCTTCAGAATTGAGTATTTTAAACATTTCAGCATGATTAAAACATGGCTTTAAAAGTTTCTCAAGAATCAGATAAGTTTTATACTGTAATTTCTGGCCTAAAGAAAGATTTAAAGCATCTAGATACTCTTTTCTATTGAAAAGCATATCAATTTCATTAATATCTTCCATTCTTTTAAGGCTTTTAAGGTTTTTCTCATCCTCAACCTGTTTAGTATTGTCCATCCAAAGTATAAGTTGAGAATCAGATCCACCTGTTGCCATAAATCTAGTTCTTTGTAAATTGCATGAACTGGTGTTATCTAATGTGGAAGAATCAGATTTATAAATATCATGGTCATTATTCATTGACAAATTATTTAAATTTGACTCTTTAAGTAGATTCAAGGTCCAAATCCTATCATTATGCCCAGAAAATGACTTAATACATTCACCAGTTTTTATATTCCAAAGCTTAATTAGATTATCTGAACCACAAGAAACTATTTGAAGACCATTTCCGAGGAAGTCCACTTGAAGAACTGAACCGTCATGGCCTTGTAAAGTTTTGTTGCATTGAAATGTATTTAAATTCCATATTTTAATAGTACTATCAGATGAAGCACTTACAATAATCTTTTCAATAGGAGAAAAGCTGGATTGCCATACACCACTGAAATGACCTTTACAAGTTCCTTGAAGTTTTAGATCAGGAAAAGACCAAACTTTGATGGTTTTATCTTCAGAACAAGTTGCAATAAATTTGTCATTATGAGATATACTAATATGATTAATTTCTTTTTTGTGAGCTATTACATTATGTATAGCAATTACAGAGTTTTGGTCATTACAGAATTTTTTGCAAGATTTTGAAAAATCTCCTGGCATAATATTAGCAATATTCCAAGCTTTCAAAGTGTTATCATTAGAGGCGGAAAATAAGTAAAAGTTGGTATTTCCACGTATAAAAGTTTTCTTTTGAAAACATAATGCAGTAATTAATGATGTATGTCCAGTAAGTACTGCAAGACATTCTTGGTTATAAGTGGACCAAATTCTAATAGTTTCATCTTTACTTCCGGTGGCAATTATATTTGAGCATTTGGAAATATCCATTGTTAAAACGGTGCTTTTATGACCAATAAGTGTACTTTTAAAATATGGATATTTATTTAATGACATAATTTGTGGAGTTTCTGTACTATCAAGAATTACACAGTTTAATGATTTTTGTTTATCATTTATTAATGAAATATTATCATTATCATCTTTTAAATTCAAACTATTATGTTGATCATGGGGATTATTATTAATAAAAAGGGCTAATTGAATATAATCTGGAGTATTTCCAAAAAATGTGGTGAATAAATTAAGGCTTGGGTAAGATAAGATAATAATATTTCTGTCTTCAGTAACCAGGATGAGAAAGCTATTTGATGGTTTTATATTATTTTCGGACTCTCTTTGATAGTCTAAGAACATGTAAAGAATTGCAGATTGGTTGGAAGAATAGCTTTTTGGCGACAAAGTTTTAATTGAAGAACCTTGAATTGGATTCCAAAATTGAATTCCAGATTTTTCATTACCTGACAAAATTACCCATGGACAATTTTTTCTTGAATTAACTTCATGGCTGTTATTATGAACACCATTATTATCAACAATTTCATCGTCTTTAAGGTTAAGTACATTTGGAGTACATTTTAAAGAAAATACAGTTTCAGATGTATGGATTTGTTTAATTGGCTTTAATTCTAAACTAACAGTGTTTTTTTCAGCTTTTGAAGAATTTTCCTTTTTTCTTTTTTTATTGGATACATTATTATCTCTTTTATCATCAATTTTGGTATTTAATATTCCAATAGAAGTTGAATTAGGGATTTGATCAAGATCCCAAATATTGATCATATTATCAGCTCCAGAAGTAACTAAGCCTCCAAGGGAATTGCTGTTTAAACTGATTTCAAATAAATCAAAAGAGTGTATTACACTATAGTGGGAATTAGTTTGTACAATAATTTGATTAGTAGTTAAATCATAAATGGAAATAAAACCTTCAACACAAGTAGAAAATAAAAGCCATCTTTTGTTATGAAACTTTAATTTTGTAATAAGAGACTTATGAGCCTTATAATTATGCGTTGTAAAACCTCCAATTGCATCATATATTTGAATTGTACCATCAGTACCTCCAGTTGAAACATATTGACCAGTAAAATCAAATTCTATTTCAGCTATACTAGCTTGTCCAGATTTCCAAGATTTCAGGTACTCAAATTGGACAGAATTAACAACTTCCAATTCATCATGTTTAATAATAACTTTCCAAAGTCGAAAGATTCCTTTTGATCCAATTGTAAGTATTAATCTATTGTTAACATTTTTATTAAAATATCCAAAAGTGATGATTTCTTCAGAATGTTCAGTCCCCAAAACTTCATCTTGGTTATAAGGTCCAATAGTAGAGATTACAAATGGACCTTTTTCTATAGAAACTGCTAAAATGCAACCATCACAAAGCATGTAAAGTATCTTTGAATGATTGTCATATTCCACTTTTCCACCAGAATATAATTTTTTAAAAACTTTATATTTTGTCCAAGAGGATGAAAGTATTGGATCACTGTTCACTATGATATCTGTGCTCATTTGAATAATCTTCCTTAATTATGTATTACTTAAGTTTACTTAATATTATAAGATTTATGACTGTTAGTTGAAAAATAAATAATTATGAAAATAACCAAAATCTTAAATAATTTAATTATTCATGAGTGTATTTAAATAATATTAATATTTTTTTGATTTTTTTTTATCCAAGGATAAAAGTACTTATTTTCTCTCTGGTTTTGTTATCAAAAATAATAAAAGATTGAAATCTTCAATTAAATAATATATAAAGTGTTTTTGAGAAGATTAAATCAATTTCCAACACAAAAATTTATTTACTACAAAAAAATTTACCAATTTTATTATTTAAGGTCTCCTTCCTTTGAATCAAACCGAATTTGACCATTAATTCTTATTATAAAATATCAAAAATGACATTTGGCGCCAGTCCCACGGGTATCGGCCAGAATAATATAAGTGTTGGCGCGCAAAAGGAAAAATAAGGGTGAAAATGAAAAAGGAAATTAGTGAATAAATGTGGGAGTAGAAAAAATAGGAATATAGAAAAAGAGAGGAATTTAAAAAGTAGTTTGACTAGAAATAATTAGATAGATTATATTACAGCAAGGACAAGAGAAAGCCAAGTTACAAAGATATTCTAAGAAGCTCCCAGTTAATTTTTAATTGAAATACTTATAAAAAAAAGTAATTTACCATTGATTTTATTATTTATATTTTTCTCTTCTTTAAAAATATGGACGGAGAAAACAGGTCAACAATATATTTTCAGTTGGAACAATTGCATAGTAAATATCAGGGGACTGGACATATGAATACTAAAAGAAGGTAAGTTTTTTATGATTTGATTTACAATAATATAAACTATCTTTAAATAATTACTTTATATTCATATTTACAGTGAGTGGGGAGATAATATATTAAGAGATACTGCATCTTCTAATATAATGCATCAATCAAGACTATCATATTTTGCAATAGCTGAAAACACTAGTAAGGCTAGGATCAGTTTCAGAATGTTAGAATCAATGATACCAGCTAGTCTAAAGAGGAGAGAGGAATAACTTCCAATTTATGGAATGAGATAAATTCTTCCATAAATATGAGGTAAAACTTTAATGTTCTTCCCCAATTTCCAGTACTTGTTTGATTTACCACCAATGGAAAGCTTATAACTTAATCTAATTGCATATACTATATTGACTTGCATACAAGATTATATAATGTATTTATAAGAAGAAATCAAATACTTTATTTTTTGCATACAACTTTCTGAAATATTCACTATATATTTATAAATTTGAATTTTCAAAACTAACTACGCAGTTTATATAACTACCCAATACATTTTATTTTGCTCGTACATCAATTTGTGCATTGGTATGATCATGTTAAACTAAACAATTCTCGAGTTCTATCCAGGTATTGTAGATATAGAAAGTAATAAGTAGCCTTGTGTTCACTATTATTGCTTTTTATTATTCTCATTTTATCTAATTCATACTTTAATTGTTTTTTTGTATTTTTAGCTCTTACTTATGTATGGCGCCAATTTCCCCCTGATATTTTAAATGTTATCGGTACTGTTTTTTTTTATATTTTAAAAAATAGTTTGGCGCCAAAATGGATTAATTAAAAATATAGAAATAAAGATAAATTAAAAGGTTGTTTATTCATGTTTGAATGTATATTTTCAGTTATTATTGAATTTTAAATAACTTTAGCCTGATTGTACGAGAAGGGGAGTTCAGCTCTGAATTACATACGCGGAAGGTCTGTTTAAAGGGCAAGAAGAGTGTAAAAAGCAATAAGTCACCTTAATGAGGGACTAGTTGGAAAGATATATACTTAATAAAAAAGAATAATTTTAGTTGAATGTATTTACAAAAAAAAAAGAATGTCTGGTGAAAGGGAAAATGAGAGTGCACCAGAGGAGGCCATGAACTTGTTAGGAGAGGACACAATCCACCCAGAAGGAGTGAATTTGTTAAATACAGTCGAGATTTCTACTCTAAGTGATTCCTCCATAATTAAGGAAGATTTATCTGATTTAATGAAAAAGGGATTGGAGGAATTAAGGGAGAAGAGTGGAAATCTTCATAGGATGAGTGATGAGACTAGAGTGAATGATTTAAACATAATTGATGGTAAATTCAGGTGCGATGTATGTAAGAAAGATACATGGGACTATAGAATTAGATGTGCAGAATGTGTTGAGTATGATTTATGTTTGGACTGCTTCTGTCAAGGAAAGTCAAGCAATGACCATAAACCTAATCATAAATATATTCCTATTGGAAGGTATACATTTAACTTATTAACTGAAAACTGGACGGCAGAGGAGGAACTTTTATTAATGGAAGCTGTTTCTAGATATGGCCTAGGAAACTGGTCTGAGATTTCCAAGTACATAACAGAAGGCCCAACTGGAGCCTTATCTTTATACCAAAAGACTCAAAAACCAGGATTTGCTGCTCATACAGCAGATGAATGTGAGAAACATTATAATAACTTCTACCTAAATAGCAAAACTAAGCCTTTACCAGATACCAGAAATTATCTAAATCTAATACAAAAAACCCAGGAAATCACAAATTCAGAGCTTATTGAGTCCATTAAACAGGATCTTGATCTTCTCAATAAATCTGGTGAAAAAAAGGATTCGGAGCCTCAAATCTCTGAAAGTTCCTCTGGAACTTCTAATTCTGTATCTACAGAAAGCCATTCTAAGACAAAACAAGAGTTAAGTAATCCTCAAGTCAAGAAACAGCCCTTTGGAAGACCTTCCGGAGGTAATACTGGTAATAAAACAACAAGTACAGGTACAGGAAATCAATCTAAGCCTAGTACTAGTGTAATAGGCTATATGCCTTTAAGAGGGGACTTTGATGTAGAATATGATAATGATGCTGAGCTTTTGCTTGCTGATATGGAATTTAGGGATTCTGATACTCCTCAAGAAAAGGAACTCAAGCTTCAAATACTTGAGATTTATAATTCAAAACTAGACGAAAGAACTTACAGAAAAAGGTTTGTTATTGAACGTAATCTTTTGGATATTAAACTACAGCAACAAAAGGAGAAAAAGAGAACTAAAGATGAAAGGGATTTACATTCTTTTTTGAAGCCTATTTCAAGATTTCAAACTGAGGAAGAGCAAGAGAAGCTTGTTTCTTTACTTATAGAGGAGAAACGTATTAGAAGTCATCTACAGAAAGTCCAAGAGTGGTGTAGTCTTGGAATCAGAACTTTGGAAGAAGTTAAGAGGTATGAAGAGGAAAAGAAGAGACGAGAAGATGCCAAATGTAAGATTATCAATCAGACTCAAGGAGGAGCTCTTGTTGCTCCCGGTGGACTTGGCCTTGGCAATCTAAAGACTATGCCTAAATCTGGTATTTCCACTCCTTTTGTCTATGAGGGTCAAGCAAGGGCCATTAAAAAACAGCAAAAGAATCAGATTTCTGCTTCTAATCAGAATCTTATTTCTAATCCCAATCCTAATTCTAACTCTTCCACATCATCCTCAATTCCTAATCCTCCTTCCATCCCCCTCCAAAACCCCAATTCAATTCCTAATCATACTTCATCTCCATCTACATCTGCAATACCTATTGAAAGTTACCCAGGTGCATCTCTACTTACAGACCAGGAGAAGCTCTTTTGTGATCAAATACAACTACCTCCTATTTTCTATATTCTCTCTAAAAGGATTCTTGTTCAAGAAGCAAAGTACCATCTAAGTCTTAATAGTAAAACTAGAAAGGGATCTGTAAATAACCAAAGTAATACTGGTAATATACAGAACATCTCAGCTGGTGGAATCCCTCATTTAAGTAGGGACGAGTTCTCGAGAGTAATCAGGTTAGACGCACAGAGAGCTGGCCAGCTCTATGACTTTTGTCTATCTTTTGTTGATAAATAATATATTAAAGAAAAAGTAAATACTCCAAGTATATACAAATATTTAAATATATATATTATAATTAAATTATTACTAATTAATAGCCTAATATTATAGCTTAACTAACATATTATATAAGTTCCCTGATTGTTGAATACTATATGATTTAATATTTTCACATTTGTTCTCAAATTCTTTTGAAACATACATTTTCTTAATCCCAGTAAAACCTCTATCATTTCTTGAGCTTGGACCATTTACAAGCTTATCCAGAAGATCACAGAATAGAAATACTGTAGGAGAATTATTTCCTATCTTTCCATTCATTTCCTGATTCTTTACCTCCTTAGAGAGTTTCCTGCATTTTGTATTAGCTTTGGAAATATTCTTATGATACTCATCATCCTTATTATCTGATTCCCACGTAGAATTACACAAGCTAACAAACTCTGACTCCAAAAGTGACTTTGGATCATAATAAAGAATGCATATCTCCATCATTAACACTTTACCTAATTGCTTCCAATTCTTAATTTCTATTGAGTCACCATATAAACCCATCAAAGTATATGATGGATATAAAGGTATGAATGGTTTTAACAAAGCTGCTGTTCTTGTTTCAAAAACCTCTTTCAAGTATGAAAATGATGATAAAAAGTTAAATGGGAAGGTATGAATCTTCTCACTTAAGATTAAAACCATACTAGGAATTTTTTGGCTCTCTAGTACATTACTTAATATAAGTCTTTCAGTCTTGATTACCAAATTAGACACGTGTATACTCAAGATCTTTGTATTATAATTTGTTAGGCTAAGTATTAGTGAAGCCAGTTTTACTGAGGATTTTTGAATAGATTCCATAATATCCCCCTCATATTCCTCAGATAATAACTCCTCACTTAGATAATTGAAAGGATTACACTCTTCCATCATATCTTCGTTATCTCCTTTACTATCTTCAATTTGAAGCTCCTCCTCGTTTTTCTGATTTTCTTCCTCAAGATCTTCGCTTTCACTGACACTTCTGTGGGTCTCCTCGTCTCCTTCACCGGTATTCTGATTCATATAACTAGCTTCCATCATATCATCTTTTTCACTTCTTCTCCCCTTTTTGCTCTTCTTATTTTTCCTTCTTCTCATGCTTTTACCTTTTTTTGATTTGTCTCTTACACCTCCTTGTTCATCAATGGGAATTAGTTTAGCATTCCTACAAACAGAAATTAGAATTTCCAAGGGATTTGTTGTAAGGCCCAACTCCATACTAGTTATGTACATTACTCTCAGTAAATGCATGGAATTTTGTATGTAATCAACAGCTTCAAAAAGCTCAAGTACCTGTGTTGCAGTTTCTCTATCCATTTTCAAGTTTGAGATATACTTCTTGAACTCAAGCCTTGATTTTCTTTGGTCTGGAAGTTCCTCAAGTCTAATCAATAGATCATCCATTATTCTAGCTTGTGATAAAGTTGTGGGATTTTGCTCTTTTGAAGAAAGAATACTGTAAAGTTCACTAACTTCTAGTTCTTTTTGAATTGTAGATCTACTTTGAGTTGAGGCAAAATCCTCAGAACCATTTTTACCTTTTTCTTCCCCATTGAGTTCTTCTTCCTTAGAAGATAACTCTTTTTGATCACTTTCCTTATTTTGTTGAGAATCTACCTCCTTAAATAGTGTGAAATTAGCAACCTGTAGAGATTCCAGTATTGTACTAATTAACAGGGTTTTAAATCCCATATCACTTGTTTCATATTCTGTTTCTATCAACTTCAAAAGTTTATTCCAAGAATTATGACAATTAGTTGGATATTCACTCAAAAAATGACTAACTCCTTGGGCACTTTTTGAAATCTCATGTGTTATTACCTTATTGTTGATTGCATAAATCAGGTATTGAGTTAAAAGCTTTTCAAATAGACCAGGACTAATCATATTGTATCTTTCATAAATAATCTTGGATTCATTACATTTTTTTAACCACTTAACAAATAAGGAATTATAACCTTGATCCAAATCAACAGAAAAATCCATTTGGCCCAAATCCTTTTCTAACTCAGTTTGTTCTTCATCTCTAGTAGATCTAGATCTAGATTTGGACATTGAATTGGGACTTTTGTCTATTTTTGATTTAGAACCAGATCTTTTAGATTTAGATTTGAAGTTTGAATCATATACATCACTTAAAATACCATTGTTCTCTTTACTATATTTAAAATGACCAACAATAACAGGAATAATAACTCTAGATTTGTTTATGTTTGCCCTATTCCAACAGGAAGTTTGGATCAAACTAGTCATGAGTCTTGAAAAAATGAGTCTATCAGTAATTTCATATGCTTCAACTACAAACAAATATGATTGGCCATTATCACTCATTCTGTGTTTGCTTAGACTCCTAAGTTTAACACAAAGACTTTTGACAGTTTGGCTAATGGAAGAAGAAATACCTCGGGAGGTATCTTGTTCCTCAGTTCTAGTTCCTTCGTATTCTGTAGAGGAATATTCTCTATTTTCTGCTGAGTTAGATTTGGAAGCTTCTTCTTCTTCCTTTTCTTCCAAAGTGAGCTCTTTGGATACCTTCTTTGTTAATACCTTGAGTATGACTATAACAGCAGAATCTTTAAGTTTTTGATAATTCCTTCTGGCAAGTTTGTAAATCTCTTTGAATTCTGGTTTTTTTTCAATATATAATACTGGAGAAGTTAATACTGTAGATTCACTCCATAATCTAAAAAACCATGATCTCACCTTTGATTCCAGTATATAATGATTCAAAACCGATTTAATATAAGATTTAAATAGTTTGGATGATTTTTTTCCATATAATCCTCTAGTACAAAACTGTTCTTGACATACTATTTTTTTACCTTGTTCATGCTCAAAAAGAAAAGGGTTATAATATGGAGACCTTAAAGGTTCATTAGTTCCAGAAGGCGATTCTATTGAATAACTATATTCACTATTTTCTGTTGGACTAAAATTCAGTATTGTAAAATCAGCATTTTCGTATGAAATATCATTACTATAATCCATTCCTGAACTCTTTTCAAAGAAAAAGTTTGAAGGTTCTGATATCTCTTGAGAGCTTTCTCCATATATTTTTCCTGCCACTAACAATACAATTAGTACAAAGAAGTACCATTTGAATATCCAAGCTATGAGTACTTTTTTCATAGTTAATACTAATCACGATTAATTCTTAAAATGATTTTAGTAGACCTTTAGCAAAACCCAGTTTTAAAGTCTCACTTAAATATACAATTTTGTTTTATTTTTCTTTAAAATTTCGACTATTTATACCATTAATATGTCGGTTCCTTTCAAAATGTCATTCCTTACTTTTACATATTACACTTGAAAGCTTTCAAAATTTTGTTTTTTTTCTATCTAGAGCTTATTTTTGTATAACATTTGTATACAAATACATATAAATATGGATTTTATAACCCCAAAAGGAGTCTTTAAGACTTTTTTTTTTAGTTTCTCGTATTTTTTCCCACTTTATCATTTGATTGTGTGCATTTAATACACACAATATATTAGGCGCCATTATATGGCGCCACCGTTGTAAGTAGCATGTTTAAATAGATTAAAAATAGGTAGGTATGGGAGGTATTAGAATGAATAGGGGGGGGAAATTTTAATGGGGGGTAAGTTTTGAAAAGCTGGAAAGAAAATAGACTTTAAGTAATTGAAGATTAATATATTAGATAACAAGGATATAATAGGATAGTGAGCAGTAATATAAGAGGTTAATAATAATAATAGTGTTAATAAATTTAAGTAATTTGTGACTTTTAATGATTAAGCTAAGATATTGAGTTGTATTGTATTTTAAAAGTAAGTAGTTAAGAGATAAAAGACAGATATAATTAGTATATTGTTACATTTGAGTTGAGAAAAGTACTCTATTATTGTGAGATGAAGAATCCAGGATTGTAATAACTGACGATTTACTGGTTCAGAATTAAATTGGATAGTTGGTAAGATAATTTTTTTTTTTGCAATAAATAAATAAACATATTTATTTATTAATTTATTTATTTATGTATTTAATTTCTTTCAATAAACTAGATAAAGAATTTTTGTAAAGGAAGAAACAAATTAATTACTTCTTTATTTATTATGGTTAAATTTAATTTACTATCTTTGAAACAATAGTTTTGGACCTTTATGCTGTATTTAATGAATAATGAATAGAAATGAACCTGCTTTTAAAAATTATATAGAGTTTATCATAAAAAATAAGCACAGCAGAGATCTTAAAATTTATGGAGAATCTCTCGCTCACAAAAATCCCAAACTTGATTCACGTAAAACTTTCACAAAACTGAATCCAGAATTTGACTCGAACATTTCAAATAAACTAATAGGCTCAAACACAGAAAGTTTGACCAAATTTAACAAGAAATTACTCCCAAATGGAAATTTGACAGGAAAAAGCGAATTTTCTAGCAAAAGTTATGATGGAAAATTAAAAAGTACCGACCAGAATTCCAGTTCTATACTCTGGATGTATAGGAGCGAAAGAGGTTGGACACCTTTCTCTGGTAGTAACAACATCTATATAGAATCAATGTACAAAAGTAAGATAAAAACAATTGTTATCTACCCTTATCAAATTGATTTCGCTAATTTTATTCAAACCAACCTACTAACAGGCACTGAAAGACGCATTATGAGGACTAACAAAAACAGTTTCTCCCTTAATAAAAATTGGGGAGGCCGGGATTTAGTAATGATTGATCCTCTTCTGAATCTCCTATCATTTAATACATCTGAGATTCTCAGAAATATTTTTAATTTCCTCAACTTTGATAATAATGAACCCAAACATACTAACTTGAAAAAAACAAACCGCAAAGTTCCCGCCAAAAACATTGTTGGCGGGCATTTGGATGTTAAACAATTTATTATTCCCAGACTACCTATAGAGAACTGTAAGGAAAATATATTATCAGATTCTACAAAAAAAACAGTTCCTCCTGCAAATTTATCATTATCTCCACCGGGAGGATATATGACCAGATCTTCGACAAATTATGGATTAAATGTGAAAAATAAGGGTAAGTGTAGGATTAATACTTACAGTAGAGTAGTGCAAAGTGATGCTGTGAGTGCAAGTATTGATGCCAATAACAATGATGAGAAATATGAGGGAAATGGGCATTCTGATAACTCCATAAACTTTAATGGTCAGGATTTAGAAGGAAAAGATGAGAAACTTTCATGTTTTTGTCCTGAAATTAAACTCAATGACGAAATCAAAAAACCCAAAATTTATTTTCATGATATTATTGGTAGCAATATTTCTGTTAATGGCGCCAAAGGAAGTTTTGATTCTTCATCATCTTCTAGTACTGTATCTAATAATGCAGTGGGTATTTTGGGTGAGACAAATAAAGATGATGGCGAGAAGGCAACTTTAAAGTCATCAAATGGATCTAAAGGTCTGTTTTTCTTTACTCCTCATAAATACAGAAAGAGCGTGGGGATTATAGTACCCAAGATTTTGTCGTGTAGACTTAATAACAAGAAGACAACGAAAAGTTCAGAGAAAGAAGTTAACAAGTATGTAAGGTTTAACTGTGGATTAATACCTTCAGACCAATCAAAACACTCTTTAGGAGGATATATAAGCACTCCTAGAAGAACCAATTCGAGTTCTTCTAAGGAAATTAGATCAAATAAGAAGATTCACTCCAAAGATTTGGAGAAAAATATTAACAAAATCCCGAAAACCTCCATAATAGACGATTCTCATAACTTATCACCACCTGACAATAGTGTCACTAACCCCATTCAAACTGATGATCTTAAGGCATTTTCTGTCAAATCTGCCTTTATTATTTTAAATGAAGATGCAATTCCTTTTGATATTTCAGACAATAGTAAGCCAGTTTCAATATTTGATGGAGGTAGGGAAATTGGAGTAGTTGGAGACGAAGGAACAGGTTACCTAAATACACTGAACAGCTGGAGCAGAATTGGAAGAATGCAAAGCGAGTTTTTTGAAACAATGTCAGAAGGAGAATTTATTAGTCGAAAAACATCTATGGATATTAATGATTTTGGGAGTGATGAAGCTGCTTCAGATTCTGATGCTCGATTTTTACTTGACGAGGACTCTAGAAAGCTAATTAGTTTAGGAAACTTTGACAATAGCACAGGAAGTCCTCGTAAGATTAATTGGTGGTTTAACCATAGTGTCCGACATATTACCGTTAAGCTTAACTGTGAGAACAGCAACTTTAATAAAAAAACAGCTTCTCTGGAAATCATCCCTCTTTTAAAACCTCTTCTAACAGGTTACATGGATGAACAAACAACAATGATGAGTAAAATAGCTACTGATGTTCAAATTTCCGGAATCTCATCTCATGTTTTACTAGGATTAAAAAGCCTAGAAATTATTAGCTTGAGACCTAACAAATCAGAATTTCCTAAAATTTCTGAGTTTTGCTTTACTGAACTCAATAATATCATCCCAATTTCTCTTGAAGAGCTTTATATTGTTCAATCAATTATTCCAATTTCAATATTTTCTTTATTATTAACACGTTTTCCGGTACCCGCTGCGTCAACTTTTTCATTTTCACTAATTTGTAATGATGACGAGTTACCGAATACAGGACTTCAGACCATCCAAGTTATCAATTTACACTTATCTCAGAACCCGTGTAGCTATATTAAAAGACGTAACAGATATGGAATGCTTAAAGGAAAAAAACACTTAACGTATTCAGGAGACTCTGCATGTAGTCATGTCCATTTGGATATATTTAGAAAGTATAATCACGTGAAAATTTGTCCGTGGCTTGCTATTTCAAATTTTGTTGATGAATTTGTATTAAGAGCTCCGATACTTGTCAAATGTATAATAGACCCACACAATATTATGGTAGTTCCTTCAATTAATACTAAAAATATCTGTGATGATTCTCGTTCTTTATATGAAAATAGAGATCCACAAGGCAACTATGGTACTAATAATATTAGAGAGCTTTCTAGGGGTGCAGAATTTGTGATCATGACAGCCAATTTAATTTTACCTCTATTAATCATTCAATCACATTCTATTCAGAATATTATTATAGGAGGAGAAGTTGAAGATGACCAACTTGATCCGTTATTTTCCAAAACAGTTAAAAAGCTTAGAGTGGATTCTATTGTTTTTTCTTGTAAGTACCTCCCTTTTAAGTTTTTCAAAGTCCGAAACCTAGATTTGTTTCTTGATTTTAATATAGACAAAACAGAATTGGGAATTTTTATTAGGAATAGTAACTCCAAAGATGGAACCAAGTCTTTGTATTGTGAACAATTACCAGGAGAACAAGATCAGACTCAAAATCAAGACTGTGATAACTACTGTTTTCAGCAGCTCTACAACTCTATTGATTTTTGGATTGACGAATTCTCTGCTTGGCTAGACAAATATGTGTGTTGTGATTCTATTGAAATTCTCCGTATTAATTTATATGTTACATCTAGGTACCTTGAACTGAAGGTTAATAACAATAATGTTAACAACAATAATAGCAATAATTCTACTTATAAAGATAATAATGTTTATTATGGTATTTATGATGACCATCTAAATAATCAAAAGTGCAAACATCGTTCTCATCATGAACAAACTAATCCTGAAACTGTGTGTCTAAGTAACGAGAATTTTACTAGTTTTGTAAGAGAAGGAGAAGTTGGTGTTATTGATCATGTTACTGTGGATCCAAGAAACATCTTTGACTTTGACCCATTTTACCAAAAGTTCTTGGCTAAAACTAAGGTCAACCATAACTCCTTGAATGATGTTAAAATAAAAATTTGTATTTCTAGTCACCTACAAAACTTTATCTTCGATGCAATAAATCTTGACTGAGTAATTTTTTTGGCCAGATCCTACACTTAATCCTAGTATATAATATATTATCATTTTCAGCTTTTAACTTGATCAATCTATTCTACTAAATAAAATTCTTTTCTTGTAATTACTCTTCATATTGTCTTAAATTTGCCTTAAAAAGAATATTTTTACTTTTTTTTTATTAAAATGTCTTCTCTTACTTTTCTTTTATTCCAATTTACTCTGAATTTAATATTTACCCAGGGTTTCGTGCAATAAACATTCCCCACAAAGTGGCGCCTTGTGGCGGGATGTCAGTTTTTTGCATGAATTTGGAGATTAACTCAAAAAAAAACAAAGACAAATTTAACAAAAAATAATAATAAAAATTTGGAAAGTAGTGATATATAAAGATAGAAAAATTTCTTACAGAAAGGATAGGTAGACGAGAAATATTTAGAAAAAAGAAAACTTTTTTTTAGAGATTGAGAATTAATTATTTATCTAGAAGAATTGTGCATTCATAGAAAAGGAATCAAGGAAAAAAAAGGAAAATAATTGCTTACGTGGCTGCATGCACATGCAGTAGAACAGAATTTTGCATGTATAAATTACACACACAGCAGATTTCTGAGTTGTAGCAGGGAAAATGAGAAAGAATTTTCCAACGTTACTTAATATATTGTTTTTGGGCGGAATATTAATAGTGAATAGAGTATTTTGTACAGAAGATAATAATGAGCAGATAAGACAAGCATTGGAAGCTAGAAGTGAAGATATTACGGAGCTGAGTGATTTTTGGAATTGTATTTCTACACAAGTAATTAGAGATAAGTTTTCGTGGAATAGAATCCACAGGATAGGAAGATATGACTCAATGCCTATAATTTTCCCATCAATAATGAGAGAACAATTACAAACTATTGATATTTTGGATCCAAGAAAGTTTTACTTAGGGTGTATTGGAATACTAAAGTTATTGGAATCAAAAAGAGTTATTATGTCAGGTTACGATGATGAACTTGAGAAAAACTATTCAAGAAAGACATTTTGCATTTCAGCTGCTGAGTATTGCTTTCCAGTAAAGGGAAAACTTAAGGCAGTGAAAGACTACTTTACTAAAGTGACAGAGAATGCAAGAGAAGCTATTTTAGAGTCAAAGAAAAAGCAAATCAAAGGAAAAGAAAAGGAAGAGATCGAAAAACTTACAGATAGAACAGACTTAAAACTATTACAAGAAAATCCAGACTATGGTAAACCGCAACATCACCCCTTAATTGAGGAGAGAATTAGATCAAAGCGCATTCAAAAAAATAAAATAAAGTTTCCAGAGCTTGGAAAAGATTTTGAGTTGCAATTAGAATTTTTAGAAACTGCTTTAGAGGAGGTTCCATTAAAGGTTCATAAAATTAAGGGAGGAGATGAAATAATAAGAACTGGAATTGATTATGACCGACTATCCAGGGTTTCACTTTATAATTTACCTCCAGACTCTGTGCCTGTTTCTAAAGGAGCTTGGAATTTCTGGAAATCTATATTACAACAGGAAAGTCGGGACAACTCTCTCAATAATAAAAGGCTTTCAATACTAAGTCAGAACTTTCCAGTTGAGTTAAAAGATTTTACTTATAATCCAAAAAAGTTATTGATATTATGTAATCAAGCATTGTTTTCACTATTAAAACAGGATTTGATAGATATATCGAATTCTGCTTTAACTAAATCAAAGGAATCACCTATAGCTCAAGACGCAGAAGCCAGAAATGAAGAGAAACTCCAAGAGTTTGTCAAATTCAAAAGCCTGAATGTTGACTTACCTGAGGATCCTGAAAAAGACGACATGAATTATATTCATCATCAATTTGTTATTTTTCAGTTCTGCACAGATTCTGTAGATATTTTTATAGGTAATAGACAGTGGAGCAAAATTATTGAGAGACAAAACTATAGAATTTATGGATTACCATCAGGAAGACCCTTTATGCCTTTCAAGTTTACTTTTGGAAGAGATGTATATGAAATGAGAAATAATTGTGCTGGATGTATTTGGGATTTGTATGTGAATAAGGTATCTAAAGATCTCCATATTGATGGAAATACAAAATCTGGTAAATTTGATGTTTCATTAATAAAGAAAAATATTGAATCTTTTTGCCATTTTGCTTCAGTTGCCTTTTTCCAAGGAGAATTATCTTTGGATGACCAACAATTCAATGATTCCACTGATGATAATGAAAAGAAAGGTGCTAGCTCTGCTCATATTTACAATCCAAGACATTATGACTTTGAGAAAAAAAAACAGAAAGAAGAGGAAAAAGAGAATTATGAGCAAATTCGTCCTGATAAACATCAATTCTTGGCAGAGCCATTAGATGATGAAGTTTACCAAGTTTCAACTAAGACTTCTCCAACAGGATATCATGATTTTAAAAGCAATGAAAGCTTAAATAAGCCATTAATGGAACAACAAAAGAATTCCAAACTTTTGTTTGGAAGTACTAGAAGTGTCGATGAAATCTTAAATCAAGGAGTTTCTGTTGGACTAACTGTTGGAGAGACTGACCAAAAAACTCTCAAATATGAATCAATATATAAAATTAGTCCAAAAGAATCTTTGGTAGCCTTTCAGCAATGGAAAGCAATTACGTTCCAAATGGTAACAGATTCTAGAAATAATAGAATACCATCAATTTCTGAACTTCCATTGGAGCAGCCAAGAGAATGGAATACACCTCAATACTCCAGTGAGAAGTTTTTATTTGTTTGTGTTGAATTAATTAGCTCATTTTTGTCTCAATCTAAAGCCAAGATCAACTTACCACATGGAGCAGAGTTAGATAATTATCAAGATAAAACGAGAGAAACTGTAAAGATTTTCTGTAGAGAAGCAACTAATAGGTATTTCCAAGAATATCAAGAATTATTTGACGTAATGTCAGCCTCCAGTAAAGAAGAACCTTTGATGGATGAAAATAAAATCTCCTCAAAATGGTCAATAATTCAAGAGCAAGTTATTATTGATTACATTTCAGGTCTTGAAAATAGGTTAACAGAAATATCTCCATTACTACCAAATGATTTCTATCCTGTTACAGAAAAGTTGGATTTTGAGTATCAATGTATTGGTACAATTTACTATGGTTATACTTCTGTTCCTCCAAGAGTATTAATTTCAATTAAATCAAATGAAGAACCAGGAAAGAGTGAGGAGGAAATTAAAAATGAGTTAAATGACTTAATTAAAAGTTTTTGTAAAAGAGCCTCAAGTAGATATTATACAGCAGTAGAGTATATCTCAATGTATAATGAATCTAAGAATTGGTTAGATCCAAAAGCAAAAAGCCCATATTCAATTTCTTCTCACCTTTTGGATAGCACAAATTCCAATAAACCTGGTTCCATTCAAGGTATTCCCTGGCCTCCAATTAAATCCCCTTCATCATTGGTTTTTAATGGCAGAGCTAGGCCAGATCTTTATAGAGATGACTGTTTTTCACACTTATGGAAAGTATGGGAAAGTGGGATATCTCGACAATTTTATATAGACGGGACAAACTTTGACAAATGTAAAAGTTTAGATATGGCAAAAGTTATATTAGAAGATTTTTGTACTGCATCTTCTATTAAGCTTTATAAGCTAAAACCAGAAATCCTTCCTTCAAGAAATGTTTTAAGTATGGAACGTAAAGCATTATTGGGAATTCAACAAATGCGTAAGAAGGTAAGGAAGATTGAGAATGAAGTAATTGGAGATGATTCACAAAAGAATGAGAGAGGGGTGGTTAAAAATAAAGTATTCAGTCCTAAAGAATCCAAAATAAATCTATCGGATATGGATGAATATAGCGATAGTGATTCAACAAACATTACTGAGAATAAAACCGATGATGAAAGTGATGAAGAGGATGAGGAATTTAAGACTTTTGAAAAAAAAGAAGCCAAAATTCAATGGGACCAGCTTAAGCAACAGATGAAAAGAGATATTAATATGAATTATATTCGTTTTGTAAAGCTTCCAGAATATGATCAAACTTTATATACTCTATGGCCTCATCCAGTAACAGAAGTAATGTTTACAAAACATTGTATTAAGGTATTGGATGAGCTATTAAAGTTAAGATTAGCTATAATTTCGAGTTACAATTTGAATGATAGAGACTACACTATAGAGAGATTTTGTGAGGAATCCAAATTTTATGTATTTTCTGGTCTCAAAGAAAAGACTGACGAAGAATTAAAAGAAGATGAGCTTGGATATGAAGGAGATTCAGAGGGGGTAGAGAAAAGAATACAGCAAGAGCTTCTAGATACATTAAGGGAATTGTCTGATGAGGGATACCCATTATACAAATGGCTGGAAAATGTAATGAACCTCAAAAGTGGAAGTGATAGAGAAACTCTATCTAAAGCAATAAAATGGGGTCAAAGGAAAGGAGATTGGCATTTCTTGGAGTTATTATTAAGAGAGATAGATAAGGAAACTTTTATGAACATACAAAGACACTTACAAGGAATTTCTCCACAAGGGTTTTTAATGACTTCGGGGCTTTTTGATAAAGACACAACAGTAAGTATAGAAGCAACTTGGGGAGCTATTTATTTGCAGTCTCTTAAAGATATTAAATCGGGGAATCCAAGAGTAATAGGTTTAATAGGAAGTCCTCCTCCAAGAGATATTTGGTCGGGAGCAAATAATGAACAAGAATTTGTTTTGTTATGCACAGAAGCTTTAAAGAAGTTAAAAATGAATCCTCCTTTTATATCTTTTAATTCTCAAGGACAAGGTGAGAGAGCATATATACAAAATTTCTGTGAAGATGCTTTAGATACTTTGATTTCATTACAAAGAGAACCAGAGAAAGTATTATCTATGGATTTCTCCTATTCAGGATGTGTAAATGAAGCAATGAGAAAGTGGCAGTGGAATCAGATATATACTCAAATGGATATTGATTTAAAGGAGATGGGGGAGTATAGAATAACTGGTATTCCCCCACAAATTAGTCATAAGATTTTTAAAGGAGGTAAAACAGTGGATGAAGTTGAGGATCAGTGCGGAGATGCTTTGGAAGAATTGGACAAGAGGAATAAGATTAAGATACTTAATAAAAATGCTTCACAATTTTGCAAAGATGCAGCCGAGAATATTTGTAAGGAAGATGATAGTGGTAAGTCAAACTGTAATATTGAGAGGGTAAAATTGGAAGAAATAATATCTCAGCATCATATGGAAACCCCAATAGGAAATCCACTGAAATTGGATTCTAGAACAAGATGCATGAGAATTTGGGCTTTGCTTAGGAATTCTGCGCCAGGTGCAGTTAAGAATAATATATTTTCATCAGATTCATTAACAGGAGGAGAAAAGTTTGATATTACAAGAGGAGCAAACAGATTAATGGATATGAACATGGATATGGACCTAGATCTAGGTTTTGGAAGCGAGATGGTATTGCCAGATATGAACAATTTTATAGGAGATAATAATATAAGAGCAGATATTTTGAGATCACCATTAGATAGTGGTATTAGATTTATTGTACTTAAAGAAATTATGGATGTATGTAGTCCAATAGATACTCCAAGCCATATAATAGGAGTATTCATACAAGCAATGAGAAAGATTCAAAGGATTAACTCATTAAAATCATCAGAAGAAAATTTATATAATTGGGTCAAAGAGTTAGTAATAAGGTATTTAGCAGATGAGAGGACTGACAATGAGTACTTGGATTTAACTGGAGTAAATGTATTTGGAGATCCATACTCAAAAGATGATAATACATTAGATTTACTGAATAAGGGATTGCATTCAAAAGGTATTCCAAAGAAAGTTAGAGAACTAACAGATAATGAAAAGGCAGTAATTAGAGAGAAAGAAAATATGAGGATTAATTCAATAGTAAATGGAATAGTCAATCAGGTACTTCCTTCAATTGCTCACTTAACGACAAAAGAAAAAAAGAGAGAAATAACAGATCAAGGATTATTGAGACTACAAAAAGATACAGAACAAAAAGACTTGCTATTAAATAAACAAATAGGTGATACAAATATATTGGATGAGATTAGAGCTAGGAAAGAATTACCAATAGAAGAAAGAAATAGTATGACGTTAGGCAAAGTTCCATTACCTATATTAGCTAGAAGATTTGATAAAAGTGGAGACGATTTAATGTTAAGTAATAAAAGCTCTGAGAAGATAGTTGCAAGGATAGATACAAGATGGGAGAAAACAGGAAATAATATATTAAAATTTGAAAAAATAAAAGATCAAGATAAGGCCTCAAAAATATTAGATAAAACTATGGAAAGAAACTACAGAAAGTTAGATTCAGAATGGATTAATATCAAATCTTTTAAGAGCTATGTATTGTTAAATCTCCCAAAGGACAGGCCTTCTGAATATGGAGATAAAGGATTTAGGGATTTATTTAATAAAGAAGCAATGATAAGAAGATGTGTGAATTTTTTCTCCGATGAAAAAAATATTGAAAATTATAAGATTTCAATTAAGGGTAACTATATTGAAAGATTATCTCATATTAGAACACATTGCTCAAGATCTGCATCCAGAATGTACGATTTAACAAGTAGATCGACTTTAAATGGAAGTAAGCCAAGAGTTAGAAACAAACAAAGTAAAGGAAAAGCAGTGCACAGAGCAGGAAGACTAATTCATGTACAGGGAGAAAATGAGCCTCTTCATCAAGTTATTTCAAAACAGAGAATTATTTCTGGCAACATAGTTGAAGATTCTGAAATGTCACCAGAAGAACTGGAAAAGAGTGAACCATTCTCCAATACATCTCAAAATAGTCACAACAATATTGAAATTCAATATGTTGGCTCTAACGACGGTTATAAAGCAATTTCATCTGAATATGTGTCCAAGAGAAATAATAATAAAGGTAAGAATAGCAATCAAAAAAGGAGATAACAATCAAAAAATTGATTAATAGAAGAGAAATAGTACCAATATTAATATTGCAACCTCATTGGTAATCAACTCACTAATTATATTTAATTTTATATTTAATAATAAATAAACATTCGCATGCAACTCTGTATTTTTTTTCCTCGTTTGTTTTCCCACTTTTTACCTTTCTTTAAAATTAATATTTAAATTATGTCTCGTCTCGAGACGGCGGTTCAACTTGGCGGGCTACTTTGAATCAGATGAAAATTAATTTAATTAAAAAGTAAAAGCAAATTAAGAAATAAATAAAATTCAATTGCTTTGAATAGATGGCGTCTAAATAAAAACATGGTATTCAAATAGTATAAAGTATAATTAATAAAAGGTCAATATTTTAGGCGGCAAAAGCTAAATATATTATTTTAATGATAAAGCATTAATAAAAATAATAATAAACTACTAAAAATACAAATAAAGAAAAAAATAAAATAATTTCAAGACAGGAAGAATTACAAAAATTTTTTCTTAATCAAGAAAAAATTCAGGGTGAAAAAAAAACAAAAAAAAAGGAGTAAATTATAAATTTAAAGGATGTCTGCCGTCAAAACCACAATCAAGACGGAACTCTGTTCTTACAGTGATTACCGTATATACCCAGGAAGAGGAAGAAAGTTTGTTGCTAGAGATGGTAGAGTCTCAATATTTTTAAATCAAAAATGTGCATCTTTGTTCCACCAAAAGATTAAGCCAGTTAAGCTTAAATGGTCAACTAGCTGGAGAAGAATGAACAAGAAGTTGACTAATCAGGGAACAACTTCAAAAAGAAGAAATAGAAAGACCGTTAGAATTCATAAGGCAATTGAAGGTTTGTCTTTAGATGATATTAAACAAAAAAGAGCTCAAAACCAAAACAATTCTGGTGTTGCTCAAAAGGCTGCATTGTCTGAGGCTAAGGCTAGACAACAGAAGAAGAAGCAATCAAACAGAAAGTAAGGGATTTAATAGAGATAAATAAAGAATAAGAAATGGTGTTGATCAATTGATAATGCCTTTGATGAAGATAAATATTAGTAATAGTAATATTGAGAGTAATCATAATTCATATTGGTTTTTTCATTTTTACTTGTTACTATATACTATCAATCTTCATTAATGCCATTATAATTACTATTAATATTACTACTACTATTTTTATTATTTTTTTCTATCAGTCCTTTGATAATTACAGAGGTTACACCCAACCAGAGGCTGTGCATCTCCAGCTCAGCTCCCTAAAAGGAAAAACATATATTCTTGATTGAAAGGAAGGCTCAACTAAAGTAAACTAATCATTAATAATAAACTCTGATCAATTAACTTTCCTCTATAGGTCTTATTTATTTTTCTTGTAGTTTATTTTAATGTTTTTATACAAATTTTATTTTCTACTTTCGCCCCCCCCTGTCCACTTATTTTCCATATTCTGCAGCATTAAAAAATCACGGGTACCGGACGTTCTGCCGTTCCCGCGTTTTGGCGGAAAATCTTCAAATAATTTTAGGCTAATAATTAGATCGAATAAATTTTTTTAATAATTAATGAACAGAGATGAGTTGGTATTAAAAAGGGTTATTAAAAAGAATAATGCCAATGAAAAGGCTCTTCAGAAAATAGATGGAAATGTTTTGGAGAGATTAAAAAGAGCAACTGAATTGGAGAATCCCTATAAGATAAGAATAGATAAAAGAAGGGAGCTTGATCAGGCTAAGTATGAAAACAGCTTAAAAGAGATTATTCGCCAAGATTATTATCCAGATCTTGAATACATGAACAGGAACAAAAATGATCATGATAGTATTAAGACAATTATTAATAATCCCCCAGGTACTTTAAATATGAATGATTTTAATAGTTTTGGTAATCATGATAATAATACTAAATCATTAACATACAAAAAGTTACCGAATGTCACAGAGTTCCAGTCTAAATATACCCATAAGAGTCATTTAGCTCTCTTAGATTTAACTAATGAAGACCAAATAAAGAGGAGAGAAAAGGAAAGTTGGATAGAAGAGCAAAGTTTTAAACATAATCTTAAAAGAGAAATTAATATTATTAAAATGCAAGAGAAAAGTTCTGGTGATCTTAATCAATTTGATGAGAAATCTCTTATTTTGAATAAAAGTCAGTCCAGAAACAATTTCATGTTTCCAAACTATAGTCATCATCAAGTAAATAAAGAAATTAGTACTCTTGATAATAGAGAAAAGCTTATTAATCCTCGAAATACAAGATATAATTATATGGATGACTTTGAGAAAGATGAAAGGATGCTAATTCTTAGAGAAATACAAAGTAAAACAAAAGAAGTTACTAAGACTCAAAGTTCGGGTTTTCTATTTCCTGACAAGAAAAAGGCTTCTAGTAATTTGCTTATGAAGTCTCCTCTAATCAAAAATGCTCTTAGAAGATCACAGAAAAGCGGTATACTATTTGATCACCAACTAAGAGATTCATATTCTTACAAGGGAAAAAGTAAACAGAGCCTTTCAAGATTTACTTAATATTCAGAAAAGCTATAAAAAGTAGTAAAACTCTCTATATACCAAAATTAACCACCATATTAGATTTATTCTTTATATTGTATTTTTCCAGCATAAATACACCTATTCTTAGAACTAAAGCCTAAATTATAAGATGCTTGAATAATTCAAATCCAGTATTCTACATTTACCATCATCACTTACAGTTACTAATGAACAATCTGAAATTGAACATGGAAGATTATTATGAATACTGTTGCTTGAAACATTATTACTCATATTGCTGTTTAGATTGTTATTATATAACAGCTCAAAATTCATAATAGGAGCATCATGAATTCCTTCTACTGTACCAACTAGATTTCCTGATAATGTGTTAAAAATTAAAAGATCACCAATGGGATTTTGTTTGATTTGATGATCCAATATAGTATAATTTTTAGATTTTAACTGGTTGCATATTTTTGAACTAAATAGGTTTGATTTATTATTAATTCTTAATCCTATGTTAATAGATAAAGGATCAAACTCTTCTCTATTTTGAACCATTATAGAGTGATCTTTGATTATATTCGAACTTTGATCTACACCTGATTTATTTTCATCAATTGGACTTGAGATATTACTTATTATCTTGCTATAAGATGATCCAGCACTATCTACAGCAGAAAGAATAGTGTATCTTTCATCTACTAAAAGCGATACCTTTGAATGGCAAGAACTTCTTAAGCCTGACGAATACTTAACTAATTCTCTTCCCATTCTAAGATCCCATAACCTGGCTATCCCATCTCCTCCTGAAGATACCAAGTATCTTTGAGATAAAGAAAATGAGAGTGAATGTACTGGGAATCCATTATGAGCTCCATATATAGTATTTATACAAGATAAATTAACAGAATCCCAAAATTTGATGGTACCATCTTCACTACAAGTACACACAATTGATCCATCCTGGGAGATTTTAATGCCATTAATACTAGAACAATGCTGGTGAATAGGATGTGATGATGTAAATGAATCGTTTGTATGGATATCATATAATCTTAAAATTGGATCTTGGGTACCGACAAAAAAATGATCATCTAATGGATGCATTTGTATACAATTAATTGGAGAACTTTCACGGATACTTTGAATAGGTTTTTTTAAGATTCTTGATTGATTATTATTTCCACTATTAGTAATGTTTGGTGTAATTTCATCTAAATCTCCTGAATTACCTCCTGTTATTCCTTTAACATCATATATAATTAAGGTGGAATCAGTATCTCCAGAAATAAGTATATCTTTTCTAATACGATACTCTAAAGATGTAATAATGCCTTTACTTTCAGTAAATGTTTTTTGCTGAGACGATATGCTAGAATTAGTTCCAATTCCAAAAATTGAAGAATTAAATGTCCCATTTACACCTTGTGAAGGTGCTGGAACAATTTTTACAATACCATCAGCTCCTCCTGTAGCTATATATCCACCATTAGGGTTCACAGCCAAAGCTCTACAATATGGTCTATGATTAGATAACACACTATTTCCTCTAAAGTTGACAGAAATGTTTGGAATAGCATTCCAAGAATCTTGTAATTTGATTTTGGACAAATTTTCAAGAAAATAAAACTCTTTGTTGTTTTTTTCTGATGTTTTTTCATTTTGATTTTCTTCCTTCATACTAACATCCTTAATTATTTGACTCTTTTCTTTCTCATTTTTTATATCTTCAGAATGATTATTTGAATTTTGTATATTCTCAGTAATGTCAAAACGATAAGATTTCATTATTCCATTGGAATAATTACCTTTTTTCTTATAATAATATAAAAATCGTGATTTTGGTCTTATGGGTACCCATTGTTTTGTTAAATTTTCTAAATGTGGTAATACCGATTCAATTCTTTTAACATAATTAGTACTTTTTAATTCCAAAAGATCATTATTTTCATTGTTTTCGTGATTTCCCTGTCTCAAATCCATTGGAAGATATGTAACAGTTTTGTAAAGATTGTACAAACTATTCTTGTTTAGATGTATTGGGATGCAGGTTTTTGTTTTAATATGTAATAATTGAGCTACCTCTGTTAATCCGTCATCCATCAATTGCCTCATAATTAGCTCGTAGAGACTAATTTTAAGTGGTTCAAATTCAAGATATTCTTTAATAATTGAAGATCCTAGTTCGTTGGTTTTAGTAATATTGAGCTTATTCTCACCATAGATACTTGTATTAATGTTATTTGCAGCAGACGATTCGTCCCCATTTAATGGCTTGACATTAACATGATCCTCTGCGTTATCACTCATTGGTACCATCTGTATATTATCATTTTTATTCATTTTATTCCATGAATGTGAAAAATTAGAAAGAAGAATTAATGAATAATTTGATTAGAGCTTATTAATTAATATTTAGAAAAGTATTTTCAGTGATTTAATGAATTCCAGAAAATACTCTACAAATTGGTGTATACCTTCAACTTATTCTTGGAATTATACAATTAAAAACAATATTTAATTAGGATTTATATTCAATTAAAGTATTTACTCTTCTTTAATCTCTTTCTTTCTTTGGTAATTTCATAAGTTATAGTAGGTACCGAGTTCCCGCCGGCGCCAAATGTGCGTGATCTTAAAATGGACATGGTAGTATGGGCAAGAAAATTTAAATAAGAAAAAGTTCGAAGAATTTTTGTAATAATAGTTTTAAGCTTGCAAGATAAGGAGGGGTGTTTTAAAAAAGATGGATTCTGTGGAGTCGTTTGTGAAGAAGCATTTAGCTAAGTATGGAATGTACGAGATTGAAGCTTTAATTGAAAATTTAAGCAGGGAGGAGCATGGAAACTCCAAAGAGAAGCTAAAAAATTTATATATGGATTTAGAGAACATTTTTAGAAATGAGAGATTTATGAAAGAGTACGAAGAGATTCTAATAGATATGTTAAAAGGTGAAGTAAATAGAGTGGAAAAAGGAAAAGAAAGAATTGAGAATATAAAGTTAGAGCCTCGAGATATTAAGGTGGAATATTTGCCTCCAAAAAAGATAGATTGGGATAAATTAGCTGAGAATGGGCTTGAAAGTGAATCCGAGATAGTTAAAGTAATTGAAAAAGTGAAGAGAGGAGAAATTGAAAAGAATGTTTTAATTCCAGATTTAAGTAATGAAGTGACTAATGGTAGAAATGTTTGTTTTGTAACTGAACTAGAAAGTATACCTAAAAGTATTGAAAATTATATTTATAAGCATGGGATTAAGAAGCTAAGAGAAGGAAAAGTGGGAATTATAATCATGTCAGGAGGAGATGGATCTAGACTTGGATACAATGGTCCTAAAGGAATGTATCCAATAGGGAAGATAAGTAAGGATAGTTTCTTCAAGATATTTTGCCAAAAGATTCAAAGTTTAACAAGACTGGTGTTTAGTAGTGATTGTAATACTGAAAAGATTAAGTACTTAGGAGAGCTCAAAGAAATTCCTTTATATGTTATGACTTCAGATAATAATGATCATTTGACTAAGAATTACTTTAAGGAAAATAATAACTTTGGTTTAGAAAACGTTATTTTCTTTAAACAAGATTCGGTACCTAGTATTAATATAAAAAATAATTGCTCATTTTTCTTAAGTGAAGATCTAAAAATATTAAAGTCACCAAATGGAAATGGAGGAATATTTGATTGTATGAAAAATCAAGGAATAATAAATGATATGTATAATAAAGGTATCGAATATGTATTCATACATTGCATTGATAATCCATTATGTAAAATATGTGATCCTTTTTTTATAGGATATTCTGATTTACTTAATTTACAGATATCTACAAAAACTATTAATAAGAAAGATGTTAATGAAAATATTGGCAGTGTTGCTCAGAAAGTTTCTGTAGATATTAATGTAACAAATATATTACCTTGCATCATTGAGTATACAGAACTTAATAAGTTAGGTAACAAAAAAGATGATTTTTCATTTGGAAGTATTGGAATCCATTTATTTCATCTTGACTTTATTAAAGAGATCTCTAGTAAAATACTTGAATTTCCATATCATATAGCATATAAGAAAATACCTTATTTAAAATATTTAAATGATAATAAAACTCCGAATCTCAAACCTTACATTGATCAACCATCTGAAGTAAATGGAATCAAATTGGAAACATTTATTTTTGATTCCTTTGCCTTTACTAATACTCCAGTTCACTGTATTAATGTATCTAGAGACGAATTTTCACCAGTCAAATCTGCTTCTGGACAAAATTCCCCAGATTCATGCCAAATTTCGATTTCAAATCTCAACAAAAAACTCCTGAATCGCGCATTAAATATCTCTGATAATTTTTCCAAAGATTTCTTATTTCCACCATCTAAATATCTTGAAATTTCTCCTTTGGTTTCTTATGATGGTGAGAACCTAGATAAGTTTTCTCAACTCATAACCACCAACAATCATAATTTCATATATATTAATGACTCAAGTCAGATAGTTTTTCTGGATGATTTACAATAATTGTCAAATTATTTTCACATTATTTTTGATTTGTTTTTTCCATATTAACCACTACCTTTATAAATGCATGTTTAGGCGGGAAAATCGCGCTTTAATACATTTGTATACGATACCTTTGATGTATTTTAATCTGGTAAAGTTTTTTTTATATTCTTTCTATTTTTCCTAATATTTCAAGTAAGAATTTAGATTAAATTCCAATTTTTCTTTGTACTAAAAAAATTGGAATCTACAAACCGTAGTATAATGAGCTTTTAGTTGGCCATCAAAACCTAAAAAATACTTGCCTTGCTGTAATTATTACTGAAAAAAAAAAGATCAATCTCACGTACTGTTTAGTTCGTTTGAGTTTTCTTTATTTCTGTTTATTTCCACTTTTCTTTTATCTCTATTCATTCCCATTTCTTGATTACTCCCAATTCTTTCCACTATGTTTATATATATCTAAAAAAAGCTCTTTAATTAAAATGTAAATATAGTCAAACAAGCGGGCTTTTTTTTATGTATAAGTAAATAAAAAAAAGTAATAAATTAGAAATGGAAAATTAGAAAATAAGCACAGAAATATATATAAAAATAAATTTAGATTAAGATTGGCCATTTTGTTCAAGTCTTGGATATATAAAAGGGTTTTATCTTTTCATTGGCCTCATACTCCACACAGTAACTATTGATAAATCTTGAACTGTTTAACTGTGAGAATATAGAATTACCATTATTAGTAGAAATTTTTGTTGCAAAAGAGATAAAGGCAGAAAAAAAGTTAGAATTCCGAAAGATCAGGATTTTAATAATTAGTTCACAGAGGCCAATAGAAATATATTGACGTATCTTTATTAATTTGAGTAAGGTAATATTTTTCAAACTAAAAATATGGATAAACAGGTAAACGGTTTTGGAAGCACGTACAACAGTGTTGGTGGATTTGGAAGTAATCATGGAGGCATTAATATGAACAATAATAGTAACAAAAATGATAATAACAATGCGAATTCTCTCCAATTTTATACGATGAGTAAACTCAAACAGGATGGAGAAACAGACAAAATGAGTTCTCTGATTGGAATGAGAGAAGGAGTGGGAGGAATAGGGGGAAATGGAGGCTTTTCAGGAAGAACTGGGAATAACAAGATATTCAATAATGCAAACTATTCAAACTATAATTATAATGTATCAGAAATAGGTAAGGGTAATATTTCTCAAGTGTCAAATTCAAATTATGTAAGTAATAACATTAATATGATGAGTTCAAATGTTGCAACTTCACCTAATCATTATCATCCTCCTCCTCTTTCCTTCAATCCTTCATCATCCTCAATAAGTAATAATGTCCCAAGAAAGTCTCCCTTTAATATAAATGAAACTAACGACCAATTTGGGGGAGGAAGAAGTGAAACAAATGTGGGAGGAATGATGCCAATTCAGGGACAACCTGGTAATGAATTCAACAAATTAGGTGGAGAAACCTTTGGAAATGTTCCTTTAGGGCCAATGTCAGCCTCATTCCCCCAAAATGGAAGTTCTAGAATGCAAACACTTGGTGGGCTATCTACTGTTGATTCTGGAAACCCAATGGATTCACAACAGGAAGAAAAGAGATCATCATCTTCAAGTTTAACAAGTCTCATAAAATTGCTCAATCCAAGTCTTCTATGGTCAACGGGACAATATGGTTCATCATCGTCATCTAATTACAGAGAAACCCAACAAGGAGGAAGCGAGGACGATTATGACGATATTCTGAATGAACCTCCCCTATTAGAAGAACTTGGAATTGACCCTGCTAACATTGCAAGATATTTAAAATGTGTCATAATGTTCAAAAGCATCAAAGAATACACTGGAGGTAATTTTGGTATGAAAGGAGATGAAAATATGAACCACCAGATTGAATGGGATATGGCTGGCCCTATACTATTAATTGGATGTCTTGGGTTCTTCTTATTATTGGCAGGGAAAATTCATTTTGGATATATTTATGGAATCGGAATCCTAAGCTGTATTGGGACGTATATCCTACTAAATATTATGAGTAGTAGCCAAAGCATTGATTTATATACCACAATGTCCATTCTTGGATATTCACTCCTCCCAATTGTAATTCTTGCTGGTATTTCTGTAATCTTCTCACTAAGGACTAAAGTTGGAATCATTTTGGCCATTTTCTTTAATATGTGGAGCACCATTACTGCTTCAAGATTCTTTGAATATACAGTATCCCTTAAACACCAAAGATATCTTATTGCCTATCCTATTGCTCTATTATATGCTAGCTTTACTATTGTTACCATATTTTAATTTTTGAATTAAATCTTAAGAAAGAAAATCTTTTTTTTTCTCTTTTTACTTCACTTAATTATTTGGAAAACATTGAGAAAAGTCTAATTTTGAATGCTTTGTATCAACATGTACTTCCAAAGTCTGTCTATTTGCAGTGCACATAAATGATTGTTTACATACATTACATATAATACTTAGAATCTTTTCTTTTTGCTCAATTGTCGACTTTCCTGTTTTTGGAGCAGTTCTATCTTGTCTTTTCTGTGCTCTCTGTCTATCTATATCTCTTTGATTTCCCCTGGACATCTTTCTTTCTTCTTAATATAGTTAATTTCTCAACTTTATCTTTAAATAAGGCCAAATCCTATAGATTCTTATTCTTCTTAGAAAATCTGATATTCCTGAAACCTTATTTCTCCCTTTCTTACAGTATATCTCTCAAAATCTTTACCAAAAAATTCTCTAGATCCTTTCCCTTGAACTTTTTGTCTTTTCCTTTCTTTTATCTTTATCTTTTTTTTTACCTATCCTTTTTTTAGCCTTATAGACGTAATTTGTGTGTTTCCCGCCAAATTTCTGAAATTATATCATAAATGATCAAAAGTTTATTCACTAAAATCGCTCTCCATTAAGGAATCACTGGAAACATCGCTGAAAGACTCATTGTCCTCAATTCCATCTTCTTCTTCTTCTTCTTCTTCTTCTTCCTCCTCCTCTTCTTCCTCCTCTTCTTCATCTTCACTCTCTATAATGGTTTTCCTCCTTCCTCTTTTAGATGTGGGAACCCCCTTAGTCCTGCTAATTTGATTATTTTGCTTCTTCTGATTCACGGATTTGGCTACCCCATTCTCAGAGTCTCCGATAGCTCCTTTCTTGAAGATGTCTGTGATTTTAGTCTGCTTGCTCACTGGACCATTTTCTTTGGAAGAATTATCTGTAGAAGTAACTTTGTTTAAACTGGAAGAAAAGGAACTGTGGCTCTGATTAAAGCTATTAACTAGATTGGTCCTTTGTTGCAATCTCTGCAACAGAGATATGGATTCTAAAGGTTTTGGGGAAGAACTTTTCAATACCTCCTTGTTAATGTTACTAGTGTTTTTTGATTTCCCCAGATTGGTAATGCTACTATTAATATTACCAGCACTCAAGGAATCACCTTCAATGCATGCAGATGATTTGAATAAGCCCTGTTTGTTTTCCTTTGAACTATTACTTAGTGAAGAAGAAATATTTTTAGCTTTTTTTACATTGCTTGAGTTTGTCTTTCCCTGAACACCTGATTTGGACTTCTTAATTGACACTTTTTGAGTACGTCTTCCTTTACTTGTCTTTCCACTATCACTGAAATCTTCAAATTCACTTTCAGGATCGTCGATTCCTTCCTTCTCAGAATCACTGCTTTCGAAATTATCTATGTCATCGAAATCATTGGAGTCATCCGAACCGTCTAAAACATCGTCAAAGTCACCATAGTGATGATCCTCCTCACTGTAATCATCTCCTTCAATATATTCGTCAGATTCAGAGTCGCCAATCCTACTCTTCTTTGTAGGTTTTGTAGTTTTCTTTGAATTGGTTTTTTGAGGATGTTTTGCCTTGATGTTCTCCTGTTTCTTAGCTGTTTCGTTCCTTCTTTTTCGAGAAGTTCCTGTTTTTTTCTTAAGATCATTCCAATCTACAGAAAGCCTTCGTTTCTGAATCAAACTATTGTGTTCAGCTTCAATCATCTCCTCTTGTGTTTCTTCTTCCTCAATCACCTTAAGTAATTCATCCAATTCAATATTCCAAATTTCCTCAATTCCTGTTTTTAACAATTTTTCGTATTCTTCAGTCTTCTTAAGTAACTCAGCCTCCAGAAGTTCCATCCTTTCTTTAGTCAAACTCCAAAGTGGCATAGAAAGTAGGTAATCAAATAGTTTCAGCTCATTTCCTTGACTACCTTCACGCGAATAACTACTTTTCATCACCCCATCGTGCTGTGAAGACTCCAAATAATCAAGTGAATCTGATATAAATTGTGTATCATCCGTTAAAGTATCCCCAGGGCCATCTGATGCTAGATTTTCTATTCCCCCAATTTCTTGAACTAAGTTTCCTCCTTTCCATTGGGTCAAGTCTTGAACTTGCTTAATGGACTTAATATTGTTTTTCTTTAGTTCTGAAACTAAAGCCTCCTTATTCTTGTTACTTAACCCGATAAATCCTTGAATAACTAATCTTAAAAACAAGATTTTTTGCTCTAGTATACACTTCTCATAATTTAATTTAGAAAGTAAGTACTTTTTTCTTTTTTCATACATTTCTAGTCTTATAGGAATAAACTCCTTTAAAATATCCAATTCCGTTTCATATCTCACAATTCTACTATTATGATCAAACAAAGTCATATTACTAGTTGACAAAGTTGATTTAAGCTTAAAAATCTTTTCTATACCTTCAAGCTCTGCTTGTTGTAACTTCTCTGGTCTCATCCTGACAGTAATATGAACATTTTCATGTGATGAATTATCCCTGTAATCCAATATCCACGAATTTTCAATATTATCACTATCTGCATTGGGAGCAGGTAGTAAAGTTGATTCCAACCATTCTTTGTAATCTTGTGTCCATCTCCTAACTGGAAGTTCCGTGATCACCAGAGTTTCTTCATTCTTCTTGTACCAATTTCCAAAAGTCTCGTAATTTGCTCCAAGCTCTAAACTCTCTTCAACAACTCCACTATTTGTTATATTTGTTTTCTGAATCTGTTGAAAATCTTCGTCTTCAACATCTATTTGGGATCCTGCCAAAATATTACTGTTGCTTCCAATACCAAAGCCACTAACTGCAGTTCTTCTTCTGTTATTATTGTTTCCACCATTGTTTATTGTACTTTTTTTAGATTTTTGTTTTATAGGAACAATTTTCCCTTTGAAAGATTTGTACCAGGGAGTCATTGGAACCATTATCTCACCTTTTAACATTCTTTTCAAGTTCATAATAATATCTTTTGGATTGTAGTTAGGAACTGAACTACTCCATCCTGTTCCTATACCATCAGTACCATTAACTAGAATCATTGGAATGATTGGAACATAATACAAAGGCTCAATCTGTTGTCCATCATCATATAAGTAAGTTAATAAAGGATCATCAGCTTCTGGAAATATATATCTAGTCCATTTAGATAGTTTAGTAAATATATAACGAGCAGCACTTGCATCCTTTCCACCTTCCTTTCTACTACCAAATTGACCACATGGTTCTAATAAATTTAGATTATTGCTTCCAACAAAGTTTTGAGCCATATTTACTATAGTACTTTGTAGTGAAGATTCTCCGTGATGATAAGCACTATGTTCAGCAACATAACCAGCTAATTGTACAACCTTAAGTTCATTATTAAGTTTCTTCTTAAATGTTGCAAAAAGTACCTTTCTTTGTCCAGGTTTTAATCCATCTAATAAATTTGGAATAGATCTAGTAGTATCATATCTGCTAAATAATACAAGTTCTTTATGTATAAAATCAAAATATCTTAAATTTCTGCATTGATTATTAATAGAATAGTCAACATAAGTTCCCTCTTTATATGATTCAATCCAATTTTTTCTATCTTCCGTTCTTTTCTTACTAAATGCCATATCAATAGCTTCATCATCTTGTTCATCCATCCAGTCAAATTCAATACTATGGTTTTCAATCTTTGTGAAATATTCTTTAAATTCAAGATCAGTAGAAGTACCTAAACCTTTATAGTATTTGAACTTCCATCCAGTTAATTTTGATGAATTATTCTTTCTCCATTGTTCATATTCATACAGAGTAAAGAATGAAATTTCGTTTTGCCCTTTCTTCGCCTTAACAATTGGAGTAACAAATTGTTTTAAAAAACCTCTAAAGTGAATTAAGCTTGGCCAGTAATAATGTATCAAGTTAATTATTAGCCCTTTAATATGACTCCCATCATGATCTTGATCTGTCATTAGCATTAAAGATCCATACCTTAAGTTAACTGGTCCATTATCATACTTTTGTCCAATACCTAATCCCAATATTTTAAGAATATTTTGTATTTCAACATTACCAATTTGTTGTTTAAATGAAGCTTCTCTAACATTTAAAAGTTTTCCACGTAGTGGAAATACACCAAAATAGTCTCTACCTACAATTGAAAGTCCTGCCAAACAAGAAGTTTTTGCAGAATCTCCTTCAGTAAGTATTAGAGTACATTTCTTAGAGTGAGGTCCACCTGCTTCATTTGCATCCTCTAATTTTGGGATTCCTAATAGTCTACTAGTTACTGTATTTTTTTGGTTTGATTTCATTTTCTTTTTTAACTCCATACTTTGTTTAAGCTGAGCCCACATTAATACATTTTCTACTATAGAACTTTTTACAACACTATTTATTGTTTTTTCAGATAATAAACAGGTTGATCCAAATTTTGATACTTTCGTTGTTAATGTTTCTTTAGTTTGAGAGTCAAAAGATGGGTTTACTATAAGGCATTTAATAAAGATCCAAATGTGATTTTTAACATGATGGCTCTTAACATCCATTCCTCCTTTATTTTTAGTCTGAACTTTCTTAAGAATAGCATTAATCAGAGGATCCAATACATAAGATATGTGAGTTCCACCTTTAATTGTGCATATTGAATTCACAAAAGATACGTGTTGAAATTGTCCTCCTTCTGACTCACTGATCACAATTTCCCACTTTGGAACACTCTCGTATATTATTAGAGGAGAATTTGTATCATTACCTCCACCAGATAATAATAGTGAGGAGGATGAAGAGGAAGAAGAAGAGAAAAAAGATGATGAAATATTTTGTCCTGATTTCTTCTTCTTAGAATTTGAAACTGAGCTTTTTTTCTTAGAACGAGAAGTCTTTGGTTCATCATCCCATTCATCATCTTCCATAAAATCCTCCTCAAAGCTTTCATCATGGTCATTTTCATTAAAACCGTTAGAATTCTCATCTTCACCATCACTTTTAACGTTTTTTTTGTTTGCATTTCTCAATTTTCTTGTATTGTTTCTCTTTTCATTGTTTTCAATAGTATTGATATTGTCTTCATGAGCAATATCAGAACTCTCTTTATTATTGTTTATTTTTGACTTCAAGTAAAGTAATGTATATGATTTAAAGTCTTTAATAGGAATTAAAGTTCCATTCAAATATACTCTAACACCAGAAGTACCAGAAATATCGTAAACTCTTTTATTTAATAATGATACAATATCATCATCAAAATCACTCATATTTCCAAATCTTGATAAATCGGGTTTGAAAGTAATCTTAACATAAGATTTTCCAGAGTAATTCTCTTTAATATTTTCCTCACTTTTTTTGGACATATTGTTATACCAAGTCATCTTAAAGATTCTTCCAGTATTATTATCACCACATTCTATTTTAAATTCCTTAGAAAAGATATTTGTAAGTTTTGCTCCAAAACCATTTCTCCCTCCAGTAACTCTATCTTCATTATCATCGTAATTATCTGAAGTTAATAAATGGCCAAAAATCAATTCAGGAACATATACTTGATGATCTCTATGTATTTCTATTGGTATTCCTTCTCCATCATTATAAACAGTGATTTCTTTTTTCTCTCTATTTATTTCAACTTTAATACAAGTACATTTTTCAATAAAATGATTACTTTTAGTAGAAATTTCTCTAGCTTTAACATCTGCAGCATTAACTAAGATTTCGTCAAATATTTTATATAATCCAGGTACATAATTAATGGTCCTATAAACCATTTTCTTATTTGAATCATCCCAAACCCATAATGTTTGTTCATGAAATTCTGTACTTCCTATATATGTATCAGGTCTTAATAAAATATGTTCAATTTGAGTTTTCTTTTGGTATCTTTCTTCAACAGTTTTTTTGGATCTATTTACCATTTTTGGTTTACCAGTTATTTTGCTGTTGCTAATTAATTCATTATTTTCCATTTGGTTTTCTTCAAAAATCATTTTTCTTTATTTTTTCTTCTATTAGTAATAATTAACCTCTCAGAAATATGGTTTCTTTTTTTTCGTTTTTTTTTGTTTTTTTTCTATTTTAAGCTACATAAGTAAATATTTATCAACCTTTGAGTATTCTGTAATTATTTTTAAATTTTCTTGTTAATTATTAACAAATTTTTTGATTAAATTTAACATTTATTTATTCTCATTACTTTTTTTCAGGTAGAAAAAAAAATAAATAAATAATTATTCAAAATATTTGTTTCTTAACGACAATTTTTACTATTTCTGTTTTAAATTTTAAAAAAAAAAAAATTTACTAATAAAGAAAAATATTAATAAAATATTTTCCCTCCTTATTCAAATATTTTTATGTAATTTTCGTTAATACCGGTATACCAATTATTTGCATGCATGCAAATAAATTTTTCTCAGTCCACAAGAAATAATATAGAAAATTTAGGCGGTAAACCACGTAGTTATAACATTAAGTAATTACGTGTATATAAATTATATGTGGGGTGTTATTTTTTAAATAAAGATGGGAAAATAAATGAATTTTAAACAGGAAAAAAAAAAAAGTAGTTATAAATTTTCAGAAAACAAGAAAACATGTAATAGAAATTAAAGTATTTCTTTGATACTAAAATTCTAGTAAAAATGGGAAATTAACTTTAGAATTCATCATCATCAGACCAGTTCAAATCATTCCAATTAGAGTTGGAATTATCTTTATTATTATTATTATTATTATTATTATCAATATTATTATTATTATTTGGTTCAAAAGAATCATTATTAGTGAGAATATCACTATTTATTTCACTTTCACTCCATAAATCATCTTTCCATTCGAAATTATTTAGAGGATTAGTATTTGAAATAGCATTAGAATTATTAATATTAGCATTAATAGGTGATGATAAAGAAACATGTTGGTTATTTGAGTATAATTTATGATCAATTAAGTTATTATCAAACTTAGAAGATGAATTTTGATTTTTAGTAGTATTATTAATACTAATTTCATCATTTGATGACCATTCATCATTATCCCAATCAAAGTTTTGGTTGATATTTTGATTGCTGATTTTATTATTATCACTATCATTATTATTAGTGTTAGTAATATCACCTAAATCATCATCAAAATCCCATTCATCTTCCCAAGTATCATTTTTTATTTCTGTTTGTTTCTCTGTTTCAATTTTTTCTTTTATTTGATGTATTGAATTATCAATCAAATCATCATTTTTGTTATATTTCAAACCATTTTCTAATTCATTGTATTCTTTATCTTGGATTTCATTATTATTAGTGTTAGTAATATCGCCCAAGTCATCTTCAAAATCCCATTCATCTTCCCAGCTCGAATCAATATTTTTCCCAATTTTGAAATCACTAATATTTTTTATTTTGTCCTCTTCTTCTTTCCTTATTC